CTTCAGCCTGGATTAACCAGAAAAGATACACAACATTTCCCTATATAAACCATAAATGAAAAACTAAGTGTGTTATATATCCAAGAAGCGCTCAGCCATTACATTGAATGCCAGGACTTCAGCCTGGGTGAACCAGAAAGGATACACAACATTTCCCTATATTTACCATGACTGAAAAACTAAGTATGTTATATATCCCAGCGTTACACTGAATGTCAGGACTTCAGCCTGGGTGAACCCAAAAGGAAAGACAACTTTCCCTATATTAACCGTGAATGAAAAACTAAGTATGCTATATATCCTAGAAGGACTTTACACTCAGTACCAGGACAAACAACATTTACCCTTTATATTAATCTATGAAATATGACAAATAATAACTAAAATATATATATATATCATGGTATATATCTCAGAAGTGATCAGGCAACACAAAACAAAAGAATATTACAGGTTTAAACTTCAAAAAAATGGATATCTTTAAAATAAAACAACGTTGACTGTGCCATACTATAATGGGTGCACACAATTTAAAAATTCAAATGTTATACTGCTAGCTACCACAATTTTTATACTTAAGTCCTCTGTAGCAGGAAGTCTTTTCAAGAACTTGAGTGTACCTGAACCATTTTCACACAAAATGTAAGCTGGTTCAACAGATACGTCTCAGCAACCCTTGTGAACTGAATTCCCAGTTTTCTGGGAATTCCTGGGAATTCCTAGGAATTCCTAGGAATTCCTAGGAATTCTCAAAAATTCCTAACTATGCAAATTAACTCTGATTTAAAAAGCTTGGAATTACTGGGAATTTCTGGGAAAGGAAGACTCCAGTTTTGTGAGGACTTGGAATCCCTAGGAATTCCTAGGAATTCTCAGCTTTACAAACTACCTATAATTTAAGAAGTGTGGAACTCAAACGCTGTCAGAGACTTTTTGTTGACAATACTTTTGGTAGAAATTTCATGCCTTAGACAAACAAATTCAACACCTAATTAATCTTTCTTTTTTCATGATTGTTGTTGCTGCTTTTTTTTTCAGTTTTTTGCTCTATTTTCATGACTAATTGCTGTAATTTGTTTTGCTGTTTTTATTGTTACAAAACATTTTTGTAAGAGTTTCAATACTTGTGGATCATCCACACACTTTGCAAACATTTGGCATGCAAACAAGACAGAGGTAGTCAATGTTCCCTTTGAGAAAAAACACCTTTTAAATGACGTCTTCAATTTACTTTATTTGAAACTCTGATCTGAAAATATTTGTCAAAAAGACTTGTTAGTAGTGAGAAGTACCAACCAAGTTTCCTTTCATAACTTAATTTCTTAAATGTCCCAATCACTGGATCTCCCAAAAAATATTACATCTTTTTATTTTTGGTGCAAATTACAAGTCCTTCTTTATATAAAAATGAAAAGTGCAAGTCACACTTTAATAATAACAGCTCTTAAGTTTACTTGTTGTTCTTCTCTGTCTGTCAGCTATCAACAAAATTGTTTTATACTTCGGGCAGTGCATAACTATTTGTGGACCAGAGTTCCAACGCACCTCTGTAATCGCATATAGCTACTTCTGTCTCTTGTACAAATGTTTCTCCTTTGTAAGACGCACTCTACTCTGTTGTCAATACTGCTTTAAGTTCAGTGGAAACGACTGAGTGAGGAATCGAGATGGCGGTGTTGGAACGTGTTGCTGAACGCTTGCTAGGGTCAAGCTTTGTAGATTTAGGTACTGGTACACTGGGATCATCTAAGTATCTCTTATACTTCCGAATGTGGTATCCTTCTTTTATAAATATGAGGGTAAAAGACGATTTGTAGTCGCATTCAAAACTGTGATTGGCTTGTGTTATTTCTCACCTTTGCCATTAACACAACTCAAGTGAGTTTCGAGTCTTTGTTTCCTCGACAACTTTCGGCCACAAATCGCGCATTTGTAATACGATCGATTCTTGTCAATTATTTCTACATAGAGTGAGCTCACATCATTATTTATATCACCAAGGTATCCATCGTCTAGAAGCAGAGAACCGATCGGAGAAGTCAGAGTAAAGTTGTGCGCTTCTCTTAACACTGCAATCGACAAGCCAGCGGATTCACTTTGCTAGCCAATGACAAGTCCTAAAAGATCCACGTGATCATGCCCGTGATCGGAAACAAAGAAGACTCCATTTGGCGCTCATCTTTGAATGTACTTTTCATCGGCTGATCGCTTTTCTCAACTGTTTTTCTTAATATAACATTTATAAAGATAGCTTTTATTGTGGTTCAATGGGAAAACGAGAACAGCGTGAGTGTTGTAAAAGAAAAGAAAGCCGTTGGCGCCGTGGATTTAAAAGAAGGGACAACAGTTGACATATTGACTGGTACAAACAAGGGTCGAGTGGACATCTGTAAAGCTACGATTTTGAAAGTTTGTGGTGAGTAAACATTGTGATATTCGTTACGTGATTAAAATCTTATAAAAGAATAGATGTAACGGGTTGAATTAAGCTTACATAACGCTCGGTGCAACTGAAACTAGAATAATTCTGAGAATCGAATCGGTCACTTGCATGCCGCAGTTTCTTAAGCTTATGCTTTACAATGAAATAAATCTATCAGTAAGGTTTCAAGATTCCTTTAGTCACGTTTGGGAACATTCAAGATTCATAATAGGAACTGTTATTAAAAAAACCTTATTACATAAAGAAGCCCTCCTTGGTAAAAACAAAATAATGTATTCAGCCCTTTTTAACTCGTGAATTGCGCGCATGCGCAAGAGCGAGTTATAGATACGATGTGGGGAATGGCATTCGCTCGCTCGCTCGCTCGATTGGTCGATTCCTGTAAACTTTTTTTAGATTTTAGGCTTTTGAGTGCATTTTATAGTTTTTGGCGAGCAATAAACAGACGAAATGGCGACCTTTGTTGCTAAGAATAGTGGTGGGGTGAAAAAGAAGCCAATGATAATCTTAAAAGAGTTTTTTTTTTTTCGTTTTAGTTTCAACAAGCGGCGCCAGCGACTGGCAGGCATGCAAGGATTCACACTGAAATAACAGAACAACCTTCGTTTTTCATAAAATTGTAATTTACAATCCTTGAACTTGAAAACAATCCGAAGATTCATTGAAAATATCACTTACTGCGAAGCGCTCGGAGTTTACAGATGTTCAAAAGCTTTTTCTGTTATAGCGTGAGGTTGAGGACAAAATTGATCATTACGTTTCGTCGCGTGTGTTTTTCCTGTGTGAAGCAACAGAAGATACCGGCGACTGACGAAATAACAAGTTAACACGAAAATCAGATAACACCTAAACAAACAATTTTAGCTACCGATTTTCAGTGAATTTTTAAAGAACAATTTTCTTTTAAGTTTCAAGACAATTTGAAGATTCAACATACATACAACGTACTAAAATGCAAAAGTTACACACCACAAAATTGATAAATTGGCCTGAAATGAAATTCTATCTTGTTATTGATCATACGTTGCCTAGCACGTGACTTAAATCTACCCAGGCGGAGATCCAAAATGACGGTGGCAGGCTTAGCTTAGTTATATCACTCAAAACTCGTTCCCGTTTGTCTCATTTGATAAAGAGGGAATCGTTAATGTTTTCATTAAGACAGTATTGCCTTGATTTTCTAATATTTACAACGAAAGACAGTAAATTTCACTTTTCACCCACATTTACTTCCAACCTTTTCTTTTGAACCAGAAACAAAAATGATAGACGTTTAAAACACATGACATCATCCACCTTGTCAAATGTAATAGCATGATCATTTCAATTGTAATGCCTTCTTATCCCAACGTTACTTTGTTTCTTTGCTACATTAGCGAACACTGAACTACTGCTCGTACTCTAGATATGACAATCAACCACAAAATTCCCTAAACCAGATAACATTAAACATAATCTAAAAAATCATGTGTCAATTCACGAGTTTGCTCACAGAGCACTTTGATTTAGTAAAATCTATGGGAGAGATGTACTAGCTCCAATATAAAAGTCACTCAGTGTAACAGAGATTTCTTAATTTGAGAATCCACTGAATGCCCTTTTCCTTATGGCCATCTTAAAGGCCTGGTCTGAGCTTTAAATATATATATTTATATATATTTTTTTTTTTTCAAATTCAGATGTCATGGAATCCAGATACAAAATGGTCAAGCTTCTTGTAGACAACCTCATTCAAGGCTAACTCATTGTGAGCCCAGGTAAAAAAATACAAACAGCAGCTAAGTTGCAGTTTAGGATAACTTCATTCTAATTTATTATTACAGTTACAACAAGATTTTAGTAAAAAATCAATTTTATTTATCTGTAATTAACCCCTTCACTCCCAAGAGTGCTTGGTTTCAAATATAATTTAAGATATTGTATTTTATAGAAAAGAATCCACAGATTTTATTCACAATTTGTGTCAAACCAAATTTAATGATTGATTAGGACTATTTTACATGAATAGCTGTAGTTGAGGATTAATCTGTATGAAGTTTTCAAGAAAAGAAAAATAAATCAAATTCCATCCTAATATTACCACATGTTGATGTTAATAATCAATCAAAAATATTTTACATGTAAGCCTTAATTAAGCTTGTAAATAAATTTCATTGAATACTTGAATTTTAGCTGGGTTTTTTTAATTTAAAATATATATTTTATATCATTAGCCTCAAATTTTTGCTTAAAATTCCCAGTAATTCTTAAACATTCCTAAAAATTCCTGAAAATTCCCAGAAATTCCTAGGAATTTTTTAGATTTACAGCTTTTCAGGGAAAGTCATTGGTTCTCTGAGTTGGAATTCCTTGGAATTCCAAGTCCTGTTGGCTATAAACTTGGAATTTCTGGGAATTTCTAGGTTTTTAGAACCAGAGTTGTTATGGTAGTCCAAATTTACCGTGAAAATTCACGCCTTTATTTATTAGGATTTTCCTAGGAATTCCAAAATCCATTTCACAAGGATGCTAGCTACCACAATTTTTATACTTAGGTCCTCTGTAGCAGGAAGTCTTTTCAAGAACTTGAGTGTACCTGAACCATTTTCACACAAAATGTAAGCTGGTTCAACAGATACGTCTCAGCAATATCTTTGTTCTTAAAAAAAAAAAACTTGAGATTTTGCAATGGCAGTGAGTGTGTTATAATCTTGTCAATGTTCTCCAAAATACTTGCATTCTGTTGACCCTGAGAGGTAAATACATTTTTCTAATTAACAATAGTACCGGTAATTGCTTTTAGTGACCAAAGTTATTGATTGAGGATTAGAACAACAGCCACTCGGGTAAAAAAATAAAACAAAAAATTGTTCATGATTGAAAAAAGGATCCACTGAATCTTTGACACAATAACTGTTTACTGGCTGTAATTCAATAATCTTGTGATCTTCGTTAGATCCTTATCCAAAGAAAAACAAATAAAGAACCCTGTACCTGAAAATGATACTACTTGAATGTTGTGCCTCTCAATAGCACTTTCCTGTCCTGGTTTGGTCTTTAATTACCACAATTCTCTCCCTCTCCTTCATACTGTCTGGTCCATAGTCAGACAAAACAGCATTGCAATCCTTGAGGCTTCCACAGTCATGGGCAAACATGCCAAGTGAAACTAGCAACTGCTCAGTGATCCTCAGCTCACAATTTCGCATGACAAAAAAATGAAGAAACGCCGCAACCCAGTGCTAAAATCTTGACATACAAAACGTCAGTCGAAAAACCGATTGGAATAGTTTGAACGATCTAGTAAAAGCTCCATTAACCAGTAGCGTTTACTACCATCTCCCACCCCTCCCTACGTAGTAATAGTCCGTCTCTCACCCCCTCCCTGAGTAATAACACTATGCCTCCCACCCCTCCCTTAATACTTATGACTGCATCCCACCCCTCCTTGAGAACTAATGGTGTGCTTCCCCCCTATAGAATGGTCCAAAAAATGGTCCAACTAGACCCTGTGAGCAGGGTAACTGGGATACCTGGATGGTACTGGATCCTTGGAATCAAGGGTAGTGATACTACGGGTGTTGGACTAGTATACTGAAATAGTGCGCTCAAGTCTGGCCCAAGGGCATACACCTATTTCAAAACGTAGGTATGCTATGCATGCAAGAGTTATTTTTTTATAGGGTGGGTGGATTACTTGAAACATTGTGAGTGATGTCTACATTCTTACAAAAGGAGAGAAGAATATTAATGTGGGAAAGAACGAAAATGTCGAATTACCTCACTCACAGGTATTTTGTGGTAGATTACGTGTGTTGCGCGAATAAATGTAACCAAAAATAAACTATTGGTGCCATGGATACCTGTTAGTACAAAATGCAGACAGCAGACTGCAGACCGGATACAAAATAAAGACTGCAGACTGCAGAGTGGGTTCAAAATGCAGACTGAGAATCTGAAGAGTTTTTACGTCTGGTATTTAATAACAGGTCATCTTACAGCTTACCGAGTGTCACGCAATCGCTTTTCTGCGATCAGCCTTCACGATTATTTGCACTATTGTGGAATATTCCTGGCCCATTTCTTGATGAAAATCGATCACAATATTATTTCAAGCCTTAAATATAGTCTTCTTACTTTGCGCGCGAGTTGGTTGGTGTGATGTCGGTACAGATTTTACCAACGTAATAAAAGTTGATGACGTGATTAACAGTGAGGGTAAAACAAGCTTAAAAAAGCAGAAATCGCCAGAAACTACAACGGATTCACAGGGTATGAGTAAGTTTTATTGATTTTACGAGAAAAATGTTCATATTTCGAAATATTTATCGTTGTAAATCGACCATACTTCGTTCCCTATACTATTCCTTATAACGTGTTCAAATTTCCAACGGTTTCTCCCGTAACTTAACACCAAGTCACGCAACGCGTGGCGTGTTCATGAATTAATCGTTGGCTTTTTCTCGAGACGTGAGCTTGGGCCGCCTGTGACAAGACAATTGCGTAAACAATACTTAACATAATAGCATTATACACAAAAAACACAGGGTTTTGGATCACGTATTTATTGAAAAAGAATATCCATACAACTACAATGAAAACAAACATAAGATTCACCTTTCTGATCGTGAAATTATTACCATTTGTACTGCTATCGTAGCTACGTTCCTTGCCATCAAGTGAATCCAACATGGCGTCTTTCTTCACAAGCAGTTTGCATCTATTATAGTTATGTTCTTTAGTCTCACGGTAGTAGTGTTGTTCAATAGATTGCATAGAGTATATGCAGTTTGGTTTCAGATTTCAGATTTTGCTTTTTACAAGTGAACGTTTTTCAACTAAGACATTGGCATACTTGGCATAGAAGGCATTCAAGGCTTTCATGGCTTTCAAGCGTTCGCGACTCAATCCGTTCCAAAATTACCGCTCAATAACATCTTTTAGTGTGGATTAGCCGCGAATAATACGACTTGTATATGCGTCTGTAAGTTTTTTGAGCGTTTGCGCCATAATGCTCCAGGAGATCGCAATACAAATACGTTGAAATACAAAACGACTGACAAAAGAGTTTTATTCGTCATGTTACCCGGCCCTGTCAGTGCATGACAACGTCAATCATCATCAAGTTAACACGCGTGATCAGCATGTGATCATGGTGTTGAGGGCCCAATGACCACTGGGTACTATTGCGCAATTTTTCCATTTTGTGGCGGAGGAAAAAAAAAGACAAAAAGACAAAGGCATTTTATGACTGGGCTACCACAGGTATCCCAGTAAAAAATAGTCCAGTCCATATTTTACTCTATGCCGGAAATGAGATATTGTACAAAATCAAGCAATTACTCAGCGATTATCAAAACCAGCTGTCAAGGCGATGATGGAAACTTAGCGATATTTGACGTCGCACCATAGCAACCAGCCTTTTCGAATATTTGAACTTCCGTTTACCTGAGGCTCGTGATGTAGTGAAAGTAAGCCTCGTTCTGATCCCTAATTCCGAGAGGATGGGCAAATTGGCTATGCACCCATGGCCAACTCACGCTGAACACCTACGGAACGCTCCTTTTGGATTGCTTAGTGTCATCTGTTAGAAGATATTTTTCCTGTTCTATTACTTTGGATTTAAAAGCCGTAACATGGAGGAGTAATTGGCATCACATCAAGGAAAGCGCGTGAAAATCGTCAGTGTAAGTGTTGATACTTTTCTCTCTAATGTGCAAGAGGCGGATTTTTTTCTTGCCTCCAAAGATTATGTTATTCATAAAGTGTAATTCAGGTGTTATTAGGGAGGACTTTCGCGATCTGTGTCAGAGTTTGAAGCTTTGTAATCCTTCGAAAACATCTTACTTTCGTTAAAGCTCGTTGCTTCTCGTACCGAAGTAAATCTGAAGTTTGTCACTGATCCTGAGCGAAATCAAAAAACGGAAGCCATTAGATCGAAGAGTAAATGATCTATTAGAGTGGAATATCTCGATCCTTTCTCATCACCTGGAAACTTCGACAGTACTAGAACAAGTTGTTGTGCATTTAATGAAATGTAAAAGCCCGATATCAGCGAAAAAATGATAATTACTGAACTATGAGTAAACTAGCGCGGCTGCAATTCGTGTTGGCAATCGTAGAGTTCACTTTGATTCCGAGTTTCTTGGTAATTTTTTATACCTTGATTAAATATTTGTATCATCGCCAACTGGTTTATCGTTATTATGTCTTTTGAAGTTTGCAAAGCAATCCTTTAGTAGGATAAATGCTAGGAATAGTGATTCAATTCTATCCGTACTTCGTCGGTTGCATAGCTTCAGTCCAAGCATACCGATGCTGTATAGCTTGTGACGAATTTTATTTGACTAACATTTTTGGACATAGTAAGGGGAAATTAAATACTTAAAAGGCAAAACTGTGTTGCTGAAATAAAGGTAACTTTCTGTCCGCACTACTGATTACACTTGTGGTTTGGAAATTTTTTCTCTAACATGCGCTAATATGTAAATGTTTTGACGCCGAAAACATCGACTTCTCATTGGACGATTCACATAGCCTCAGGTGCACATCCTGTCACGCTTCACATTTTCATACATTTTCAACGACTCACGACTTAGAGACAACATTCGTTGAAGAATACGGGTCATCTATTAAGGAAGAAAAGAAACAAGAAGTAAGAAAAAAGTACGCATGACGTCGAAGGACTTGAACCAGACTGCATTTTATTCATGGCAAAGCGAACCTAATAGCGTGCAGAGTTAACAGCAAACTCACTTCGTTAAGTAAATATTTCATCTTCCATCAGTTCAGTGAAGAGGTTTAATTTTAATTCCAAGCAGATGGTGGCCATTTTTTTCATTCATTCATCAATTCATTTATTCATTCGTTAGTTTGTTCATTCAATCAATCCTTCAATAATTAATGTATCAATTCATTCATTCATTCAGTTTTATTTAATCTTTAATCGTTTCTTTGTAAGTTAATTCTTTCTTTCAATCGCTCAACTCTTCAGACATGTTTCGTGTGGTCAAATACCATATGTATGCCAAAGAACATGTGGGAATTATTTCCCTGTATGTATGAATCAAGTTTCTTGATGCACATAACCTTCGTCAGTATTTTCCACATCTACCACAAAGGTTCACCGACTTTGATAAGTCTTGTATCAGAGAATGGACATGAAAGACTGAGCGCGACCTTGGTGTAATTTGAACCACAATTAAAACCGTTTGCTTATCCGTTTGGTACTTTCAGGGACATGTAATTTCAGTCAGCTGCTTGTGGATAAATAAAATGGCCACCGCCCGCGACCCTGGTGATTTGCTTCGTTCAAATGACGGCAAAGCAAATTTCCAACGTTTGACTCGTCTGCTGATAACTGGAGGTACTGCACTACTGAGGGAACTTTTTGACATGTTTTGTCCTCCAAATGATCTTCCAAAGTGGCTGCAAAATCCTGCCATAATGAACCAGCTTAAAATAGCTAGGCTCACCAAACCACAAAGGGATTGCCTATACCCTTCCTCAGGGGTGTACGGAAAATCAGTAGAATTTGATGTAACTCTACTCTTCAGGCTACTGAGGACACTTTGTGGCCTGATCGAACCGGCTACAGGTTGGGATGCTCTACCAGTAACATCGGATTACAGTTTGGAGGCAGATTTAGCGAGAATTAAATACTATCGGAACTCTATCTATGGTCATGTTTCCCAGGACATGGAGATATCAGATGCAGCCGAGTTTTTATCCTTATGGAAAGAGATAAGTGAGGCCCTTGTAAGGATCGCGGGACACATCAGCCATGAGAAGAAAACGGAATGGCAGAAGGCGATTGATAAGTTTTCGACAGATCCCCTCACGGATGAGGATAGAAGAAATGTAGAGGAATTGCACACTTGGTATCGTAACGATATGGAAGTAAAGAAATCCCTAGAGAGACTAGAAGCCACAACTCAGGAAATGAAAGAACAGATGGGAGAGCTGCATCAGATTATAGATCGGAAGTTAGCCGTCTTTACCGAAAGCCCACGAAGGGGAGGTCAGTTGAGTTTTTCTTCGTTTGTTTCCAATATTACGGGATAAAGAAATCAACGTGCGCTTTATATTCAAGAAAAGAGTTTGGACAGGAAAAACACAGAAGGAATTGTCAAATTTTTGGAAATTTTTCCCAAAAGTTTTCCTGTTTTGTCGAGTTTCGTATCAAAAACTTGGACTTGTTTGTCTGAATGGAAAGAGCCTAATGTTCTAATGTTTGATGAAGGTTCAAAATGCAGCCCTTTGTTAATTGAGATTGTTTTAATGGTATGTCTCCCCATCGGAAGTTAGGGTGACCCGTTGATTACATCACAAAGCTATTAGTGTCGAGAGCATCTCTTACAGCAGTCAGGTACGAGCAAGCGGTAACTGAGACGCGTACTGCTTTTATTTTTCATCATCTTTTCTAAAATCGATAACTCTCTGAGTTAAATGTTTCAAAATCGTAGGTTTTCCTCAAGGTGGCTACAACTCAAGGCAAAGAGACAAGACAAGAGGAGGACCGCGATGGGTACACAGAGGCGGGTTTTTCCAGGGTTCAAAAAACACCCAAGTGTATAGAGGGGATCAATTTTATGGCCTTCAAGAACAGCGGTTTGCTTACCAAAGACGACATGGAAACCAAGGAGGACAAGGAGGTGGCTTTCGAGGGTGTCAATCAAAACCAAAATGGAAGCTAAAGGATTGGGAGCGAGGTGGGGAACGAGGTGAGTGATCGAGCTAAGGTTGTGTTTCAAGACGCAAAAGGTTTGTTACTCATTGGTCTCTAAAATATTGGTATAGTGTTATTATAAGTAACAAATATTGGTTGTCCCTAATTAAAACTTGAGCTGTATATTAGACTTAGAGAAGGACAAATTAGTGATTGATTGATTGATTGATCGATTGATTGTTTGTTTTTGTTTGTTTGATTGATTAATTAATTGATCTTCACAACCCCAACAACCCCATCGTCCTTAATTTGTGCGTCTCTCTCAAGTTAAAGTGTCATGAAGTGTTTTGAAACGACAAAATAACTTCCTCAAGGAAATTCCTGAACGCGTTAATTAGATGCTTTAATTAAGTGCCTTAATCAACAGATGTGGAAAGGGTGTCAACCAGACATGAAGTGAAACCTCACGAGTTTAAACAAACTCAGCTGTCAATTAAAGCTTGCCGAGTGTCTCTAGCAACTGCAACCGGGGCCAGTGAATCTCGAAAGAGTCAGAAACCTGATGCCAAAGCACAACAGCTGGTGGAAGAGAAAGTTCAAGTAGACGAGGAAAGCAAGCATTTGTTGAGGTCATCTGAATGGCTGAAGTTGTGTGACGAGATCAACTCAACGAATGTCCTTGTCCGGGGGAACAACTCGAACGACACATACGTAGCTGGGTTCCGTGATGACGTGACCGAAGTGATAAAGAAGTTAAATACCTTTCTTGAAAACAATTGCATTAGGGCGGAACGTTTTGTGTGCACGTCTGATATTATGCGAAGGTATCTTCTTGAGCCACGTCAAGAAGATCTACGCACCATAGAAAAACAATTAAAAGATTTTATAGTGAGTATTAAAAAGGGAAAAGACGATGATGATTTTGTCATTTCTGGAAACAGAGAGGGTTTGTCACGTGTAAGAAAGAAGATCGACGCTCTGATAGATTCCACTGAGTTGAAAACCTTTAAGGTGAAACAGCCAGGCCTTCGAAAATACTTTGACAGTGGAAAAGGAGATCAGCTGGTAAAATCGGTAGAAAAAGATCAAGACTGTGCCATAAAAGTCCAGAAAAAATTTGGTCGAGGAGGAAGGGACGAGGTGTTGCGCGTCGAATCCGAATCCGACGCTTCTACTTCTTCAGGCGACAGTGACGATGATGCTGAGGATGACCACGCTATCACTACTGCAACTGACTCGTCTACCCTGGTAAGAGCCCAAAGGCACAGAGTGTCGTGGAAACCTGGAAACATAGAGAAAGAGAAGGTAGGATTGACACTGTTTTATTCACACTAGGAGAATATCTTATGAAAATACCTTAGAGGATCTTGTCGGCATATTTATGGATTTTAGTTTTTCACTTAGCTCTCATCTACTTGTAGAGTGTGGTTACATTATTTAACGTCTCTTTTATTGAGAGCACCAAGTCTGATAACGACAACAGTCCACCATGTTGAAGACGTTCATGAATCATTAACAATAATCTTTTGGGTGTGTATTTCAGGCTGACGTACTTGTCAGTTCTTTAGGAGCATGCGATAAAGCAATCATGAATGCCGGTGGTCCTCAGGCCGCAACCCCCAACGTTGGTGACATCACTGTCTCAGGTGGTTTTTCCTCGGTCGGTCACGTGATTCACACGAACTGTTGTAAGTGGAACAACGGTGGAGGGGAGCCGGTAAGAAACAGTGAATTGTACGTAGATAATTAAGTATTAGCTCACTTTTGAAGGAAAGGACCTCTCGAAGAGTATTTATTGTTTAGATTTGATGAAAACCTAAACGATATCGGATGTCGAACTGGCGAAGCCCATCCATTCTCTTGTAGGATAAAGCGACTGAAGACTCTTTAGGCTCGATTTAATGTTATTTTCAATGTAGGTTATAGTCAAACATTCTTTCATGTTTATTAGGCCGAAGCAATCTAAGGCGGAAAGCCTCACTCCTCACCGAATTCTTCGAGAATGACCAATCGAATATATAACGACAGGATTATTGCATACAGTAACTTTCAATTTCTAATATCATACGAAAATCCTAATTAGAAATTTTGTAGAATTAGTGAGAGCAAAGATCTTAGGAGGAAAAACAAATGGAGATGTGAAATTATTACCACTAAAATATAATTAATTAGGCCCAATTCCAAAGGTAGTTTCCGTGAGGTTGTAATCCAAACATCCTCGATCCTGATCCCCAAAGGAAATACTACTTGTGTGAACATCCTAAATGGCACCCTCTGATTTTCCTCTCGAAAATGTTAGTAAAATTCAAGGCTTAGATAACTTTGATCCCTGGAGCCCAAAAAATTGATCGAAAGGGATTCACCTTTTTTAACTTTTCACTTTAAGGAGACCCCGTCAGTTTTTTCTCCTCTCGTTATCAATGCATTATCAACCAGAAAGGTGACGGATTAAAGGAAAATATGTCAACTAGGGGATATTGCATTACTTAACGCCAAATTGTGACTGCCAAATTCATAAGAAATGTACAGGAGACAGTGTGGAGAATTTCTATTGAGATCACAAAGCAATGAATGGATTTATTAAATTACCTCTTGCCACCACATCATCCGTGCCACTAACATTCAACAACTTCTATTTCATATTTTGTAGACGCTGAGGACCATCGTTCAAAAGTGCCTGCAAACAGGTGAAACGCTTCGAGCGAACTCCATTGCATTACCTGTCATTGGGACTGGAAACCTACAATTCCCACGCGATACAGCCTCGAGAATCATGTTGGAAGAAACGGTCAATTTCTGCCGAGCCAACCCCGCTTCTAATTTAAGGGACATCCGATTTGTCGTGTTTAACCAAGATCAAGCATTAATTTCCGCCTTCAAAAATGAGATGGACAAACATATTGGCCACCCTGCTATCACGCCTTTAACTAGTGGAATGCGTTCCTTCCTAGAAAAGAAGAAAACGATGGGGACATCGGGTGTTAGCATTGAAGTCTTGAAGGGCGACGTGTACCAGGAAACTACAGACGCCATTGTGAATATAATAACTAAAGACCTGAACATGGACAGTGCTGGAAAGTTGAGCCAGACAGTGAAACAGCTAGCCGGGCCGCAGGTAGAGACTGAGTTGAATCAGCTCGGACAACAATCGGGTGGAACCGCATTGATCACCAGCGGTGGAAATCTACTTGCACAGAAAATTATTCACTTAATTCCAGACAACAGCGGAAAAGACCACCTCCAGCAGTGTGTAGAAAGATGTCTTTGGCTGGCAGAGACTCATGGTCTTCGATCCATTTCGATTCCCGCAGTTGGTACTGGTTCATTGCATGTTTCTGCAGTGGACTCAGCCAGTCTGATATTTAACGCCCTGAAAAACTTTAGTGGAAGCTTCCGTAGTGTCCGCAAGGTCAGAATTGTAATCTTCGAGTCTCCAATGTTGTCGGTATTTCAGCAAGAACATCAGAGGTACTCGTTTTCTCCACAAGTAGGCGTGCCTCAGCACATGACCTTAACCAGCCCTTTCGGTGTCGAAGTGATAAATGGCGATTTGACTCAAGAGAACAGCACTGACGCTATCATGAATATCATTAGCACGGATATGAACATGAATAACGCCGGAGACCTAAGCAAAGCCATAGCAAGACAGAGTGGTCCACTGGTGCAACAAGAATGCAACCAATTGGGAAAGCAGCTTCCTGGAACAGCGATAATTACCAGCGGAGGTAATTTACAAGTAGCTCATATTGTTCACATAATTCCAGGTTCCTCAGATAAGCAGCATCTCCAGCAATGTTTGGAGGAGGGTCTTCGTGTAGCGGACGCCCATAACTTTCAAGCGATCTCAATTCCGTGTGTTGGCACAGGAGGATACGGCTTGACCGGAGCGGACTCAGCCCAGCTGACGTTCAAAGCACTAAATGCATTCAGTGCCCGCTGTAAAAATATTCAAAAAGTAAGAGTGGTTGTGTTCCAGGCCTCCATGATGCAGGAGTTTCTAGAAGAGCAGAAGAAACAACCAGTGCAAGACATTGAAGGAGAAGGTGACTCAGAGAATGCAGCAGCAAGGCAAACCAGAAGACGCGGGCGTAGGCAGGCACCAGGCCAAAGTAATGAACATTCTGTAAGAATTTCTGTGATTGGCAAAGACAAGGTGAGCATAAGAAAAGCCGTCGAATCCTTGAAGAAAGGTTTCTCTGACGCTTTTACAATGGAAAAAGTGGAAACTGACGTCGCCAGTCAGCTTTTCGATAAGCAGAAGGATATCTTGAGAAAAGAAGCTAAAGACCGTGACGTCAAACTTGAAATTGAGGATGACGTGGATCGCATTGTCGTTCGTGGTGGACCAACCGAAGTAGCTGATGAAGGTTTGTTGCTAGACATCTCTTTTGAAGAGGATGTTTCGATAAGGTTTAAGAAAAGACTGAGAGCTATTTCATGTCTCAGAGAACGTTTAAGGTAATAAATTTGTGATACAGATAGGGGATATTCAGAAAAGCTGTCCTAAAATGTCTCTCCCAAGCTTTCCTGTTGATCTTGTATGTGTCTTACCTGAAAAATATACTTGGATCTTGAAATTTAACCTCAGTAGATGGGCTTTCACTTCAACATTCTAATCTTTTGGTCCTTTCGGTAGGAATTGCTCTACCAAAGCACTGGGCACCTATGCCCGGGCATGACTCTACTGTACATAAAGTAGAATTGCGGCCAGGCTCCCCTGAGTATCAAGATGTCGTACGTAAGTTTCAAGAAACAGCCGGTGCGTTTAATATTCAGAAGATTGAACGCGTACAGAATCCTCATCTGTATCAGTCTTACATGGTAAGAAAAAAGAAAATGGATAAAGATACGGGAGGAAATAGTGAACGACAGCTGTTTCATGGAACGGATGCTAAAAATATCAACCATATCAACACACATGGATTCGACAGAAACTTCTGTGGGACTCGTGGTAAGTCACTGAAATTTTAAATAGAGGAAACGTTTTATCATCTCGTCACCGAGTGGGATTAAGGAAAAATTTCAAGTACTTATGAGAAATCGAACCTCAGGCTTTCAGATTTCCTCGCTCCAACGCTCTACCATCGAGCTACAGACTATGATGAGTAGAGTTTTCAAGTGGTTAATATGTGGCACGCCTTCTACATACCGCTAGGATCATTAATTTCGAAAGCTTCGTGTGAGAAAAAGGAGCATTGAAGCAGTATTTTCGAGCGATTGGTCCTAAGTAGTTAACCCTTTACACCCTAACATCAGTATGTACATTCTCCACTCCGTTCTTGAAACATTTCCTAAGGTGCTGAAACAAAGAATTTGTTTGCTAATCGAAAGGTTCCTTCACAGGTGACCATTTCCTTTATTCTCATGACCTTAATGTGTGATTTAGGCTTGTTATTGTAGAGTTTAAAAGGTTAAAGCGTTTTTTTGGCTAAACTTTTATTTGTCTACCTGTCCCACCAAGTCACTCTTTAGAGTCAAATATGGTAATAAAAGCTGTAATAATATAAGGAGAGTACAACTGCCTCTTTCATAACAAATAACTTCACCGCATGTATGATTTTGTCGATCCTTTTTTTTCAGGCACGGCCTATGGACGTGGTGTTTATTTCGCTAGAGACGCTCAATACTCTGTTGCATGCGCTGGGGGTGGTGGAGGGCGCCACATGTACTTTGCCAAGGTCCTCGTGGGGCAGTATTGTGTTGGAGATCCTTCAATGATTGTGCCTCCACCGAAAAATCCATCGAAACCTGAAATTCTTTACGATTCCGTGGTTGATAACCAATCAAACCCCAGCATCTTTGTTGTTTTCTTTGATAATCAGTGTTACCCTGAATACCTTATAACATTTTGAAGACCACATGGACCTTTTCCTCAGATAACGGCAGAGTTGAAATGCTTTATAGTTCAACTTAGTTTATTAGATATATAAACTGCACGAAATTGTTCTCCTTCACAGTGTAGGGAACATCATATAAATGTTGGTAATAGTTTCTCGATAGCATTCTTTACCGTCTTTACTCAAAGCTCATTCTTCATCCTCTAAATTGAATGATCATGTCCCAGTGGTTAGAAAGTTATTGTAATGATGCCAAACAAAGTAAAATCCAGCTTAACGAGTCTTATCACTATAGTCCAGGTACCACCAAGAGGCTAGTGGTAACAGCATCCATATCAATACACAACGATTTAACAGGTGCTTCTCTGGAGTTCATGGTGGGTCTGTTGCTGAAGCCGTCTTTTGTTAGATTGATAGTTTTCGGCTTAAAATTCCATCCACTTACGTCTCGGATACTTGGATTATTCTAACTATGGTTTAAATAGTCAAATAGCTATGGTTTCATGGTTTAGAATGCATCTTTATTTTCTCCAGGCGTGGTGTCTACTTTGCCAGAGGCGTTGCATACCCAATTTGTTACGCTTCGCGTGATGTTTCTGCAAGACGCAAAAAAAAAAATCGTGTCATTGGCACTCAAAAACCAAGATCTTTACTTTCATACTGAGTTTAAAAAGAAATGTCCTCGTTTCAGTTCGACAACATTGAACATATAGAAGAAATGTGAGGAACATTCTGCGTTTCAAGGCAGACTCGATAAAATTGACCCCTTACTTAGGTTAGGTTATAATTACTGATACACAGATGAAACATTTTCTAAAATGGCTCTCATAGGGGCCATGACTTCATACTTCCCAGAATTAAAATTTAACGTTTTAAACGAGGTTTTATATATATATAAAAGTCTTTAGGGTTATTTTTTAATGTACTCCTTTTTCCCCCCTCTCGTTTGTTTGGGATTCTAGTAACTATTTGACTGGCTGTTAATTTTCAGTAACGCGCACGTTGTCTCATTCTTTAATGAAGACTTTCACTTACTTTTATGGTGTAGAAGATTCACCAGGTAGGGAATCTATTTGAGATATTAAAAAAACTGGTTCGCGCTAAGAGGGTAGTCAAAAGCATTGTGTGACTGCAACTGGTATTAAAATAAAGGAATAGCGAAAAACTGAGGCATTTGTTTTCCCTTTTTGACCACAAATAGCGCTTTTTACATTGAACGAGTGAAAGGGGGGTCTTTCCGCCGATTATTAGAGCAGGCTGACGAAGAATCCTTTATGAAATTTAGATCACAGCTACGGCCACCTTCAGTTGAGGACGGTTTTAATTTTATGCTCCTTACAAAAACTTAAATTCTGGGCAATCTATTTACCATATGCCTCACACTAAGATAGTTGTGACTTAGATAACGATTCCTGTCACGCTCAGTATGCTTTAAGACATTACGTGACATAGTGAAAGGAAGCCTCGCTTTGATCCCTGATTCTAAGAAGAAAGGCGGAAGTCTCGAGACGCCATGCTTTTGACACACGGTGAACACTTGAAAATTGCTTCTTTTGGATCGCTTGGTGTTCTAGACTAAACGATATTCCGCATTTTTGGTTGTTTTGAATTTAAAAGCCGTAACATGTAGGAAAAATTGGCACCACATCGAGGTAAGCATATCAAAGTCGCCGTTGTTAGTCTCGATAATTCAATAGATACACAGTGTTATTTCAGGTAAATTTTCCAATAGCTTCCTAATAATTATCGTTTCTAAATCACACAGCACGGATTTTATTTTTCCTTCGAAAATTCAGTTATTTATAAAATCTGATTTTGGTCTTATTTAGGAGAACTTTTTCGATATATATCGGAGTTCGAGGCTTTGTACTATTTTAAAAACATCCTCCTTGTTAGTCGAGTTTGTTGCATCTTGTTTTGAAATAGATCTGAAGTTTATAACTGACCCTGAGCTAAATAGTACTTCAAGGAAGTTTATTTTTCATGATCAGGCTATAAGGACCTCTAGATTGAAAATAAAATGATCCATTTGAATAAAATATCTCAACCGGTTCTTATCAATTGGAAATTTCTGTGTGAGAAATGTTTGTAATACCCCCTAAACATGTTTTCAAAAGTAAATTATGAAATTATATTATACTAGTTCTAGCCTACGGAATGAAATTGCAAAAGGCTGATCTTGGCGAGGATATGATATCCACTAGTCTTGGGGTAAACTAGCTAGCGCAGCTGTAATTCGTTCGTTGACAATCGTACACTTTCGTGATGTAGTATTTACGCCTTTGTATGGTTTTCATGTCATCGCCAACCGGTTTGTCACTTTATTTGTCATCTGAAATTCACAAAGCAAAGTCTTCTATTAGGACAAATACTGGGTGCAATATAGTATAGAGTGGAAAAGTGGAAAAAGTGCAGAATATAATGGTGTCAGAACCGAATATAATGGTTTGAACCGGATGTAATGAGCTTTGCACCCTTATCATGAAAATAGCATTGAATATAAATATAGAGGGACCGAGTAAAATGAAATAAATACTATATATAATCACGAGAAATAAGTACCGTAAGACAGTTCTGATATTCCGTAAGATTGCGGCGAATTTTAATTGAACTACATTTCTGAACACATTTACGGAGGCGGTGTTCAAGAGAAAATTCAATAAAAAAGGAGCAAAAATCAGTGACTGATTTAAAGGATGCATTCTATCCGCACTACTGTTGTTCGAAACATGTTGCATTAAACCACGTGAAATATGCAAATTTTTTTTCGGAGCCGAGAGCAACCCTGGCTTCCTCATTGGACGATTCACATAGCTTCGGGCGCAAATCCTGTCACGCTTCACGCAAGACATTAACAACGATCCATGACGTAGACACAAAAGTTGTTTTTTCTAAGAAAATGATTCGAAAAAATCAATAGAGAAAAATACACAGTGTAAACAAGTAGAACACATGACATTGGAGGTCTTAAACTAGACTGCTTTTTATTCATATCAAAGTGAGCTCAATGGCGTGCAGAATTCACGGCAAATTCACATCGATGAGTAAATTTTTTATCTGTTGCCGGTTCAGTTCAGAGATTTAAGTTTAGTTCCAAGCAAGTGGTGTCAATTTTTTTCTTTCATCTATCCATTCATTTATTCATTCGTTGGTTTGTTCATTCAATCAATTATTATTTCATTCATTCATTAGTTCATTGATTCATTCATTCAGTTTTCATACTTTCATACTTTCACGCGGTCTCTTACATCTTCAACCATCTCTACGTAAGTTAACTCCACGTTTCAGCCGCTCGCCTCTACACATTTGTTTCGTGTAGTAAAATACCATATGTATGCCAAAGGAAATATGGGGCTTATTTCCCAATATGTTTGTATCAAGTTTCTTGATGCACATAACCGTCATCAGTATTTTCTGTATCTAGCACAAGAGGTTAATTGACTTTGACAAGTCTTGTATGAAAGACTGAGCGCGACCTTGGTGTACTTTGAACCACAATTAAAACCGTTTTCTGATCCGTTTGTTACTTTCAGGGACATGTAATTTTAGTCAGCTGCCTGTGGATAAATAAAATGGCCACCGCCCGCGACCCTGATGATTTGCTTCGTTCGAATGCCGACAAAGAAAATTTCCAACGCTTGACTCGTCTGCTGATAACTGGAGGTACTACACTGCTGAGGGAAATTTTTGACATGTTTTGTTCTCCAAATGATCTTCCAAAGTTGCTGCAAGATTCTACGACAAAAAATAAGCTTAAAGCAGCAAAGCTCTCCAAACCACTGTGGGACTGCCTGTACCCTTCCCCAGGGGTTTATGGCAAGTCACAAGACTTTGATGTTACTCTACTCTTCAGACTACTCAGAACACTTTTCACGCTTATCCCACCTGCGACAGGCTGGGATGAACTTCCAGCAAGTGAAGATCACAGTTTGGAAGCAGATTTAGCGAGAATTAAATACTACCGGAACTCTATCTATGGTCATGCTTCGCAGAACATGGAGATGTCAGATGCAGAGTTTTCATCCTTATGGAATGAGATAAGTGAGGCTCTTGTCAGGATTGCGGGACACATCAGCCCTGAAAAGAAAACGGAATGGCAGAAGGCGATCAATAAATTTTTTACAGATCCCCTCACGGAAGAGGATAGAAGGAATGTGGAGGAATTGCTGACTTGGTATAGAAACGATATGGAGGTTAAGAAATCAATAGAGAAACTAGAAACTACAACTCAGGAAATGAAAGACCAGATGGATCAACTAGGAAAGCTGCAACAGAGGATGGATCGTAAACTAAGCGTCTTAACTGAAAGCTCACGAGAACAAGGAGGTTAGTTGAATTTCTTCCATTATTGCAGGAGAAAGAAATCAATTTGCGCTCCATGTTCAAGAAACGATCCCGGACCGACCGGAAAACACAGAAGGAGTTCTTATATTTTGAAAAGTTTTTCCCGGCAGTTTTCCTATTTTTATAAAGAGTCTAAGGCTAGACGGGCGATCGAAATACAGCTCTTTGTGGGGTGAGAGTGTTTTAATGGCCATATAACTTCCCATCGGAAGTTATAGTGACTCATTCATTGCATCACGAAGCTATTAGGTTGTTGTTGTGTTTATCTTAGGCTATAGCCCTGTTGTCTAACCATTTGGTATAATTGCTGATTGGCGAGTAAATTGCAGTTGGTCCAGGTAAACAGCAAACAGTTGAGATGCTAGGGCATATTTTTCTGCATGACGAAAGTTAGGCGTACTTTAACTTGGGATCTTATAGAAAAGTTATTCAATATTTATCCTCAGCTCGACTTGCTTTGAGAATTGACTGCAGCATACCTGACCCACAAGTGAGAACCTCTGAGAGAGCAGCAACTTCGCAGGAAGAAGAAACAAGAGCCACTGTTACTAGGAGCCCTTCTTCTACCACTCAGGCAGGAGCCTCAGAGATAGCAGCAACTTCAAAGGAAGAAGGAGCAGGAGCCTCCGTTACCTGGAGCCCTTCCCCTATCACTCAAGCAGGAGCCGCTGAGATAGTCGTAACTTCGCAGGAAGAAGGAACAAGAGCCTCTGTTGCTAGGAGCCCTTCCCCTACTACTCTAGCAGGAGCCTCTGAGATTGCAGCATCTTCGCAGGAAGAAGGAACAAGAGCTTCTGCCGCCGGCAACTCCTCACCTACCACTCAAGACGTTTTAAATCTCGCTGCGATAAAGTACCTGAATACAATTAACCCGTCTACACCAGAGGAACTAAATGGATTTGTACAGTATTTAAAAGAGGTGCGTAAAGTATTGATCGTGGACACAAAGCGTGGAAGTTTAATAATTATCGTGGAATGCACCTCCTTGGAAATACTTGATGGACTGTGGAACGACTATTGCTCAGGTCAACTGAACAAGATGGCACAAAAATACCTTGTTACAGAGGAACTTTTAAAAGACCTCGGTCTCTTGGATGTAAAGCTCACGGTAACTATTCTGGAAGATGAGTACAAAAGGTGTCGAGAGCATTTCTTACAGCAATCAGGTACGTGCAGTGACTGAGAAGCTTACTGCTTTAAGTTTTCATCATGTTTTCCAAAATTAAAAACTCTCTGAGTCACAGTGTTTCAAAATTTGTTTGTGTGGATGGTCGCTTTCTCCAAAAAAATTGTAAAAACAATGTGCATTTGATGACCCTTTTGAGACGGTTTTCAGGTTATCTGAGCGAATAATGTGCAGATTTAAAATCTGTTTATCTAGGACAACTTAATCATTCAATGACTGAATTAAGTTACTTCGACAATTGGCTGAATAGATCATTTTACTGATATCATATAGAAAGCAAAGACACTCGTCCTCATGAAAAAGTCCAAGAAACCACGGAAGAAAGCACAAGTACATCAGATAAGGATCGTCAACAAAATGAACAGTTCAGAGTTATACCTGAGCGAGAAACCTGGCATCAAGTTCCACCTCATGGCCGGCATTTCAAACATAAAGCGGCTGGTGGTAAGAAAGGTCCACTGTTAAAAATGCTAAGAACACGCTAGCATCTACAACCGATTTTTGTAGTTGGAGTCGTTAGATTTGGCTGAGCATATTAGATCTTAAAAACAGGCCATGGCTCTCTTTTCTTCTGCCCTTGTGAAAAGTTTCTAATTTAGTATGTGATTATATACCTGTATGTGTATCATGTCATGTTGAATTAATGAAATGCAACAGGACCCAGATTTTTACAAGCTGTTGTAGAACTGGATACATCCTGTAAAAGTGTTTGTTCAAATAAACGCGGGCTGTTGTGAAATAGGCTGTTTTACTTTGAACTTGTTTAGAGATGGCGCTTGGAAAGCCACCTTAACTTAAAATTAGATGTGGCTGAAACGATTTATGTCTCCATTCCAGCAAAAACAGAACAGAGTAAGGGTCGAGGCGATAAGACAACTCGTGGAACACCTGGAGTGAGACCCTCTGCTGGGGGGACACGTTATTCGCAAAAGAAAGTGAATGATGGAGCGGTGAGAGGACGTCATGACGATGGTCGTGGAAAGAGAGGAGACCAAGGACGAGGAAGAGGGCGAGGACGAGGACAAGGACGAGGCTCTGACAAAACACGAGGAGGACCACAACAAAGAGGAGGTACATAAGTGCTCCTCTTATGTCCAGAAATGCACGCAGTAACGAAAATAAGATGGCAGATTTGACTAAATTTCGTCAAACCGAATGAATGTTCATGGAATTGACGATTTTTACGAATTTTTGTCAAATTTGTTAAAGCGATATCAGCTTAGCGAATTTTCGACATTTTCGTTACTGCATGCATTTCAGGACATACCTCCATAAGCGGCATAAAATGGAATGAATAACCAGTGAATGAATATATATAAACAAGGAAATAGATATATTGAAATGTAGCAATGGTATTTTTTGCTATTAGATGGTACTTCCGCCACTGTTTTCAGGTCGGGTTGGAATTTGGATTGTGTATTTTTCGGATCAGGGTGAAAGCCTCGACTAAAACACATGTGACGCCGAATTAGGGTCTGTTACCTTCTGTAGATTTTCATTCTGGCGTGGAAATGACTATCAAGGGAATATGTTCCTTGTGATAACAAGTTATTGCTTTGTAAAATCCGCCGCAAAAAACTTTAGTACAAATTTGGCTGCTCCTTTAAGTCGCATGTCAGAATGTTCTTTTTAACTTCAAGAAGGACCAATAGACGTAATTTACTGTTTTATATTTGACCTGTCTGGTCCTCCCATTCAGTCAATAAGTGCGTAATATTAGCTCCGTTTGCTTAATTAGCCGTTTGATTGCACGGTCAAAGCAAAAAGTGTCGAAAACCCCAGGTTTGATTGTTTTAACTTACCAAGAATATAGAAGCTTGATATATTGTCGTGGAGGTAATTTTTTGTTCCATTTCTTCCAGGGGGACATGGTCACCAAAGTGGAGCTGAGCCGCGTCAGCAATTTGATGCAGCTTCCCAAGGATTCAAACAGCCTAACATCAAGTACGAGTGGAACAAATTGTACGTATTGGGCTTACACTACAAAACAACACCAGACGCTGTGAAGAATTATATTGAAAGAATAAGCGGTTATAATGTGAAGTATGTCGAATGGTTTAAACCAAATGGAAAAGCTATTGTGACGTTAGACACCTTCAAAATTAAAGGTAAACACAAGAGGTATCAGAATATCTGAATGTAGCAGAATTTTGTTGTTTGTAGGGTCCAACTTCAATCGAGGAATTGTTGGTGCATACGATTGTATCAGCTTTCAAGTAATAGATGATCGATGTTCAAGTTCAATGGATTATTTGTAACTAAATAAATCATTTATTGGTTTCAGGTTTTGCAGACATTCTCAAGGCCGCAAAAGAAAGGCCCCTTGAACGGGTACAGGTGATAATTGAAAGAGCCCCTGAGTGCAGGAGCATATTTGCAAGCGGATTTCCGGGAAAAACTACAAAGGATAATGTTATAAAATTTTTTCATGAATGGGGGGAAATAGAAGATGTTTCATTCAGCGATCCATGGGACGAAAACATGAAGGAAAAGAGAGTTATTGTGTACTTCAAACACAAGAAGAGTAAGTCATTTTGTAACTGTGGCCTTCTTTTAGAAGTTTTGAAAGTTTTATCTGATGCACTACCTTTTCCACTCCATTTTGTCGTAAGAGTCAACTCAAAATTTGTAATATTTTTTCAACGACTTTATATTGGACAAGTAGGGGAATAGAATTAGATTCATAAATTGGGGCGGAAGGTTTTTCAGTAATGCTAAAAATCATGATTTCTTAGGCTCCAACAGGTGTTGAACGGAAAACCATTGAAAAAAAGGATAGTAAAGAAGAAAAAAGAAAAAAAAGAATGAAGAAAACAAAAGTTTAAGTTGAAGTATGATGGTTTTTTAAAGCGTCATGCCTAGTCGACTCCATGCATACAGATAAAAATAAAAAACCTTCAACACCTGAAAATATTGGGCTAGGTGCTTGGAAGTATGCTATCGTGCAAATCAATCAATTCGGAGGTTGCAAGTTTTAGAGCTGGGTAGAGAACCCTTCAGTGTGATTATGCTTGTCTCTTCCCTTCCCTCTCCCTGCAGTGTGATTATGTCTGTCTCCCCCCCACCATGTTCGACTCCCCCCCTTGAATAACGTCCGGTTCCTGATGATTTCTTTTTTTCTACAGGTGTTTTGCAATCTATCAAGGACGATCACTATTTTGATGATAAACCTCTGCATGTAGAGGCTTTTTACCCTTTCATGGGAACACTGGCACCTGTTGATGAACCTTCAAAGTCAACACGCCCAACCTCAGGTGAAGTGGAAGGAGACAGACAGCCTCACTTCTACAAACCCGTGGACAAAGACATCATGGAATTTTTGATGAAGTCCAACCAAGAGTCCAGATTGAGGGAACGTCTTCACTCAAATGAACGTGCTGGTTTAGGGTGGAAAAATGGAGAAGAATATGCGCTGATCAAATATGACGGCACTGGCAAGAAACTTGACAGGGAATTTGAAGAGCAAGCTTGGAAAAGTCGCTGTTCTGAAATAGTCGATTCATTCATTTCTAGTTGCACCGCGAAGGAATTTTCCGTGGACGAAGAGATCTGGGAAGCAGTGGCCGATCGGTTACCGCAGCTAGAAGGATTTCTGCCAAAGTTCACGGCGCATGTTAAACTCTTGAAAAACTCGCATACCGTCAAGTTAATTTGTCAAAAATCAAACATGTCAGATTTTGGGGAAAAACTTGAGGGTCGACTTATGGTCATTCGACAGCAAGAAGACGAGAAAAAGCTGGAGAGGAGAACGCTGACTGATATAGCAACCGAGAAGCTGCTTCTCTTCCAAAATGCTCGGATTGAGGACGTTTTGAAGAAAAAATTTTTCCAAAATATCCAAGTTAAGATCAATTTGAGTAACAAAAACCTTGAAATCAAAACACCTAAGGGATACATGGCATCTGTCGTTCTCTATCTCCGACAGCGTCAAGACGAAATTGACCAAAACGCAATAGCTGTCCCCCCGGAAATTCTTAAGATACTTAAAACGAAGGTTGGACGAAGAAAGATGACTGAAGAATTGCCAGAAGGATGTTCTTTTAACGTTGACGACAGAAGCGGACAAGTTCTTCTTCTTGGGAGAACTTTACCCTTAACCCAGGAAGGAAGAGTCAAGGCGAAGGAGGTACTAATAAGTAACCGTGAGGTCCGCGTAAGCGCCAGGGATAACGAGCTGATATCTTCAACGAAGTGGGAAGAGTTGTGTAAGAAGTTGGTGAAGCGTCTTACGATCCGCCACAAACGTGAATTGGCTTGCATAGCCGTCTTTGGCTTCAAAAAAGACGTCACAGAAGCCGTAACGAGAATGAGAGACTTTCTTAATGAAAAGAAAGCAACAGAAGGTGAAACAAGACTTACCACGCAAATTCATCGGAAATTCTTCAATGATTATTACAAAGACGAGCTGAAAAGAATCTCGGATGAACTTTGCCATTTTGGAGTCCAAATTGTCGTAGATGAAAGCGGAGAGAGAATAAAATATTCTGGCAATGTAGAAGGCGTGAAAGAAGCTGAGGAGAGGATATACATTCTGCTGGAAAACATCAAAGAAAGGTGTTTCCCAATTTCGCTACCTGGTATGCAAACTTTCTTGACTCAGGAAGAAGGAGTGCGTTTGATAGAAACTGTTGAAGTGGAGAACAAATGTATTATCAGAATAACGGACGAAGCCGCGGCACAAGAAGATGATGATGCCGACAGTGACGATGATGAACCATTGAGAGATGACGAGGAAAATGAAGAGGAGTTCGATGGCGTAGAAACCTTCTCTACCACAGAGGGGAAGAAGGTCACGTGGAAAATAGGAAACATCACAGAAGAACAGGTTTGTTTCAGGTCCTAGTTCTACAAATTTTTGCCTTGTGTTTACGGAAAGGCAAGATGTTACCCTGGCATATCACTTTTTGACAACCTTAATTTTGTTCATGCCAGTTCAATTATTCTGTTGCTTTTCATTATTCTCTTACTCATCCAGATCCAGATCCAGATGGCATGAACAAAATTAAGGTTGTCAAAAAGTGATATGCCAGGGTAACATCTTGCCTTTCCGTTAACACACGGCAAAAATTTAGCCTTAATTTTGTTCATGCCAGTTCAATTATTCTGTTGCTTTTCATTATTCTCTTACTCATCCAGATCACCCTAATGTGTCTAAAGGGTCTGCTGCCCGATGAGCGTAACTTGATATCTCTGGGTTGAACTTGTGTGAATTTCTTGACGTTAATACATCATATCATTTTACTTACCTTTACTATAGGCCGATGTTTTAGTTTGCTCAGTTGGGTCAAAATTCAATCTTGCGATTGGTGCCATTGCAAATGCTATGAGTAAAGCTGCTGGCCCAGAGTTACAAGAGCAGTTAAAAGAAAAGACGTCAGGAAAACAATTTGGTGAAGGCGACATCGTTCACACCGGCCCAGGAAACTTAAACTGTCGTCATGTGATCCACTGTGTTTGCTGCCCATGGAAAGGAAATCTCAAAGAGGAGCAGGTTAGACTTATAATACGGTGGGCTACGTTTATGTTATTTTGTGTGGCATTACTTTTATATCATTTTCCTAGACTTGAAATGACCAGGCGAAATGTCTTCAGATTCCTGTTTCCGAGAGAATTTGTATACCTTAGCAAAATTTGAGTGATGAATATTATTTATAATTATATACAGTATACAACTCTGGCAGCTGTTTAAAACAGCTAGACTGATTAGTCTTTAACATAATATATAACAGTATAAAGCCTTGAGTTTACACAACGTGGTATTAAGGGATGGAGATATAAGAAGATACTCCATCCCCTTGAGGATTCGAGCCACGGCTTTCATGCTCCGATGCTCTACCGCTGAGCTACAGAGAACCAGTCTGTTTTTGTGGGAACCAGTCTGTCGTCGAGGGCATGGAAAAGGTTTTCTGCATACTGTTTGGATCAACAACATAGCCACTCAGTTTTTTTGAAAAGCTGTTTTTTAATGCTTTTTGGTATTTCTTTCACAGCTTCTTCAAGAGCTGTTTCGGAAATGCTTTGACAAAGCATCAGAACTTGGTGCATGTTCTATAAGCCTACCGCTTGTTGGGACTGGTAACCTTGGTTTCCCTTATGACACTGCTGTCCAGATTATGATCCAGGCAGCAGTTGACTACAGCCGCTCAAATCCAGATTCACCCCTGGAGGAGGTTAAGTTTGTTGTGTTTGGCGGTGATGAGAAAGGCATTGAAACGATCATGGAAAAATTTAGAGAGTTCAAAGGAGAACAGAGGCCCAGGCTCAAAACTCGAAAACCAGAAGTTCGCAAAAACAAGCCAACGCCTGTTCTAGCTGAATTTTATTCTAAAGAAGTCTGCGTTGAAGATATGATGTTAAAGGTCTTGAAAGGAGACATCACCAAGGAACGTTCCGATGCCATATGTAATATTGTTACTAAAGATCTGAACATGAAATTTGGAAATCTGAGTAGAGCCATCATACAGGCATGTGGTAGCACTGTAGAAAATGAGTTAAAGTCAAAAGCTCCTCAGCACCCAGCTGGATCCGTTGTGATTACATCTGCTGGGCGCTTGTCTGCAAAGCACATCGTACATATGGTTGTGGGACCTGTCACCAAGAGGAATCTTCAGACTTGCGTGGAGAAGGCACTGGAAGAAGTGGATTCTATGGGCTTGAAATCAGTGTCCATTCCAGCGGTTGGCAGTGGAGGATTGGGTCAAACTGCGGATGAATCAGCAGAGTTGGTCTTCGGGGCAATCCGCGCATTTATGGCTAAACTAGACCGTTCAATTCGGGAGATTAGAGTCGTAGTTTTTGACGATTCTGTTACTGCAGCATTCGTGGCAGAGTTGGAAGCAATACAGCGAGAATATGTTGACTCGCCCCACTCTGACGACGAAGACGATGACCAAGGCTACTACGAAATGGGCTTAGAAGCGTCTATCGATGTATTAACAAGAAGACGGCCCCAGAAGATCGTCATTCATGCTCGGTCAGAGTCATTTGAAGCAATTATGACAACCTTGAAAGAAGGTGTAGAAAAAGCCTGCGGCAACCCTCGTGTCATCAGGCACGAAATTATAAGTCGTTTTCCCAAAAGGTGCATGCGGGAGCTGAAACGGATGTCTCGTGCTCGAGATGTAAGACTGGAGCAACCCGAACCTAACGTGTTAACATTAGAAGGACTTCCAAAAGATGTAATGGACGTCAACTCGGAAGTTTCGGATGTAATCCAAGAGCAGATGGAAAGAGAACACAAAGAGGAGCGTGCAGAACAGATGTCTAAAACTGTGCAATGGTATTTAGTCAATCCAGGAGGAATATTTTCCGCTTTCGACAAAATGGCCAATAATGAAATAGAGTCAGCGTATAAAGAGAAGAAACCGTCACTTTTATTCACTCATCGGGATCTGAAGGCTGAAATCAACTTCGAGAACAAAGAGGTTACGTTCCTGAGAACTGGCGCCATCAAAACGGCACTTCGTAAAGATGGTAAGGGCTGTGATACGCGTCCATATGTAATGTCTCTTATTTTAGAGCGGGTTACGTTTGTCACGAGAAGGCGTGTTTGAAAAGAATGAGAAAGAGTTAGATTCAGGGGGTTCACCTATGTACTTCTACTGCATATAAACTTGGCTGATTTAGGAGTTTCAATTCTGCAAATTTAACCCAATTCTGTAGTTTCATCAAATTGTCATACGTTAAGCATCACTGGTATCATTAAGGGTTTTTTTGTTGCATTAACAGTGCTTCCTCTTCCTGATGAATGGGACCCCCAACCTCGAGACAACCGAGGAAAAGAGGAGATCCTTTACATGGTCAGCCTTCCAGAGGACTCTCAAGAATACAAAGCGGTTGAGGAGAAATTTCTGCGGACACTGAGTGGAAAAGTAGTCATTTCAAAGATCGAGAGAATTCAAAATCCGTCCATGTTTAATTCGTACATGTTGCGGAAACAAAGCATGGATGAAAAGAATGGAACTATCGACAACGAGCTGGAACTCTTTCACGGAACAAGGCCAGAAAGCGTGAAGGAGATCAACGTTCAGGGATTTAATAGAAGTCTGTGTGGCGTTCATGGTATGTGTAGAAGTCTACGAATAATTGAAATGCTTCTAATTAGCAATAATCGGTCTTTGAGGGGAGAGTGTAATACACGGATCCTATTGTACGTGTTTTTTAATGGTATTCCTTGGATTTCTGGCCAGTTTTGTCGAAGTACGTACGCATTTAAAAGGAGTATAAATCAGTCTTTGGAATCTTTGTTTTCCTTCCCTAATCTAACATGTACCTCCCATTTATATGAATAACTCAATACTGCCTTGCCTAACCCGTCTATCGCGTCAGCTTCCTTAAGGCCATATGACTTGTACGTAAAGTAGTGTTAGCGTTTGTCATTCAAAACTACTCAGCTGCAGTCGTTTTGCTTTCTAAGAGGAAACAACAAATTTGTTCCCCACACAGGTGCAGCGTATGGCGACGGTGTCTACTTTGCGAAAGATGCCTCTTATTCTTTGACGTATTCTCAACCAGGCCCAAATGATGAACGCTGCATGTATTTAGCGAGAGTATTGGTCGGAAAGTACACTGCTGGCGAGCAAAGACTGAAAAAGCCTCCCCCCAAAGATCCCAGTACACCGGAAATCCTGTTCGACTCGGTGGTGAATAGGGAGGAAGATCCGACGATTTTCGTGGTTTTTAATGACTATCATGTTTACCCGAAATACTTAATTACCTTTGAGAAAACAAAAAAGTAGTCGAAATGTATTAATCAGGGAAATTGTCTCCTACTTGTTTCCAGAATGTAAAAGTAGGAGAACGTTTTTTCAAACTTTAAGTGAAAAGCGTAGTATACTGCAATTCAACAGTAATCGAATCGGTCTAGTAATAAAAGGCTTCGTTCATATTCAGTTGGATTTTAACGAATCCGCACACGAGAAGTACTAGAACTATGGAAGGTTGAGGTTATTATGTTCTTTCGAGGCGCTGTGAATGGTGTTATAGCTTTTTATGAAACAAAATAAAACACATGGGAGCTGAAAAACTGACTCGGCGTTGCCTTTGGGAAGCTACGCTTAAATGTTCTTACCGTGAACTCCCAAATCTTACTGAATCTCTGAGTGTTAATAATCGCCACGTTTGCACGATTTGTTACGTGAAAAAGATATTTCTCGTTTTCCTCCCCATAGTCTTTATCCATTTCCTCATTTCTTAGCAGGTACCTTTAGTACAGATGCGGATTCTGAATGCGCTCGATACTCAACATCCTTTAATGAAACGAAGGAATACTTCGGATACATCCCGGAATTTGAAAGATGATTAGCACAGATTTGATGTGTTCGGTGACGTCGTTTCGACTTGCTTGCGAGGCATGGGTTCCCAGTTTGTCGGAAGCGCTGTTGCAAGGGTACAAGCATTAGCAGAAGTGTAGAAATGGGATTGCCAACCAACCAGTCAAAGAACAAGAATAAAGTTGTGATGACCGTGTGGAAATAGATAAAGATAGAAAGTACAAGGGGCCTAGATGGTAAAAACAAATGGGCCTTGCAGATTGTAAAATTCCTAAATTCTTAGTATCCCACAAAGAAAATGAGTTGCTTTAAACTGAAATTTTCATAGGTAGATAAATATCCCTATGGCCACCCAGTGATTTTTCTAAAGGGTTTTTAATGACTTACCAAGCGATTTGACGCTCTAGTCGGCTCTACTAACTTTGAATATTTCGTTCATACTTTGCCAAATTTTGTTGACAATCTCAGTCTCGCGTCTGCGAGACTTTTTCGAAGTTTCTCTTTTTACCCTTTAACATCAAATTTGTCATTCTCCTCACTGCCAACCATACAATTCTTGTGATGTAAGTTCTGAGAATTTAATATCAGATCAGCTAATTATCGCGAGATTGATATTTTTTTTCTCATCACTTATCTGGTTGATATTGTATAGATATTGTGAGGAGAAATTCTGTCTTGGTCACTCATAGGAATTAAAGGGTTAAAAGCGATCTTTGTAAGGTCAGCGAGTTATATTTTCAGTTGTCCTTGGGCGGATCTGGCCCAAGATCATGTGACACTCGGGGCTTCTCTGCGGGTGGCTCTTCGGTTTCCACAGGAGGAGGACTTGAAACAAGTCTTTTCGCCGCTTCTCTATGGACCTGACTTAAGGCAATCGCCATTTGTGTGTGAGCTGCACAACCCCCTTGGAGCAGTAAATTTTGTCAATGTGGATTGCATTGTCTTCTTGAACATTTTGCGGCTTGGCAAGCGACTTGCTCGCTCGATTCTGTGTACTTGCTAACGAAGTACACAGAATCGAGGCTCACTAAAACGCTTTCTGTGAAAGAAAGTTTGTAGATACGAATGTGGCCTTTTTAATTTAACTGTAGTTCATGCAAAGTTTCGTCACACAGGCCTTCTTCGCAGCCGCTCTTTTAAGACATCTCTGAAATGATGAAAAACGATGAAAAACCAAGAGAGGAATATTCTACTGCCGTTTACTCTGCAGGTAAGAGTTCAAATGTAACTTTAAGCCAGTCTTAACTTAAAACAAGTTATCGACATTTTGGTAAATTTTATTCCGTGAAGCTTTCAATAATAATTGATTTAACTTAAATCAAGCCCCCTAAGTGTATATTTTCTGTGAAACTCGCTCATTTCTAGAGTAAAATATCGTTCTTGTAGTCGTTATAAAAGAAAGGTTGTGACGACCGTCATGTAAGCCAGTGTTAAAGTGATGCGTGACTGCTCTCCTAATAAACTTTGTTTTGAAAATGGTGGATGAACGACCTAATATTATTCACCTGTATTTTCCTGTGAAAAGCTGATTTCTCTTGAGGCTGGGAGAAACAGATAGGGACAGCTTCAAAGCTGAGAAGGAATAAGATTAAAGGAGTGAATGAGAAAGCAAAGGATTCCCATTTTTTGCAAGCTAGTATTACGAAGTGTCAACCTTTCAGTTTTGGCGCGAAAATATTCTTGACAGATGATGCCGCTTGCCTGTCACGCAACATTTAAAGTCGCACCCTCTCCCTACAAAAACAAGGGTTACACTAGTCGGAATTACAAAAATTTTGATAGGAGTTCCTCGGCTGAGCGTCCTTATCAGCTGGTAGGGCTTCCTCTCTCTCACTCGTTCATTGCGAAAAACTTGACATATTGCCACAGAGCCACTAATTGAAGACGAAAAACACCAACACGTTAATTTTTCTTCCTCTGTTTTATTTTATAAGAAAGTTCGGATATAACGCGTGCTGTCATTGGTTGAAAGAGCGCGCTCTTTGAGAGTGTAGAGCATAGAGCTGAGCTAAAGCTGTCACGCCATCTGCCAAATTGTACTATGTCCGACCTTTTCCGGGACCTCTCTCGAGCTTTGTTTTCGTCAAGGGAAGGCCACATCGGTCACTACAGCCGAGTTTTACGACGCTGTCATTCCGAGCGATCTTCATGTTTCGGTGAATTCGGCTGTCGTTCATTCATAAACACTCGCCTTGAACAGTTTGTTTTCTACTTGTCAGGTGAAAAAAACCTTGCGTGTTTTCATGAGCCACAATTCTGCCGACTTTCACCGAACATTATACTTTCAGATTCTATATTATAGACTAAAGAACTTCAGGCCAAAGTGTTAAATTCGACCTGCCAGACTATTTATTCCATTTTCTCGTGTTTATCCCTACTTTTCTCGTGCTCTAGCCACTTCCTGTGTGTTTTATGACAGAACAGAGCACAGTCAAGACTTCTCTATTTGTTAATCAGTAAATAAACCTGTTCGTGAAACCCGAGCGCAGGTAATACTACACCATATTTTCTGAGCAAGCTTTTGGCTGCCAACTAAATAACACATACTTCTATAAGTTTCTCTGTAATGAATCTTTGACACCTTACATCAAATGTCATCGAAGCGACTTCACTGTCATTTGTCACTAAGCGCAGCAAAAAGGTACACGTGCTTTTTGGGAATTCGCTACTTTCGGCAGTTTTCTTGATTAGAAAATTTATGCAAAACAATATTGTTTGTCAATCTGGCGATAAGAAAGAAAATACCGTGATGAAAACTTAACATCAGAACTCTTTGCTTTTCCAAGCTAGAAAACTGGGCAAGCGCGAGGTGAATTTGAGGGGCGAAGAACGCGACTGTGTCATGGTCCTCGCGCACGCCTCGCGTTTCCCAACGCTCGCCCGAAAAACGTGAAAAACTGACATCTGTAGCCAGTAGGCAAGTGCTAACCGCACTGTAGTGATAAAACGCGTTCAGCTCAATTCTACTTTGTATTGCATAACAAGGACCCTCTCACTCCAAGGAAATAATCATTCAATTTATAGGATGAAGAATAAACTTGGAGTTAACTCTTTAACTCCCATGAGTGACTAAGACAGAATTTCTCCTCACAACACCTATATGATATTAAGCAGACAAGCAAAAGAGAGTAAAGAACAATAACAATTAGGGGATTTCTAGTTGATACAGTACCAAATTATCTGAACTAACATCATAAGACTTATGTAGCAGACAGTAAGGAGAATTACTAATGAGATCTCGGGAGTTAAAGGGTTATGACAATAAAGAATGCTATCGAGTAACTATTACCAACATTTATATGATGTTCCCTAGACTGTGAAGGATAACGATTTTGTGCAATTTATATATCTATTAAAATTAGTTAAACTATAAAGCATTTCAACTCTGCCGTTTCCTTAATAAAAGGTCCATGTGGTCTTCAAAAGGTTATAAGGTATTCAGGGTAACACTGATAATCAAAGAAAACAACAAAGATGCTGGGGCTTGATTGATTATTTACCACAGAATCGTAAAGAATTTCAGGTTTTGATGGGTTTTTTGGTGGAGGCACAAACATTGTAGGATCTCCAACACAATACTGCCCAACGAGGACCTTGGCAAGATACATGTGGCGCCCTCCATCGCCGCCACCCAGAGCGTATTGAACAGAGTATTGAGCGTCTCTTGCGAAATAAACACCACGTCCAAAGGCCATGCCTGAAAAAAAAAAAAGCTCAATCTGGAGAAAAAGTATATTCAGTCAAGTTATTTGTTATAAAAGAGGCAACTGTATTCTTCTTATATTATTACAGCTTTTATTACCATTTTCTGCCTCCAAAGAGTGATTCGGCCAGAGCTCATGCAACGTCTGGGTGGCTCAGTAAGACAGGCAGACAAATATGTGAACAGAATTGTGGCCAAAACACTATAAGTTTAGCCGAAAAAACGCTTCAACAAGTTAGGAGCGATCGCTCGAAAATATTGCTTCAATGCTCCTTTTTAACACACGAAACTTTCGAAATTAATGATCCTAGCAGTATGTGGAAGGCGTGTCACATATTAACCACGTGAAAAGCCTGTTCATCATAGAGTCTGTAGCTTAATGGTAGAGCGTTGGAACGAGGAAATCTGAAGTTCTGAAGTTCGATTCCTCATAAGTACTCGAAATGTTTCCTTAGTCCCACTACCGTGACGAGACGATAAAACGTTTACCTCTATTTAAAATTTCAGTGACTTACCATGAGCCCCACAGAAGCTTCTGTTGAATCCTTGTGCATTGATATCGTTGACGTTTTTAGCATCCGTCCCATGAAACAGCTGTCTTTCACCATTTCCTCCCGTATCTTTATCCATTTTCTGTTTTCTTACCACGTAAGACCGATACAGATGAGGATTTTGTACGCGTTCAATCTTCTGAATTTTATACGCAACGGCTGTGGCTTGAAACTTATGTTCGACATCCTGATACTCAGGGGAGCCTGGGAGCAGTAGTACTTTATGTACAGTAGAGTTATGCCCGGGCATTGGTTCCCAGTGCTTTGGCAGAGGAATTCCTACCGAAAGGATCAAAAGATTAGAATGTTAAAGTAAAAAACCATCTACTGAGGTTAAATTTCAACATCCAAGCATATTTTTCTAGTAAGACTCAAAAAAGATCAACAAGAAATCTTACGAGAGACATTTTAAGACAGCTTTTCTGTTTATCCCCAATCTCCACAACATGTTATTACCTTAAACGACAAGACATGAAATAGCTCTAAGTCCTTTCTTTAAGCCTATCGAAACATCCTCGTCAAAAGAAATGCCTAGCAACTAACCTTCATCAGCACCCTTCACCTTTCTTTTTAGTGTTATTCGTTCACCAGACGTTTGTCCGCGTCCAGAGTTTCCCTTCAAGTCAATGACAAACTTGTCTCCGCGTAAAGAAATTTGCACTGAGGACTCGTCTTTGCTGTGGGCCAACTCAATCTTGGTATTTGCTTTCGGAGCAAACGCCACTTTTGTGCCTCGTATTTCATAGCTCCACTCTACGTTCTTTGAAACCAACTTCGCTTGTTCTTCCTCCTGCTTCTTTTTCGTCCTCTTGTTGATCTGTTTCCAGATGTCCCCGACTATTCCAGCTACTTCGGTTGGTCCACCACGAACGACAATACGACAATCCTCAATTTCAAGTTTGACGTCACAGTCCTTAGCTTTTTTTCTTAGGATATCCTTCTGCTTATCGGAAAGCTGACTGACGACGTCACTTTCGACTTTTTCCATTGTACAAGCGTCAGAAAAACCTCTCTTCAAGGATTCCGCGGCTTTTTCCACGCTCACGTTGTCTTTACCAATCACAGAAATTGTTACAGAATATTCATCACTTTGACCTGGTGCAGCATTCTCTGAGTTACTGTCTTCTTCAATATCTTTCACCGGTTGTTTCTGCTCTTGTAGAAACTCCTGCATCATAGAGGCCTGGAGCACAACTACTCTTACTTTTTGAATATTTTTACAGCGGGCACTGAATGCGTTTAGTGCTTTGAACGTCAGTTGGGCTGAGTCCGCTCCAGTCAAGCCGTATCCTCCAGTGCCAACACACGGAATTGAGATCGCTTGAAAGTTATTGGCGTCTGCAATTCGAAGACCTTCTTCCAAACATTGCTGGAGATGCTGCTTATCTGAGGAGCCTGGGATTATGTGAATAATATGAGGTACTTGTAAATTACCTCCGCTGGTCATTACCGCTGTACCAGGAGGCTGCTTTCCCAACTGGTTGCATTCTTGTTGCACTAGTGGACCACTCTGTCTTGCTATGGCTTTGCTTAGGTCTCCGGCGTTATTCATGTTCATGTCCATACTCAGAATATTCACGATAGCATCGGTGCTGTTCTCTTGAGTCAAATCACCATTTACCACTTCGACTGTCAAATGTGAGTTGCCAATTTGCTTAGGTTGCAGTTTTTCCATCTCTTGTTTGAAGGCGGCAGTTAATGCTTGATCTTGGTTAAACACGACAAATCGAATGTCCTGTAAATTAGAACCAGGGTTCGCTCGGCAGAAATTGACTGTTTCTTCCAACATGATTCTCGAGGCTGTATCACGTGGGAATTGTAGATTTCCAGTTCCAATGACAGGAAATGCAATGGAGTTCGCTCTAAGCGTTTCACCTGTTTGCAGACACTTTTGAACGATGGCCCTGAGCGTCTACAAAAGATGAAATAGAAGTTGTTGAATTTTGGTGACACGGACAATCTGATGGCAAGAGGAAATATAGTAAATCCCTTCATTCCTATGTGATCTCAATGACAATTCTCCACACTGTCTTCTGTACATTTCTTATTAGTTTTCCAGTCAAAATTTGGCGTTAAGTCGTGCAATATCCCCTATTTTCCTTCTTCCCGTCACCTTTCGGATTGATAATGCACTAATAATGGGAGGAAAAATACTGACTGGTTGCTCCTTAAAGTGAATCCTGGAATCTGTTTTCCGGGGATCAAAATTACGTGAACCTTGAATTCTACTGCCATTTTCCAGAGGATAATAAGAGGGCGCCATGGAGGATGTTCACACAGGAAGTATTTCGTTTTGGGATCAGCATCGAGCTTGTTTGGATTCTAACCTCACGGAAATTACCTTTAGAATTGGCCCAATAAATTCTCTTTTAGTGGTGAAAATTTCACAGCTCAATTTGTTTCTTCCACCAAGATCTTTGCTCTTGCTAATTCTTCAAAATTTTTAATTAGGATCTTCATATAGGGATTTAAAATCTACTGTATGCAATAATTCTTTCGTTATATATAAATGCTACAAGACAATGGGTAGGCTCCGCCAGTTGGGCATCTGATATCGTGTAGGTTCTCATCAAATATAAACAATAAATACTCTTTGATGTATTTTCACTGTTTCTTACCGGCTCCCCTCCACCGTTGTTCCAATTACAACATCGAGTGTGGATCACGTGACTGACCGACGAAAAACGACCTGAGACAGTGATGTCACCAACGTTGGGGGTTGCGGCCTGAGGACCACCGGCATCAATGATTGCTTGATCGCATGCTCCTAGAGAACTGACAAGTACTTCAGCCTGAAATACACAACCAAAAAATGATTTTAATTAAGTTAAGTTAGTTAATGATTTGATAACTTCTTCAATATGGCGGACTGTTGTCGTTATCAAACGTGGCATTCTCAATACGAGGGACGTTAAACAATGTAACCACAGTCTAACAGCATATGAGAACTAAGTGAAGAACTAAAATCGATTCATATGTCAACAAGATCCTCTAAGGTATTTTCGTGAGATATTCTCCTAATGTGAATAAATCAGTGTCAATACTACCTTCTCTGCCCCTATGTTTCCAGGTCTCCACGACACTCTGTGCCTTTGAGCTATTACCAAGGTAGACGAGTCAGTTCCAATAGTGGTAGGGTGGTCATCCTCATCATCGTCGTCACTGTGACCTGGAGAAGTAGAAGCGTCGAATATGTGGGATGCATTTCCTTCAGAACCTAAATTTTTCTTGACTTCTATGGCACAATCTTGATCTTTTCCCACCAATTTCACCAGCTGATATCCTTTTCCACAGTCAAAGTATTTTCGAAGGCCTGGCTGTTTCACTTCAAAGGTTTTAAACTCAGTGGAATCTATCAGAGCGTCGAGCTCTTTTCCTACACGTTTCAAACCCTCTCTGTTTCCAGAAATGATGAAATCATCGTCGTCTTTTCCCTTTTTAATACTCACTACAAAATCTTTTAGTTGATTTTCTATGGTGCGTAGATCTCCTTGACGTAGCTCAAGAAGATACCTTCGCATAAAATCAGACGGGCACAAAAATCGTTCCTCTCTGATACAATCGTTCTCAAGAAAGTTATTTAACTTCTTCATCACTTCGGTCACGTCATCACAAAACCCAGCTACGTATGTATCTTTCCAGTTGTCCCTTCGGACACGGACAGTCGTTTGGTTCATCTCGTCACACAACCTCAGCCATTCAGATGACTTCAAAAAATGCTTGCTTTTCTCGTCCACTTGAACTTTCTCTTCCACCATCAACTTGTTCACAAGCCTCACCGCGTTGTCTGCATGCGCTGCTGATGATCCCACTATGGTGGTGTCTTTCTCAATAACCAACACTGCTTCCACGTTGTTTCTTTCCATCTCACATTTGACAGTCTGAAGCCCTTCATCTGAGACTAAAATCTCCAGGATGCTGTTGGGTAAAGTCAGTTTCTTCTCAACCACATCTGCCATTTGTTTCTCGAACGTCATGGTTGCCTCAATAAACTGTGGCTGGGGACCTTCGAAATATATTTCTTCATCTTCAGTATTAATTTTGATCTTCAACTCCTTATTCTTTTCTTGGAGTTTCTCGGCAAATTTTATCTTCTTCAGCAAAATTAAGCGCTCCTCGGGAACATTTGGAGTTTTCTTCTCTAGGTAAGTTTTTCTGGTCTCCTCGTATATTTCTTCCAACTTTGACTTTACCTTTTCCTCGTTACTTTGCAGAGCTGTTCTTAATGAAACGATCCTAGCAACATTTGACTCAGGAATAGTCTTGACTAGCGGGGGATCGACTCCCAAGCAGGTGCGAATGCTGGGAACTTTTGCTACCACGGCTTCCCAGAAATCCTTGTTGACTTGCACATCGCACTTCGCATAATGCTACAGTTAGAGCATCGAACATACTAAACGACTAAAACTAATTAAAAATTCCCTTGATTTTACAGTTTAACAAGAGATGAATTCTGTCGCCTGGGTAAAGTCAACAGTGATCCAGCTTTTCTTGTTCAAACTTAAGGAATTTGCTCTAGAAAATTGTTGCGATCTGAACAAAGCCTTATTCTCTCAGGGAAGGTTGAGGAGCTCTTAAAAGCTAAGCTATTGCCACCAATTATGGAATTAAGCACGATGGAAACAATTTAGCGTAATGTCGTGTTGCTTTCAAGGGTGAAGCTCAAAAGCAAAATGCTCAATGTTTTTAGAATAATTTATCTGACCCTGGATTAAAGTAAAGAGCACAACCACTCGTGGGCATTTCATTCCGAGATTGAAAGTATCTTGATGTGCCGGAATGATGAAAACAGCAACTCCAAGCGTCTACTTCAATATCATTTTTTCCTGATTATTTTACATTTTTCTGTCGCAGGAAATAATTTTTGCTGTTTTCAGCTGATTAAAGCAAGCTCAGACAGAAACATTTATTTCCTGGTGTTGATATCGATTTGTTTGTGTTACAGACTCTCTGAAAATGCTGATTGATAGTGGATGAGAACAATTACACTCGTGTTATAGTACTTCCGGTTTAAGTCGAGCAAATAACATGGGGGATGTCCCTCCGATGGGCAAAGGAAATAAATGTTTTTCGTCACAGACCCAAAGGATTATGATTTATCAACCAGTAACTTTGAGGATTCTATGATCTCAAGAAACGTAATTCCTTAATTGTGAAGTTTTTCGATGCCTTGTTTCCATTAGTGTGCTTGAATCAGAAATTTATTAGTGCAAATATTGGCGGCCGTCACCGCCAAAAATACAAGGATGTAAAATAGATCAGCAAATACAAAGCTGGTCTAAGGATCAGCTGCAGGATAGCATAGCTAAGAAAGGAATTGCATGGCCAAATTAGAGACGGTTTAGTTTTCCTTCATGAAACAGAACATCCTAAACATGAACAATTTGGCCAAACGGTAAACGGTCTAGTTGCCTATGTCGAGTTGGAACATGAAATTGTGATATGGAATAGCTCAATTGCGAATAGCTTAGCACCCATTTGCAATACAGTACACAAACGGTGTAGCGTTGCGTCAAATAGCTCAGCTTAATGTCGAATGGTACAGTGCACACACATACGGTGCAGCATTGCGTGAAAAGGCTTAGCGCAGTGTCGAATAGCACAGCGCACAAACAAACGGTGTAGCGTTGCGTGAAATGGCTCACGGTGATGTCGAATAGCACAGCGTAAGCACAAATGGTGTAACGTTACGTGAAATGGCTCAGGGTAAAGTAGAACGGTACAGCGTACATACAAACGGTGTCGCGTTGCGTGAAATGGCTCAGCGTAAGGTCGACTGGTACAGCGTACACAGAAATGGTGTAGCTTTTCGTCCAACATAGCTTTGCAGAACATTAGACGCTCTAGCTGAGCAATGAATTGCTTAGCGTTATATGAAATATTTCGACGTTGTGGCGAATCGTCGAGCTTGCATATGGCGTGATGTGAAGACTATCTCGCCGAAACCGCCAAAATACAAACCGCAAATGGAACAGAGATCTGCTGAGGGGCATGACGTTATCGAATGTAAAGATTGGCACGAAACCATCACATTTTGTAGTCGCTGTGTTGAAGAGGGTTCACTTCGGCTTTCCGTAAAGCAGAGCCAACCCGTAACTTTCGGTAAGTTTTTCCTCTCTTTAACCAGCTGATATTGCATTTATTCGTTGTCGTTCATGAAAGGGTTAATTGAAATAGCATCGAGACTGAATTCTACCACGGTTTACTTTTTAAAGAGAGTTTAACTTCAACGGCTCTTTCAACATTGCGGGAGTACGTGAGAAGTTGGATTTTGCGTGTGCCTTTGTGTGCAGAGTTGGACGCCATGGTAAGAAAACTGATATCCTTGATATGTTGAAACTTCGAAGAACAAACAAGCAAACATCATTCGCTTTGGCCACCAACCTAATAGACAACAAGAAATTAATGATACCGACCAGCGTGGCTTGGTTATCCTGCCCTGTGCCAAAGGATTTTCCGAGAGAGTCACAAAAGTTCTTCGAAGTTTCAACATCAAGGTCGCTCATAAGCCTATTTGCTCCATCTCGAACATACTTGAAAAGCCAAAAGACAAGATCGAGAAAGAGGCTTCCGGAGGAATCGGGTACAAGGTCAAATGTAAAGATTGTGATTATGTTTGCGTTGGTCAGACATCACGCGCAACATTGGATGAAAACTCTTTGTTGGCCAAACATCATATACTTCACAGTCACCAAATAGATTTGGAGAGTGTTGAAATTGTTGACAGGTCATCGGCGTGGCGACAAAGACTAATTCTTGAAGCTTGGGATTCCTTGCGAGATAGAAACAGTATAAACGAACACGTAACGCTACCAAACATACACAATAACATTAAGAATTTTTTAGAGCCATTAAAAATACTCCAGAGACTATTGTTACACTTGCAAAAAAAAATTCCTTCGAGATTTAGTTTTATCACACATCGTGGACATGTACCAAGCAGGACGCCGTTAGACATTTGCATTTTTATCTTTGCTGAAGAAGGCAACGCTAGTAACCGAAACGTCCAGAACAATATATATATTTTTTTTAGCGAGTGTCAACGTTTTTTATTCTTTTTACCAAAATTTTGAATATGCCTGGCTACACACCGAATATTTTTAAGGGAAGACTGTTTATATTTATTACTTTAAAGAGGTTTACATTATCACATAAATTAAGGCAATTTACAAAATAGTCAAGAATCTTGCTCCACATTATTTAACGGAACTCTTGCCCAAACTGTTGAGTGAACGTACGCATTTTCGTCTCAGATCAAGAGATAACTTCTCTCAACTTCGTTGTAGAACTTCTACGTTTCAAAAGTCTTTTTTTCCATCAGCAATCACTGGCTGGAATTCTCTGGACCTAGATGTCCGAAATTCTGTATCTCTTCCCAATTTTAAAGCAAAAACTCGGTGGATTCTCTTTCCGCATACCTACAATAGGTTATGTGATTGTTCTTTGTCGAGGCGTGCATCTGTTGATCACACTCGCCTCAGACTTGGGTTTTCTTGTCTAAGAGAATATCTTTTCAAAATTAATAGTTGTGTGTCGCGTATTTACGAGTGCAGTTTTGACTCTGAATCGATGAAACTCTTTTTCTTGTACTGCCCAAGGTAGGCAAACGCTATTTTTGGAACGGAGAAAAAAACCTTTAAGTGTTCCTTTAAGTCTAGAATTGTAATCGACGTTTGATCATGAAAATAAAAATAGAAATTACCTTTACTATTACTGCACCCAGAAAAATATATTCAATATTGTTGTGCTTAATTTTTTTATAAATTTCTCAAATCACGCATATTGAGGCAACAAGCAACAATTGCGCCTTTCACGTTATTTCTTGAGCCAAAATTATCATAAAAATTCAAGAAATTTGCGAAGTCATGAACACAAGCCTTAGTGCAGTGGTGCGTGAATACAATTTCTACGATATGCGAGCTAAAAATGTCTCGATCGGTCGCTTTAACGCAAGATTCTATCAGGTTACGTTCTAAGTCCATTTATCAGTAATCCTATACTTAAAACTAGAGCTACAGAATCTACTGTCCAACAATCATGAGTGCAAACGCTCGTTTAAGTGCACAAGAATATTATCGGTTTGGTTTCAATTTACATTCATTGCAAATTGCAATGAATGATCCTTACCGTAATATGAGTATTCGTCATCCATTGTTGACGAGGTGCGAGCTTGAAACTTGACCTTGATGACTTGAGGAATTGGCGAATGCTGAAATAGAAGAAAGAGAGATCTTTGTAGCTGCTTACTCAAAGACTACAATGCAAATGAAAACAGTAGAAAGTAAGAGTATGATGCAGTTTCAATCGAAAATATCCTAAGTTTGCTATGAATCACGGAAGGCAGCTTCATCTCTAAAGCTGTTGAAGATTTTGTCTTTTAATCAAGTAGTTAACACTAGCAATCGTACATCACTTTTGAGGGCTTTTGAGGAGAATTAATTCCTTGCATTTTCTAGGACAAAGCCAGAAAATTGTTCAGCTCGCGAGAACTTGTGTTAGTTGATAAATCCCTGAAAATTGTGAGAAAGTATTACAACATGATGATTCACGAGGAATCCGGAAAACTCACCGTCAATCTTTACAGTTTTCAAGCGAGGATTCCTCTTCCTTTCCCGACAGAAACGCTGTTATTAAATTACTCATATGAATGCATTGCACTTCTAATTTGCATGAAACCGTACTTCCGGCTTTCTTGGGAACCGTGAGGGGATAAAGAGGCTTGGGAGCAAGCCTAATGAAGACTTTCCTTTCCGGGTGTTTCGTGTGAATCCAGATATTTTAAGCAATGCTTTTTTTTAAGACACAGAGACTGACAAAACAGCACAATCAAAGTTCACTTCTCTAATAAACAGGAAATTAAATAGATGTGAGCGAAATGGGTAACCTCATCACAAGACGAGAACTGGCACTGTAGTAGCCAAACCTGCGTACTGCGTGATATGAAATAAACAGAGGCACTGTATCGCGGGAAAAACGATTAAACGTTTATTTATCATTATAGTTGGGATTACGACATTTTTGTTGCATGAACAGGTTTTAATTCGTCGAAGAAGATGTTTTGGAGAGCTCGCGCAGGAAAATAATATTTCAATGTTTCGCTGGTCGAACCAAGATTCTTACCTAAAATAATTGCAAGTTGACGTGGTCGTTTTCTTATACGATTTAGAAAAAAAGAAAACGATCCCGTTCATTTGAGGCTTTTTATATTTGAAAGTATAAGCCCGAACTTATCTTCCGGGAAGAATTTATTGAACACAGAGACCTTAAATTAATGGATCGATGGAATATTTCGGACACATCCCGGAACTCGAAATTATTATTTGTTGTGTTCTGTGACGTCATTTCGCCTTGATTGCGAAGCATTGGTTTCCAGTTTGTCAGGAGCGCTGTTGCTAGGCTACAAGCATCAATAGAAGTATAGAGATAGGATTGGTAACCAGTCAAAGAAGAAGAAAAAAGTTCTGATAACCGTGTGGAAATGGATATTAATAGAAAGTACAAGCATCTAGATGGTAAAAACAAATAGGTCTGTAGTTTGCAAAATTCCTAAATTTTTAGTATCCCACATCGAAAATAAGGTGCTTTGAACTGAAATTTCCTACGGCCATCCAGTGATTTTTCTGGAGGGTTTTTAATGACTTACCGAGCGATTTGACGCCCTAGTCTGCTCTTTTCGCCGCTACTCTATGGATCTGACTTGTGGCAATCGATACTTGTGTGTGAACTGCACAACCCCTTTTGTCAATGTGGATAGCATTGTTTTCTTGAACATTTTGAGGCTTGGCAAGCGACATGCTTTTGGTGTTTGGATGACCGTCCTGAGAAAAGATCATCTGAAAGTCAAACGCAATATCAGGAACACCGTACAATTTAATACTACATAAAGTCGAGTATGCCTGGAAGCTAACGAAATACACAGAGTCGAGGCTCACCAAAAAGCTGCCGTGCGAGATAGTTTGTAAATACGAGTGTGGCCTTTTTAATTTAACTGTAGTTCTTGCAAAGCCTTGTCACACAGGCCTTCTTCGCAGCCGCTCTTTTGAGACATTTCTGAAATGATGAAAAATGGTGAAAAACCAAGAGAGGAATATTCTATTGCCGTTTCCTCTGCACGTAAGATTCCAAATGTAATTTTTAAACATTCTTAACTTAAAACAAGTTATTGACATTTTAGCAAAGCTTATTCCGTGAAGCTTTCGATAATAAATGATTCAACTTAAATCAAGCTTCTCTAAGTGTATATTCTCTGTAAAACTCGCTAAATTCTAGAGGTAAAATATTATTCCTGTGGTTGTAATGAAAGAAAGATGTGACGACCGTCACGCAAAGCCTGTGGAAAAGTAATGCGTGACTGGCTCTCCTAACAAACTTTCCTTCATATACGATCAGATAGCCTTGTAAAGAGAGCAAATGACAACGCAATGATCAGATAGGTTGCTGCACTACAATAAATCAGCGAGCAAAGGCAGAGTATCAACTTAAATATAAAATATCAACGCTAGTGCTGATAGCAAGATTTAGTAGCAGTGCTGGTGAAGTAAAGAAGTCAAAGGTCAAAATCTGTCTCATAATCATATCTAAAAAAAAAATATTACCCCGATAGTTCGCCATCGGTCTCAGGTCAGCAGAAAATTTTTGGCCAAGGTTTATGAATACCTCGAGAAGTCTGACTGTGTAATGACCATCGCCCTTGCGGTGGCCTGAAAAACCATACGGCAACTGCGATGACAAAAGATTTACTTTGTTACACGTGCTTTAACTCGGGTGAGCTTGCTGAATAGCTGGGACGGTACAAAATGTGGAGAAAAAAAACTAAAAAGTCCCCTTGCAAAGCAATTATCATATAGATATCTAGATATTTTGGTTTATAATTGCAGAATCGGTCACAGTAGTACTATTACTACAGAGGTGAATCATTACACGATATCAAACAACGTATACAAAAACACTTGATTTGTTTTGAAAATGGTGGATGAATGACCTTATGTTATTCGCCTGTATTTACCTGTGAAAAGCTGATTTCTTTTGAGGTTGGCAGGAACAGATAGGGACCGCTTTGAAGCCGATAAGGAGTAAGTTTGGAATCAAAAGATTCCCTTCCTTTGCAAGCTGGTATTACAAAGTGTCAACCCTTCAGTTTTGGCGCGAAAATATTCGTGACAAGTGGTGCCGCTTGCTTATCACGCAATATTTACAGTCGCACGCTCTCTCTTAAAGAACAAGGGTTACTCTGCTCGAAAGACTTAAACTGCAGTTATAGAAATTTGAATAGGAGGTCCTCGACTGAGTGTTCTTATCTGCTGGTAGGACTTTCGCTCATCGCGAAAAACTTAAGATATTGCCCCAGAGCCACTAGTTGAAGACGAAAAAAAACCAACACGTTCATTTTTCCTTCTCTATTTTATTTCAGTAAATAAACCTGTTCGTGAAACCTAAACGTAGGTAATACTACACCACAATTCTGACCAAGCTTTTGGCTGCCAACTAAATAATAAATGCTTCTCTAGTATAGGTTTCTTTCCAGTGAATCTTTTACTCCATAAATCAAAACTCATCATAGCGACTTCACTGTCATTTCTCATTAAGCGCAGCGAAAAAGTACGCATGTTTTTCGAAATTCACTACTTTCGGAAGTTTTATTTTGGGTAGAAAATTGATGCAACAAAATATTGTTTGTTAATCTGGCGGTAAAAAAGAAAATACCGTTATGAAAACTTAACTGGAGAACAGTTGAACTCTTTCCAGTGAATTTCCAGTGAATCTTTCCAGTGAATCTTTCCAGTGAATCTTTCCAGTGAATCTTTTACACCATAAATCAACTGTAATCGTAGCGACTTCACTGTCATTTCTCATTAAGCGCAGCAAAAAGGTACGCATGTTTTTCGAAGTTCTCTACTTTCGCCAGTTTTCTTGGGTACAAAATTGATGCAAAAAAATATATTATTTGTCAATCTGGCGATAAAAAAGAAAATACCGTTATGAAAAGTTAACTGTATAACAGCAGAACTCTTTGCTTTTCCAAGCGGGAAAACGGGACGACGATTCAATTTATAGGATGAAGAATAAGCCTTTAATTAGGACAGCAAAGAATGCTATCAAGAAACTATTACCAACATTTATATGATGTTCCCTACTGCGAAGGATAACGATTTTCTGCAATTTATATACTATTAGCTGATGAACTAAGTTAAACTATAAAGCATTTCAAGCCTTTTTGGCCTTTGACTCTGTTGTTTTCTGAGTAAAGGTCCATGTGGTCTTCAAAAGGTTATAAGGTATTCAGGGTAACACTGATTATCAAAGAAAACAACAAATTTGCTGGGGCTTGATTGGTCATCTACCACAGAATCGTAAAGAATTTCAGGTTTCGATGGATTTTTCGGTGGAGGCACAATCATTGAAGAATCTCCAACGCAATACTGCCCCACGAGGACCTTGGCAAGGTACATGTGGCGACCTCCATGACCACCAACCCCAGCGAATCCAACAGAGTATTGAGCGTCTCTAGCGAAATAAACACCGCGTCCATAGACCGTGCCTGAAAAAAAGAATGCTTAATTAAGAGAAAAAGTACAAACAAATCATACATTCAGTGAAGTTAATTGTTATAAAAGAGGCAATTGGATTCTCCTCATATTATTACAGCTTTTATTACCATATTTGGTTCCAAATAGTGACTCGGCCAGAGCTCGTGCAACGTCTGAGTGACTTGGTAGGACAGGCAGACAAATAAATGAAAATAATTGTGGCCAAAACACCATCAGTTCAGCCAAAAAAATGCTTTAACCCTTTAAACCCTAAGAGTGACTAGCATCTAATTTCTCCCTGCAATAATAATCTTAAATCACACATTAAGGTCATGAGAATAAAGGAAATGGTCACTAAAGAAGGAACCTTTTGATTAGCGAACAAATTCTCTGTTTCAGCACCTTAGGAAATGTTTAAAGAACAGTATGGAGAATATGCATACTGATGTTAGGGTGTAAAAGGTTAACTACTTAGGACCAATCGCTCGAAAATACTGCTTTAATGCTTCTTTTTCTCACGCGAAGCTTTCGAAAGTAATGATCCTAGCAGTATGTGGAAGTCGTGCTACATATTAGCAACTTGAATACCCTGCTCATCATAACGTCTGTAGCTCAATGGTAGAGCGTTGGAACGAGGAAATCCGAAGGCCTGAGGATCGATTTCTCATACGCAAACGAAATTTTTCCTTAATCCCACCCCCGTGACGAGATGATAAAACGTTTCCTTGCGTTTCAATGACTTACCATTAGCCCCACAGAGGCTCCTGTTGAATCCTTGTGTGTTGATATGGTTGATATTTTTAGCATCCGTCCCATGAAACAGCTCTCTTTCATAATTTCCTCCAATATCTTTATCCATTTTCTGTTTTCTTACCATGTAAGACTGATACAGATGAGGATTCTGTATGCGTTCAATCTTCTGAACTTTTAACGCACCGGCTGTAGCTTGAAACTTACTTACGACATCTTGATACTCAGGGGAGCCGGGGTGCAATTCTACTTTATGTACAGTAGAGTCATGCCCGGGCATTGGTGCCCAGTGCTTTGGTAGAGGAATTCCTACAGAAAGGACCAAAAGATTAGAATGTTGAATGTGAAAACCCATCTACCGAGGTCAAATTTCAACATCCAAGTATATTTTTCAAGCAAGACACAAACAAGATCAACAAGGAAGCTCATGAGAGACATTATAGGGCAGCTTTTCTGAATATTCCCAATTTGTACAACATGTTTATAACCTTAAAAGTCCCCTGGGACATGAAATATCTCTTAGTCCGTTCTTACGGACTTAAGCTTATCGAAACATCTTCATCAAAAGAGATGCATAGCAACTAACCTTCATCAGCACCCTTCACCTTTCTTGTCAGTGTTATTTGTTCACCAGACGTTTGTCCACGTCCAGAGTTTCCCTTCAAGTCGATGACAAACTTTTCTGCGCGTAGAGAAACTTGCACTGTGTGCTCATCTCTGCTGTGGGCCAACTCAATCTTGGCATTTGCTTTCGGAGCAAACTCTATTTTTATGCCCTGTATTTCATAGCTCCACTCTACGTTCTTTGAAAGCAACTTCGCTTGTTCTTCCTCCTGTTTCTTCTTCATCCTCTCGTTGATCTCTTTCCAGATCTCCCCGACCATTCCAACTACTTCGGTTGGTCCACCACAAACGACAATGCGATCCGCGTCACCCTCAATTTCAAGTTTGACGTCACAGTCTTTAGCCTTTTTTCTCAGGATATCCTTCTGCTTATCGGAAAGCTGACTGACGACGTCACATTCGACTTCTTTTATTGTACAAGCGTCAGAGAAACCTTTCTTCAAGGATTCCACGGCTTTTCCCACGCCCACCTTGTCTTTGCCAATCACAGAAATTCTTACAGAATATTCATCACTTTGGCCTAGTGCCTGCCTATGTCCGCGTCTTCTGGTTTGCCTAGCCGCTGCATTCTCTGAGTCACCGTCTTCTTCAATATCTTGCACTGGTTGTTTCTGCTCTTGTAGAAACTCCTGCATCATAGAGGCCTGGAACACAACTACTCTTACTTTTTGAATATTTTTACAGCGGGCGCTGAATGCGTTTAGTGCTTTAAACGTCAGTTGGGCTGAGTCCGCTCCGGTTAAGCCGTATCCTCCTGTGCCAACACACGGAATTGAGATCGCTTGAAAGTTACTGCCATCCGCCACACGAAGACCCTCCTCCAAACATTGCTGGAGATGTTGCTTATCTGAGGAGCCTGGAATGATGTGAATAATATGAGGTACTTGTAAATTACCTCCGCTGGTCATTATCGCTGTTCCAGGAGGCTGCTTTCCCAATTTGTTGCATTCTTGTTGCACAAGTGGACCACTCTGTCTTGCTATGGCTTTGCTTAGGTCTCCGGCGTTATTCATGTTCATGTCCGTGCTCAGAATATTCACGATAGCATCAGTACTGTTCTCTTGGGTCAAATCACCATTTACCACCTCAACTGTCAAATGTGAGTTGCGTAATTTGCTTTGGGTTGCAGTTTTCCATCTCTTTGTTTGAAGGCGGCAGTTAATGATTGATCTTGGTTAAACACAACAAATCGGATGTCCCGTAAATTAGAATCAGGGTTGGCTCGGCAGAAATTGACTGTTTCTTCCAACATGATTCTCGACGCTGTATCACGTGGGAATTGTAGGTTTCCAGTTCCAATGACAGGAAATGCAATGGAGTTGGCTCCAAGCGTTTCACCTGTTTGCAGACACTTTTGAACGATGGCCCTTAGCGTCTACAACAGATGAAATAGAAGTTGTTGAATGTTGGTGGCACGGACAATTTGGTGGCAAGAGGGGACCTGGTAAATTCCCTTATTCCTATGTGATCTCAATAGAAATTCTCCACACTGTGTTCTGTACATTTCTTATGAACTTGGCAGTCAAAATTTGGCGTTAAGTCATGCAATATCCTCTCGTTGATAATTTTTTACCTCTGTCCGTCACCATTCTGGTTGATGATGAACTGATGATGGGAGGAAAAAAAACTGACTGGCCACTCCTTAAAGTAAAAAGATTAAAAAACTGAATCCCTTTCAAGCTATTTTTATTCTTCCTGGAATCTGTTTTCCGGGGATCAAAGTTACCTAAACCTAAAATTTTATTAACATTTTTCAGAGGATAATGAGAGGGCACCAGGTAGGATGTTTACACAAATAGCATTTTCTTTCGGGATCAGGATCGAAAATGTTTGGATAACAACCTCACAGAAAGTAGTTTAGTAGTGAAATTTCGCATCTCAATTTGTTTTTTTTTTCTAGCAAGATCTTTGCTCTTACCAATTCTACAAAATTTCTAAGAAGGAGTTTCATATGATATTAGAAGTTGCAAGTTACATTATGCAATAATCCTGTCGTTAAATATTCGATTGATCATTCTCGAAGAATTCGGAGAGGAGTGAGGTAAACTACATCGGAAATATCTCAAATCGAGCCTGAGTAGTCTCCAGTTGCTTTAACCTACAAGAGAATGGATAGGCTTCGCCAGATGGGCATCCAACATCGTTTAGCAAAATCTTACAGCAAATATAAACAATGACTACTATGAGATGTACTTAAGAGAGGTCCTTACCGGCTCCCCTCCACCGTTTTTCCACTTACAACATTGAGTGTGAATCACATGACTGACTGAGGAAAAACCGCCTGAGACAGTGATGTCACCAACGTTGGGGGTTGCGGCCTGAGGACCACCGGCATCAATGATTGCTTGATCGCATGCTCCTAGAGAACTGACAAGTACTTCAGCCTGAAATACACAACCAAAAAATGTTGATGATTTATTAATGGTGGACTGTTGTCGCTATCAGACGTGGCACTCCCAATAAGAGAGACGTTGAATAATGTAACCAGTCTAAGAGCAGACGAGAGCTAAGTGAAGAACTAAAATCGATTCATATACCAACATGATCCTCAAAGGTATTTCCGTGAGATATTCTCCATGTGTATAGAAATCAGTGTCAATCCTACCTTCTCTGCCCCTATGTCTCCAGGTTTCCAGGACACTCTGTGCCTTTGAGCTATTACCAGGGTAGACGAGTCAGTTTCACTGATAGTAGGGTGGTCATCCTCAGCATCATCGTCGCTGTCGCCTGAAGAGGTAGAAGCGTCGGATACGGTTTCGAGGCGTAACTCCTCGTCTCTTCCTCCTCGACCTAAATTTTTCTTGACTTCTATGGCACAATCTTGATCTTTTTCCACCGATTTTACAAGCTGGTCTCCTTTTCCACTGTCAAAATATTTTCGAAGGCCTGGCTGTTTCACTTCAAAGGTTTTCAACTCAATAGAATCTATCAGAGCGTCGAGCTTCTCTCTCACACGATTCAAACCCTCTATGTTTCCAGAAATAATAAAATCATCATCGTCTTTTCCCCTTTTAATACTCACTACAAAATCTTTTAGTTGATTTTCTATGGTGCGTAGATCTTCTTGACGTAGCTCAAGAAGATACCTTCGCATAAAATCAGACGTGCACAAAAAACGTTCTTCCCTAATGCAATTGTTTTCAAGAAAGGTATTTAACTTCTTTATCACTTCGGTCACTTCATCGCGAAACCCAACTACGTACACATCATTCCAGTTGTTCCTACGGACACGGGCAGTCGTTTTGTTCATCTCGTCACAAAACTTCAGCCATTTAGATGACTTCAAAAAATGCTTGCTTTTCTCGTCCACTTGAATTTTCTCTTCTACCGTCAACTTGTTCACGAGCCTCGCCGCGTTGTCTGCATGCGCTGCTGAGGACCCCACTATGGTAGCGTCTTTCTCAACAACGAACACTGCTTCCACGTTGTTTCTTTCCAACTCACATTTGACAGTCTGTAGCCCTTCATCTGAGACGAAAATCTCCAGAATGTTGCCGGATAAAGTCAGTTTCTTCTCAACCATATTAGCCATTTGTTGATAGAACTTCGTGGTTGCTTCAGTAAACTGCGGCTGGGGACCTTCGAAATATATTTCTTCACCTTCAGTATCAAACTTGATCTTCAAATCCTTGTTCTCTTCTTGGAGTTTCTCGGCAAATTTTATCTTCTGCAGCAAAATTAAGCGCTCCTCGGGAACATCTGAAATTTTCTTCTGAAAGTAAGCTTTTCGGGTCTCCTTAGGCCTCTGGCTCACTCGAGATTCACTGACCCCGGTTGCAGTAACTCCTATGTCACCGGAATCCTCGGCTCCATCAACGTCATCGTCTTCTAAAAACTCTCGGTAAGCTTTAATTGACAGCTGGGTTTTGTCAAACTTATGAGGTTTCTTTTCATGTCTGGTTAACACCCTTTCCATATCTGTTGATTGAAGCAACTAAGTGTCAAGAATTTCCTTGAGGAAGTTGTTTGTCGTTTCACAACACTTCATGACACTTTAACTTGAGAGAGACGCACAGACTTAGAACGATGGGGTTATTGGGGCAGAGTAGGTCACCCAATCAATCAAGCAATCAAACAAACAATCGATCATCGATCAATCAAACAAATGAACAACCAATCCATTAATCAATCAATTACTAATTTGTCAATGTACAGCTCAAATCAGGGCAACAATATTTACTACACATGTATGAGGATCAGATGACGATTACTCGTGCCTGAAGGAATTACTTATATCTTAGAGATCAATGAGTTACAGACCTTTGGCGTCTTGAAACACAACCACAGCTCGACCACTTTTAGGAACATAGTCAACCTTCTCCACAGGACCCCCACCGTTTCGAGGACTCTCAAAGTACAGTTCAATAAAATCATGCGTAATGTCTGAAAAGCCTGTGACAAGGATGCTTTTGCAAAGCGGGACTTGTTGAATGGAAACCTTTGCATCATCTAGACCTCTTTCCTCGCATTTAGTCTTTATTTCTGTGAAATCTAAAGAAAACAGATTAATTCTCAATAAATGTTTGTCTTGTGTGATCTCCACTTTTGGAGTATTCCTGAGAGGAACAACGCTCATTGAATTACTTGTACAATTCCCAAATAAATTGATTTCTTTGATCTGGATTATTTTGATTGTTTGGAGAAGAAAATCGAAATGTCTTTAAATGGTGGGACACCTAAAATAAGGCATCTTAATTCTTCAGGCACTAGTTAAGCATAAAACAGTATTAATCAATGAAAAGTTAATTTCATATAATTTGAAGTAAGTTCATCGCTTAAAACTGAGAGCATGAAACTGAGCCGGCGTGAGCTTTCATCTCCGATAACTCGCGAACGGATCAACGAAGTACGATAAAGAAATTCCTGCTAACTCTCCAAATTCAATTGAAAGATACGTACCTTTGATTTCATCAGCCATGGTGACCAAGGCTTTTCCATTCTTCAGCATCTGTACGTCCTTCACCTCTTTTCCGCCACTCCTTGCCTCGATAAAGTTCACCAGTCCGTCCGGGAAAGTTTTCTCACTCAGCCCTCGTATGAGTATTTTATTTCTTTCAAATTGAGACTGATCAGCAGGCCCCTCTTCCACCACACTGGACATGCACTGTGCTGATGTTGTGAGGAGGAAAACACACGATTTAAGTAGGGTTAGATAAATTATGCCGGTGTAATTTTGGGCATGATGCCACAGTTACGGAGCATCGAACATAATGCCGGTATAGCGAATAAAACTTATTCAAAAATCTCTTGATGCTACAGTTCAACAAGAGATTAATTCATCAGCTTGAGCTAAGTCAACAATGATCCTGCTTTTTTTGTTTGAACTTTAGGAATTTGATCCAGAGATATGTTTTGATCTAAACTAAGCCTTTTACTCTCAGCAAGCTTTACCTTTCGGTGATAGGATTGGAGAAGGAGATTGAGGGGCTCGTAAAAGCTAAGCTATTATTACTAATTATTGTCTTTAATGATGACGCTCAAAAGTATACTGCTCGAATTTTTTAGTATAATTTATTTGACCCTTGATTAAAGTAGAGAGCACAACCACTCGTGGTCATTTAATTCCGAGATCAAGAGATTGAAGATATCTTGATATGCCTGAATAGAGAAGACGGCAACTCCAAGCGTCTACTTCGTTTTATATTTAGGGAGCTTTTTTGTAATGCATACGGTGCATTTGATATCATTTTTTCTTGATTATTTTACATTTTTCTGTCCAGGAGAAATGACTTTTTCTGCTGATTAAAGCAAGCTCGGACAGCAATATTTATTTCATGGTGAAAATGCCGAAGTGATAGTGGGTGAAAATAATTACAGGATAATAATTATAGGACTTCCGGTTTAAGTCGGGCAAATAACATGGGGAATGTCCCTCCGATGAGCAAAGAAAAAAAATGTTTTTCGACGCAGACCCAAAGGATAATGATTTATCAACCAGTAACTTTGAGGATTCTCTCATCTTAAGAAACGTAATTCCTTAATTGTGAAGTTTTTCGATGCCCTGTTTCCCTAAAGTGTGCTTGCATCAGAAATTTACTGGTACAAACAATTGCTTCCACATGCTTCGGTCCTTCGAGATTGTTGTGCTTAATATTTAGCAAATTTCTCAAATCATACACATTGAGGCAACGAGCAACAATTGCACCTTTCACGTCGTTTCTTGAACTAAAATTATCATAAAACTTCGAGAAATTTGCGAAGTCATGAACTCAAGCCCCAGTGCAGTGTTGCTCAAATACAATCTCTATCATATGCGAGCTAAATATGTCTCGATCGGTCGCTTTGACGCAAGATTCTACTAGATTACACTCTAAATCCATTTATCAGTAATCTTATACCTAAAACAAGAAGTACAAAATTTTCTGTCGAACAATCACGAGTGCAAACGCTCGTATAAGTACACAAAAATATTATCGGTTTGGTTTCGATTTGCATTCATTGCAAATTGCAATGGAGGATCCTTACCGTAATGTGAGTCTTCGTCAGCCATTATTGGTGCGAGCTTAAAACTTGTCCTTGGTGACTTGCAGAATTAGCGAATGCTGAAATAGAATAAAATGATCTTTGTAACTGCTTACTCAAAGACTACAGTGCAAATGAAAACGGTAGAAAGTAAGAGTATATCGCAATTTCAATCGCAAATATTTTAAGTTTGCTATGAATCACAGAAGGCAGCTTCATCTCTACAGCTGTAGAAGATTTGTCTTTTTATCAAGTAGTTAACAATAGCAGTCGTATATCACTTTTGAGGCGCTTAGGGAGAATTATTTGCTCGTATTTTCTAGTACAAAGCCAGACATTGTTCCGCTCGCGAGGACTTGTGTTACCTGATACATCCCTGAAAATTCTGAGAAATTATCGATGCGTTCGATCACGGATTACACCAGGATAATGCACAAGGAATCCAGAAAACTCAACGTCAATCTTTACCGTTTTTCAAGCGAGGATTCCTCTTCCTTTCCCGACAGAAACACTGTCATAAAATAACTCGTTCGAATGCACTGCACTTTTACTTTGTATGAAACCGTACTTCCGATTCGGCTTTCTTGAGAAGACCGTGAGGGGAAAAGGAGGCTGGGAGCCAAATTGGGAATTCCCTTTCTGGGTGTTACGTGTGAATCCAATTATTTCAGCAATGTTTTTAAGACATGGAGAATGACAAAACGGCATGATTAAATTTTACTTCTCTTATAAACGGTGACAAACCAAGAGAGGAATATTCTATTGTCGTTTACTATGTGGTTAAGATTTCAAATGTAACTTTGTAAACAGTCTTTACTTTAACTGTGTAATAATCATCGCCCTTGCGATGGCCAGAAAAACCATACGGCAAATGACACAAGATTTACTTTGTTATAAGTGTTCTTGCTCGGGTTGGCTCGCTGACAAGCTGGGAGGGTACCAAAGGTAAGAAAAAGACTAAACAGTCCCCTTATAAAGCGATTATTAAATTAATATCTAGAGATTTCGCTTATAATTGCAGAATCGATCACAATAGTATTATTACTACAGAGGTAAATCATATAACACGATATCAAACCACAAATACACTTATCTTTGTTTTGAAAATGATGGATGAATGACCTTATGTTATTCGCCCGTATTTATTGGAGGAGTGAATGAGAAATCTAAAGATTCCTTTCCTTTGCAAGCTGGTATTACAAAGTGTCAACTTTTCAGTTTTGGCGCGACAATATTCGTGACCAGTGATGCCTGCTTGTAGGGCTTGTCATTGCGAAAAACAACATTTATTAGTCGAAGAAGTCTTCACTACTGCAAGAGTTATTTTTTAGGGGTAGATCGAGATGACTTATTCGACCGACTGTTCTTATCTGCTGGTTAGGAAAGCTTATCTAAACCCTCCCTCACTCGTTCATCGCGAAAAACTTAAGATATTGCCACAGAGCCACAAGTTGAAGACGGAAAAAAAATTAACATGTTAATTTTTCCACGTTCCTCTGATTTTATTTCAAAGTAAATAAATCTGTCCGTGAAACCCCTTGAACGCAGGTAATACTATTGCCACAAAATCCAAATCTTCAAGCTATTGGCGAGCAACTAAATAAAAAACATAAATGCTTCTCTTTTAAGTTTTTATTTAACTTTCCCCGGTGAATCTTTTTTTGACACCAAAAAATCAAATGTCATCTGACACCACCAAATTCATCTATCAATTCTCATTAAGAGCACAGCAAAAGGTACACATTTTTTCGAAATTCTCTACTTTCGCTAGTTTATTGGGTAAAAACTGATGCCAAAAAAATATTATTTGTTAATCTGGCGATAAAAAAAGAAAATGCCGTAATGAAAACTTAACTGGAGAGCAGCAGTACTGTTTGCTTTTCCAAGCGAGAAAACGGGACAAGCGCGAGGTGAACGCGTGGGGCGAGGAACGCGACTATGTCGTGGTCACCGCGCACGCCTCGCGTTTCCCTATGCTGTAGGCTAGTGGTAACTCCACTGTAGTGATAAAACGCGTTCAGCTAGATTTTACTTTGTTTGGCATTCAATGATATAATCATTCAATTTATAAGATGAAGAATAAGCTTTGAGTTAAGACAGTTAAGAATTCTATCGAGAAACTATTACCAACATTTATATGATGTTCCCTTGTCTGTGGAGGATAACTATTCTCTGCAATTTATATAACTGATAAACTAAGTTAAACTATGAAGCTTGTCAAGCTTTTTTGGCTTTTAACTCTGCCATTTTCTGAGTAAAAGGTCCATGTGGTCATGAAAAGGTTATAAGGTATTCAGGGTAACACTGATTATCAAAGAAAACAACAAAGATGCTGGGGCTTGATTCGTTATTAACTACAGAATCGTAAAGAATTTCAGGTTTTGATGGACTTTTTGGTGGAGGCACCTTCATTGAAGGATTTCCAACACAATACTCCCCAACGAGGACTTTGGCAAGGTACATGTAGCGACCTTCATCGCCAACACCCCTAGTGTAATTAACAGAGTATCGAGCGTCTCTAGCGAAATAAACACCAAGTCCATAGGCCGTGCCTGAAAAAAAAAACGCTAAATTTAGAGAAAAACATATCAACAAAATTGTGTTGCATTCAGTGAAGTAATTTGTTATAAAAGAGGCAACTGTACTCTTCTTCTATTATTACAGCTTTTATTACCAATTTATAGCTCCAATTAGTGATTCAGTGCTCATGCAACGTCTAGGTGACTTGGTCGAACATGTAGATGCCTAAACTGGTCAAGATTAATAGCTTGAAAGTATTGCTTCAATGCTCCTTTTTAATTAATTATCCTTGAAGTATGTGGAAGGCGTACCACATATTAACCACGTGAAAACCCTGTTACTCATAGTCTCTAGCTCAGTGGTAGAGCTTTGGAACGAGGAAATCTGAAGGTTTGAAGTTCGATTCCTCATAAGTACTCGAAAGCTTTTTCTTTAATCCCACCCCCGTGACGAGACGATAAAAATTCTCCTCTATTTAAAATTTCAATGACTTACCATGTGCCCCACAGAAGCTTCTGTTGAATCCTTGTGTGTTGATATGGTTGATGTTTTTAGCATAAGTCCCATGAAACAGCTGTCTTTCACTTTTTCCTCCCGTATCTTCATCCATTTGCTGTTTTCGTAATATGTAAGACTGATACAGATGAGGATTCTGTACGCGTTCAATCTTCTGAATATTAAACGTACCAGCTGTGGCTTGAAACTTACGTGCGACATCTTGATACTCAGGGGAGCCTGGGAGCAGTTGTACTTTATGCACAGTAGAGTGATGGCCGGGCATTGGTGCCCAGTGCTTTGGTAGAGCAATTCCTACAAAAAGGACCGAATGATTAGAATGTTGAAGAAAAAACCCAACGAGTGATGTGAAATTTCAAGATCCGAGTATATTTTTTAAATAAGACACAGACAAGATCAACAATAAAGCTTATGAGAGACATTTTTGAACAGCTTTTCTGAATATCCTCTGCGTTTATTACGTGTTTATTACCTTCAACGTCCTCTGGGACATGAGATAGCTCTTAGTCCTTTCTTATAGCTTATCGAAACATCCTCGTCAAAAGAGATGTCTAGCAACTAACCTTCATCAGCACCCTTCACCTTTCTTGTCAGTGTTATTCGTTCACCAGACATTTTTCCACGTCCAGAGTTTATCTTCAAGTCGATGACAAACTTGTCTCCGCGTAGAGAAACTTGCACGGTTTGCTTGCCTTTGCTGTGGGCCAACTCAATCTTGCCATTTGCTTTCGGAGCAAACGCCACTTTTGTGCCCCCTATTTCATAGCTCCACTCTACGTTCTTTGAAAGCAACTTCGCTTGTTCTTCCTCCTGCTTCTTCTTCGTCCTCTCGTTGATCTCTTTCCAGATCTCCCCGACCATTCCAGATACTTCGGTTGGTCCACCACGAACGACAATGCGATCCACGTCATCCTCAATTTCAAGTTTGACGTCTCGGTCTTTAGCTTTTTTTCTCAGGATATCCTTCTGCTTATCGGAAAGCTGACTGACGTTGTCACTTTCGACTTTTACCATTGTACAAGCGTCAGAAAAACCTCTCTTCAAGGATTCCACGGCTTTTCCCACGCTCACTTTGTCTTTGCCAATCACAGAAATGCTTACAGAATGTTCACCACTTTGGTCCAATGCCTGCCTTCGTCCGCGACTTCTGGTTTCCCCGGCTGCTACATTCCCTGAGTCACTATCTCCTTCGTTACCTTGTACTGGTTGTTTCTTCTGCTCTTGTAGAAACTCCTGCATCATAGAGGCCTGGAACACAACCGCTCTTACTTTCTTAATATTTTTACATAAGGTACTGAATGCGTTTAGTGCTTTGAACGTCAGCTGGGCTGAATCCGCTCCATTCAAGCCGTATCCTCCTGTGCCAATGCACGGAATTGAGATTGCTTGAAGATTATTGGCATCCGCAACGCGAAGACCCTCCTCCAAACATTGCTGGAGATGGTGCTTATCTGAGGAGCCTGGAATTATGTGAATAATATGAGGCACTCGTAAATTACCTCCGCTGGTCATTTTCGCTGTTCCAGGAGGCTGCCTTCCCAATTGGTTGCATTCTTCTTGCACTAGTGGACCACTCTGTCTTGCTATGGCTTTGCTTAGGTCTCCGGCGTTATCCATGTTCATGTCCGTGCTAATGATATTCATGATAGCGTCAGTGCTGTTCTCTCGAGTCAAATCACCATTAACCACCTCAACATTAAGATTAAGAGGGCTAAAGTGAAGGTTCCAAAAAAGTCGTGATGGCAGAGTGGCCAATGTGCTTGGGTTGCAGTTTGTCCATCTCTTGTTTGAAGGCAGCAGTTAAAGCTTGATCTTGGTTGAACACGACAAATCGGATGTCCCGTAAACTAGAACCAGGGTTGGTTTTGCAGAAATTGACTGTTTCATCCAACATGATTCTCGAGGCTGCATCGCGTGGGAATTGTAGGTTTCCAGTTCCAATGACAGGAAATGCAATGGAGTTCGCTCTAAGCTTTTCGCCTATTTGCAGACACTTTTGAACGATGGCCCTTAGCACCTATGAAAGATGAAATAAAAGTCGTTGAATGTGGTGGTAAGAGGGGATCTAAAGAATCCCTTCACTCCAATGTGATCTCAATAGCAATTCTCCGCACTGTCTTCTGATCATTTCTTATGAATTTGGCAGTCAAAACTTGGCGTTAAGTCATGCAATATCCCCTTATTGATATATTTTCCTTTTCCCCGTCACCTTTCTAGTTGATAGTGCAGTGATAATGGAAGGAGAGAAAAAAACTGACTGGTCACTCCTTAAAGTAAAAAGGTTAAAAAAATGAATCCCTGTGAATGAATCTGATCCTTGAATTTTACTAACATTTTCCAGAGGATAATAAGAAGGCGCCATGTAGGATGTTCATACAAGTAGCATTTCCTTTTGGGATCAAGATCGAGGATGTTCGGATTATGGCCTCATGGAAATTACCTTTGGGATTGGGTCTAATTAATTTTTTCTTAGTGGTGAAAATTTCACATCTCAATCTGTTTTTTCCAGTAAGATCTCCGCTCTCGCTAATTCTACAAAATTTCTGATTAAGATTTTCGAATGATATTAGATATTGAAAGTTACTGTATGCAATAATCCTGTCGTTATATATTCGATTGATCATTCTCGAAGAATTCGGTGAGGAGTGAGGCTTTCCGCCTTAAATTTTCATTCGGCCTGATAAACATGACGGAATGTTTGAAGATTATATACAGCGGAAATAACATCAACTCGAGCCTGAACAGTCTTCAGTTGCTTTATGTTACAACAAAATGCATGGGATTCGCCAGTTGGGCATCCGATATCGCGTAGGCTTTCATCAAATCTAAACGATAAATACTCTTTGAGAGGTCCTTTGCTTCAAAAGTGAAGTAAAACTTAATTATCTACGTACAATTTACTGTTTCTTACCGGCTCCCCTTCACCGTTGTTCCACTTACAACAGTTGGTGTGAATCACGTGGCTAACCGAGGAAAAACCACGTGAGACAGTGATGTCACCAACGTTAGGGGTTGCGGCCTGAGGACCACCGGCATTAATGATTGCTTGATCGCAAACTCCTTGAGAACTGATAAGTACGTCAGCCTGAAATACGCAACCAAAAAAATTTTGTTAATGATTCATTGACTTCATCAATATGATGGACTGTTGTCGTTATCAGACTTGGCGCTCTCAACAAGAGAGACGTTAAATAATGTAACTACACTCTACCAGCACATGAAAGCTAAGTGAAGAACTAAAATCCATAAATATGCCAGCAAGATCCTCCATGGTATTTTCATGAGATATTCTTCTGGTGTGAAGAAATCAGTGTGTCAATCCTACCTTCTCTGCCCCTATGTTTCCAGGTTTCCACGACACTCTATGTCTTTGGGCTATTACCAGGGTACACGAGTCAGTTCCAGCAGTGGTAGCGTGGTCATCCTCAACATCATCGTCCCTGTCGCCTGAAGAAGTAGAGGCGTTGGATACGGCTTCGAGGTTTAACTCCTCGTCCTTTCCTCCTCGACCTAAATTTTTCTTAATTTCGATGGCACAATCTTGTTCTTTTTCCACTGATTTCACCAGCCCATCTCCTTTTCCACTGTCAAAGTATTTTCGAAGGCCTGGCTGTTTCACTTCAAAGGTTTCCAATTCAGTGGAATCCTTCAGAGCGTCGATCTTCTTTCTTACACGTTTCAAACCCTCTCTGTTTCCAGAAATAACAAAATCATCATCGTCTTTTCCCTTTTTAATACTCACTACAAAATCTTTTAGTTGATTTTCTATGGTGTGTAGATCTTCTTGACGTAGCTCAAGGAGATACCTTCGCATATCAGACTTACAAGCAAAACGTTCTTCCTCTATGCGATTGTTTTTAAGAAAGGCATTTAACTTCTTTATCACTTCGGTCACGTCATCACGAAACCCAGCTACATATGTATCGTTCCAGTTGTCCCTCCGCACACGGACAGCCGTTTGGTGCATCTCGCCACACAACTTCAGCCATTCAGATGACTTCAACAAATGCTTGCTTTTCTCGTCCACTTGAACTTTCTCTTCCAGCATTAACTTGTTCACGACCTTCGCCGCGTTGTCTGCATGCGCTGCTGAGGATCCCACTATGGTGGCGTCTTTCTCAATAACCAACACTGCTTCCACGTTGTTTCTTTCCAACTCACAATTGACAGTCTGAAGCCCCTCATCTGAGTTTAAAATCTCCAGGATGCTGACGGATAAAGTTACATTTCTTCTCAACTATTTTTTTCATTAGTTTCTCGAACTCCATGGTTGCCTTAGTAAATTGTGGCTGGGGACCTTCGAAATATATTTCTTCACCTTCAGTATTAATCTTGATCTCCAGCTCCTTGTTCTTTTCTTGGAGTTTCTCGGTAAATTTTATCTTCTTCAGTAAAATTAAGCGCTCCTTGGGAACATCTGCAATTTTCTTCTTCAGGTAGGTTTTTCTGGTCTCCTCGCGGTAGATTTCTTCCAACTTTGACCTCACCTTTTCCTCGTTACTTTTCACATCTGCTTTTAATGAAATGATCCTAGCAACATTTGATTCAGGAATAGTCTTGACCAGCGGGGGATCAACTCCCAAGCAGGTGCGAATGCTAGGAACTTTGGCTACAACGGCTTCCCAGAAATCCTTGTTGACCTGCACATCGCACTTCGCAAACTTGCTGAGGTAATTTTGTACTTGGTCAATGCATTCAGATTGCCATGAATCACTGTCATCTTCCCCACGGTACACTATTAGAGCAATTTTGTCGTTGGGTTTCCAGGTGATTTCGCTTTTCTCTCCAGTAAGCGAATTGTTTAGTTCAGCTTGGAATCCTGTGAATGTAACGTATTCCATAACATCGGGATCTACAGGCATGGGCAGCCGTTGTGCTTTAACATCAGGTTTCTGGCTCACTCGAGATTCACTAACCGCGGTTGCAGTAGCTCCTAAGTCACCGGAATCCTCTGCTCCATCAACCTCTTCGTCTTCTAAAAACTCTCGGTAAGCTCTAATTGACAGCTGGGTTTGTTCAAACTCATGAGGTTTTTCTTCATGTCTGGTTAACACCCTTTCCATATCTATTGATTAAAGCAACGAAGTGTCAGGAATTTCCCTGAAGAAGTTATTTGTCCTTTCACAACACTTCATGACACTTTAACTTGAGAGAGATGCACAGATTAAGGACGATGGGGTGGTTGGGGTAGAGTAGGTCAATAAATCAATCAATCAAGCAATCAATCAATCAAGCAATCAATCGATCAATCAATCAATCAAGCAATCAATCGATCAATCAACGATCACCAATTTGTCCTTCTCTAAGTCTAATGTACTGCTCAAGTCTTAAACCGTGAGAACCAATATTTGCTACATATGTTTGAGGATCAGATGTCGATTATTCGTGCCTGAAGGAATTACACTGTACATATATTTTAAAGATCAATGATTTACAAACCTTTTGCGTTTTGAAACACAACCACAGCTCGACCACTTTTAGGAACATAGTCAACCTTATCCACAGGACCCCCTCCGTTTCGACGACTCTCAAAGTACAGTTCAATAAAATCATGGGTAACGTCTGAAAAGCCAGTGACGAGGATGCTTTTGCAAACCGGGACTTGTTCGATGGAAACCTTTGCGTCATCCAGACCTCTCTCCTCGCATTTGGTCTTTATTTTCGTGAAATCTAAAGAAAACAGATCACATTCTCAAAAACTGTTTGTCTTGTGTGATCTCCACTTTTTGAGTCTTCCTGAAAGGAACAACACTCTTTAAATTACATGTACAGTTCCCAAATAAATTTATTTCTTTTATCTGGGTTGTTTTGATAGTCTGAGGAAGAAAATCGAAAGGTCTAAAATAAGATACCTTAATTCTTCAGGTACTTATAAAGCATACAACAATTTTAATCAATGAAAAGTTAGTTTCATATAATGTAAGGGTGACTTCATTGCTTGAAGCTGAGAGGATGAAATTGAGGCGGCGCTAGCTTTCATCCCTGATAATTCACTAACATATCAAAGAAGTACGATGGAGAAACTCCTGCTTACTCTCCAAATTCAATTGAAAGGTACCTACTTCTGATTTCATCAGCCATAATGACTAAGGCTTTTCCATTATTCAGCATCTGTACGTCCTTAACCTCTTGCCCAGCACTCTTTGCCGCGATAAAGTTACTTAGTCCGTCCCGAGAAGTTTTTCCACTCAGCCCGCGAATGAGTATTTTATTTGTTTCAAATTGAGACTGATCAGCAACCTTCCCTGCATCCGAATCATCGACAGAACAAGGGGATGAGGTTATTTTGCTGACAGGCTTCCTCGAGGATACTGTGTGCTTCTGCTTTTCATGAAAATTTCTTCCTCTTTCATTTGGTTGGTTCGGTTGTCTTGGCATGATTTGAGAGGAATCTTTAGGATCTGGAAACTGATCGCTCTCCTGAAAGTCTCCTTGAATTTGATGTTGCTCCTGGAAATTACCACCTCGTCCGTAACCCTTTGGCTTCGATTTTGGATTTGGTTGACGCCCTCGACCGCCTCGACTTCCACGTCCCATTTGAGGCTGAAAATTGCCACCATCAACATAGCGCCATTCCTGAGATCCATAAAGTAAATTATCTCGATATTCCGCAATTTGGTCCTGATGAAAGCCACCTCCTCGTTGTCCTCGTTGGTTTCCACGTCCTCTCTGCGGCGGAAAGGCGTTTTGATGACCAAACCCCCGTCCTTGAGGGGGATGAAATTGATCATGCCTATTCACTTGGGTGTTGCTTGGACCCGCCCCCGGGCTCCTCTTCTGGGTTCCGCCTCTGAGAAAGGTGTTTTGTCCTCTGGCCCCGCCTCTGGGTCGCACCTCTGGGTCCCGCCTCTGCGGAAAGGCGTCTTGGTGACCATACCACTGTCCTTGAGGGGGGTGAAATTGATCATCGCTGTACGCTTGGGTGTTGTTTGAACCCGCCCACGGGTCCCGCCTCTGGGTCCCGCCTCTGTGAGAGGTGTTTTGGCCTCTGGACCAACCCCTGGGTCCTGCCTCTGGGTCCCGCCTCTGCAAGGCGTTTCGGTGACCAAAACACTGTCCTTGAGGAGGATTAAATTGATCATCACAATACACTTGGGTGTTGTTTGGACCCGCCCCTGGGTTTCGCCTCTGGGTTCCGCCTCTGGCGTTTTGGCCTCTGAACCCTCCTCTGGGTCCCGCCACCGGGTCCCGCCTCTGCGGAGAGGCGTTTTGGTGACCACACCACTGTCCTTGAGGGGGATGAAATTGATCATCGCTATACACTTGGGTGTTTTTTGGACCTGCCCCCGAGTCCCGTTTCTGGGTCCTGCCTCTGGGTCCCCTTTGCGGTCCTCCTCTTGTCTTGCCTCTTTGCCTCGAGTTGTGGCCTCGACAAGCTTGGTTCCCCTTATTTTGATCCGATTCAACGCTATCACAAATATTTCTCCTTTCATCTTGTCGTTCTGCATCACCATGTTGCACTTGCGTTTGATTTTGTTTTCTGGGCTTTCTTTCAAGTTTTCCTTCACGTTTCGTAATCAATGGTCTTCCTTCAGTTGGATTTTTAAAAAGGGCCGCAGGATTCTCCATATCTTGAAACTCCTGTAGCTTCTTACTGGCTTTTTCGATATTTCCTTTCACATCATCTCGACGGAGAATTCTCTTGATAAGAATTGGTGGCAGACAACTGAATATCTCTTGCAGTTGTTTTGATTTTCGTTCAAATTCCTCGGGGTCTTCTTCTTCCTCTTCCTGCTCTTCCTGCTCGTTCTTATTAACAGCAGATGAAAAACCCAACCCCCTGTCAATATTCTCCGCAACTGTTTCACGAACTCCGTCATCTTCTTTGTCAACAAAGTCACTGACTTTTAAAAAACCAAGATCTTTATTTCCTTCCTCCTCCTCTTCTTCTTCTGCTTCTTCGTAATCGTCGTCTGTGAATGAAGAAGTGAGGGACCAGTCAGTATTTATCAATGGTGGCCTTGAGATATATGTTATACATCTCAAAGTCAACTAACAAAAAAAAATACAGCTAATTTACAAGCGCCCCAAAAGTCAGTGAAAGTGATATACAGTATTCTCTCCCCTCATCCTTCCCCCTCCCCCGCCCCCCACTGGAAATTTGCGTTTCAAATGTCCCCAGGGATTTTTCCCCGATAACCGTACACGATCTCCCTGCAGTGAAGCTCGCGCACTGACTTTCCATCGGAATGCCTCCTCGAACATATAATAAAACGTTTCATTGCACTACAAAACTCAGCGTAACAATACTGAAGTTAAAGAGATAAAAAGATGTTGTGAAGAGGAAAACCAACGATTTAAGTAGGGTCAGATAAATTATGCCGGTGTAATTTGGGGCATAATGCTACAGTTAGAGCATCAAACATAATGCGTGTATAATGACTAAAATGTATTGAAAAATCCCTTGATGTTATTGTGTAAGGAGAGATGAATTCTGTCGCCTTAGCAGAGTCAACAGTGATCCTGAATTTCTTATTTGAACTTTAGGAATTCGATCCAGAAAAATGATGTAATCTGAACTAAGCCTTTTACTCTCAGCAAATTTTACCTGTTGGTGATAGCAATGGATGCGAAGTTCAGGGGCTCTTAAAAGCTAACTACTATAACGAATTATTGAATTAAGCATAATGATAACAATTTAGCTTAATGCCATGTAGCTCTCAAGGATGACGTTCAAAAGCATAATGCTCAATTGTTTTTACTATTACTTATCTGACCCTAGATTAAAGTAGAGCACACCCACTCGTGGGCATTTCATTCCGTGATGAATAGATTGAAGGTATCTTGATATGCCGGAATGAAAAAAACAGCAACTCCAAGCGTCTACTTCATTTTATATTTAGCAAGACGTTGTTGTAAATCATACGGTGCATTTGATGGTATAATTTTTTCCCTATTATTTTACATTTTTCTGTCGCAGGCAAGAATTTTTGCTACTTCCAGCTGATTAAAGCAAGCTCAGTCAGAAATATTTTATTTCCTGGTGTTGATATCGATTTGTTTGTGTTACAGACTATCTGAAAATGGTGAATTGAAAGTGGGTGAAAATAATTACACTCGTGGTATAGGACTTACAGTTTAAGTCGAGCAAATAACATGGGGGATGTCCCTCCGATGAGCAAAGGAAATAATTGTTTTTCGACGCAGACCCAAAGGATCAGGATTTATCAACCAGTAACTTTGATGAGTCTATCATCTCAAGAAACGTAATTCCTCGACTGTGAAGTTTTTCGATGCCCTGTTTCCTTAAAGTGTGTGCTTACATCAGAAATTTATTAGTGCAAATATGGGCGGCCGTCACCACCAAAAATACAAGAATGTACAATAGATCAGCAAATACAAAGCTGGTCTAAGGATCAGCTGCAGCAGGATTTTCCGAGAGAATCACAAAAGTTCTTCGAAGTTTCAACATCAAGGTCGCTCATAAGGTTATCCGCTCCATCTCGAGTATACTTTAAAAGCCAAAAGACAAGATAGAGAAAGAGGCTTCCAGAGGAATCGTGTACAAGATCGAATGTAAAGATTGTGATTGGGTTTACGTTGGTCAGACATCGTGCGCACTAAAAGCGCGCGTGAAAAAAACACAAAGCCATAGCAACATTGGATGAAAACTCTATGTTGGCCAAACACCATATACTTCACAGTCACCAAATAGATTTAGAGAGTGTTTAAATTGTTGACAGGCCATCGGCGTGGCGACAAAGACTAATTCTTGAAGGTTAGGAAACGCTATAAACGAACGCCTAACGCTGCCAAACATATACAATAACATTAAGAATTTTTAGAGCCATTAAAAATACTCCAGAGGCTATTGTTTCACTTTAAAAAAAAATTCCGTCTAGATTTAGTTTTATAACACATCGTGGACATGTACCAAGCAGGACGCCGTTATACATTTGCATTTTTATCTTTGCTGAAGAAGGCAACAGTAGCAGCGGAAACGTCCAGAACAATATATTTTTTAGCCAGTGTCAACTTTTTTTATTCGTTTTACCAAAATTTTTGATATGCTTGGTTACACACCGAATATTGTTTATATTTATTACTTTAAAGAGGTGTACATTATCACACAACTTAAGCCAATTTACAAAATAGTCAAGAATCTTGCTCCTCGTTATTTAACTGAACTATTGCCCAAACTGTCTTGTGAACGTACGCGTTTTCGTCTCAGATCAAGAGATAACTTCACTCAACTTCGTTTGATGAACTTCTACGCTTCAAAAGTCTTTTTTTCCATCAGCAATCACTGGCTGGAATTCTCTGGACCAAGATGTCCGAAACTCTGTATCTCTTCCCACTTTTAAAGCAAAAACTCGGTCGATTCTCTTTCCGCTTATTTACTATAGGTTATTTGATGGTTCTTTGTCAAGGTGTGCATCTGTTGATCACACCCCCCTTAGACTTGAGTTTTCTTGTGTAAGAGAATATCTCTTCAAAATTAATAGTTGTGTGTCGCCTATTTGCGAGTGCAGTTTTGACTCTGAATCGGTGAAATACTTTTTCTTGTACTGCCCAAGTATGCCGCTCAACGTGATGTTCTCCTTACCTCTCCCGCTAATATTCTAGGTAAAACATGGTCATCGAGTAGCGATGCCAGGAAACTAAATTCTTTATTGTATGGTGTTGAGTCTGTAAATTACGACGTCAACTCTGCCTTTTTTCGCGAAGTACAAAATTTTATAATTAACACTAATCGCTTCTCTGAGGCCATTGTTTGAATGTTTAAATGTATTCCAAGCTTAGTAAGTTTAATTCGTTGTTATTGCAACTTGTGTGTGTTTGTTATGCCTGAATAAATTGATTTTATATTTGTAAAATTGTAATTCCCCTCGTAAAACCTAAGTACTTTTGGGAAAAACAATGATAACTATGTTTAAATAAAAAATAAAACGTTTTACATTATATTACTTTGTTTATTGCGATGTCCGCACTAGCCTTCTTAAAAAATGATGACTATGGAATGGAAAAGAGCAGAGGGAAGATTTACTACTTAGGCAAACGCTATTTTTGGAACGCGGGAAAAAACCTTGAAGTGTTTCTGGTCCACACTTGTAATTGACGTTTGAACGAGAAAATAAAATAAAAATATAATTTACCTTTACTATCACTGCAGCCAGGAAAAATAAATTCAAGATTTTCGTGCTCAAATTTTAGTAAATGTCTCAAATCACGCACATTGAGGCACAAAGCAACACTTGCACCTTTCACGCGATTTCTTGAACTAAAATTATCATTAAAAATTCTAGGAATTTATGAAGTCAGAAACACAAGCCCTAGCCGTGAGTGCAGTGGTGCGTAAATACAATTTCTACGATATGCGAGCTAAAAGTGTCTCGATCGGTCGCTTTAACGCAAGATTCTACCAGATTAAGTTCTAAATCCATTTATCAGTAATCCTCACCCAAAAAAAGAGCTACAAAATCGACTGTCGAACAATCACGAGTACAAACGCTCGTTTAAGTGCACAAGAATATTAAGGATCTGGTTTCGATTTCCATTCAATGCAAATTGCAATGAAGCATCCTTACCGTAATATGAATATTCGTCATCCATTGTTGATGAGGCGCGAGCTTGAAACTTGTCCTTGATAACTTGTATAATTGTCGAATGCTGAGATGGAAAGAAAAAGATCTTTGTCACTGCTTACTTAAAGACTACAGTGAAAATGAAAACAAGACAAAGTAAGAGTATATTGTAGTATCAAACGAAAATATCTTAAGTTTGCTATGAATTACAGAAGGCAACTTCATCTCTAAAGCTGTAGAAGATTTTGTCTTTATTAAGTAGTTAACACTAGCAGTCGTACATCACTTTTGAGGGCACTTAAGGAGGATTATTTGCTTGTGTTTTCTATTACAAAGCCAGAAAATTGTTCCGCTCGCGAGAACTCGTGTTACTTGATACACCCTTAAGATTCTGAGAAATTATTACATCAGGATAATTCATAAGGAATCCAGAAAACTCACCGTCAATCTTTACAGTTTTTCAAGCGAGGATTCCCCTTCTTTTTACCTACAGAAACACTGTCATAAAATAACTCATTCGTATGCATTGCAGTTTTACTTTGAATGAAACAGTAGTTCCGGTTTTCCTGGGAAACCGTGAGGGAAAAAAGAGGCTGGGAACTGGGAGCAAGCCAAATTGTGACAGAAAATTAAATAAATGTGGGCGGAATGGGTAACCTCATCACGAGAAGAAAACTGGCATTGTAGCAGCTAAAACTGCGTGCGTGATCTGAAATGTTTCGCTGGTCAAACCAAGATTGTTACTTAGTGTAATTGTAAGTTGACGTGGTCACTTTCTCCTACGATTTAAAAAAAAAACTTTAGATAATTCGTTCATACGTCGCCAAATTTTGCTGACTATCTCTGTCACGCCATTGTGTTCACCCTGGACAAGAATGACACCTGCACACGTGATCAACAACTTCGCGTCAGTAAATTTGGCGAATCTCCTAATTTTGATGAGCTGTGTTTTAAAGAGCTTAACAACACCTTTGAGCTCGATCTTTTGAATTGTGAAGGTGTTTGCGAGACCTTTTCGTAGTCTCTCTTTTAACAGCGATCTTTGTGGGGCCAGCGAGTTACATTTTTATTTCGTCCTTATTTGCGGATCTGGCCCAAAATCATGTGGCAAACGAGGCTTCTTTGCGGGTGACTCTTCAGTTTGCACAGGAGGAGGAGTTGGAACCAATCTTTTCGCCGCTTCTTTAAGGACATGACTTGCAGCAATCGATACTTGTGTGTGAACTGCATAACCCTCTTGGAGCAGTAAATTTTGTCAATGTGGATTGCATTGTCTTCTTGAACGTTTTGCGGCTTGGCAAGCGACTTGCTTTTGGTGTTTGGATTACCGTTCTGAGAAAAGATCATCGGAAAGTCAAAAACAATAGTCAGGAACACTGTACAAAAGGGATCAAGAAGCACATAGAATTTAACACCACATAAAGTCGAGTATGCCTGGAAGCTAACAAAGTACACAGAGTCGAGGCTCGAACTTTGCATGTGAAATAGTTTGCAAAAAACGAATGTGATCTTTTTAACTTTAGTTCTTGCAACTTCTCGTCATAAAGGCCTTCTTCGCAGCCGCTCTTTTGAGACATTTCTAAAATAATGAAAAGCGATGAAAAACTAGGAGAGGAATATTCTATTGCCGTTTACTCCGCGCGCAAGATTTCAAATTGAACTTTTACACAGTCTTGGGTTTGACCGTGTATGAACCATGAGGAATATTCTATTGTCGTTTACTATGTGGTTAAGATTTCAAATGTAACTTTGTAAACAGTCTTTACCTTAACTGTGTAATAACCATCGCCCTCGCGATGGCCAGAAAAACCATACGGCAAATGACACAAGATTTACTTTGTTACACGTGCTCTTGCTCGGGTTGGCTTGCTGACAAGCTGGGAGGGTATCAAAAGTTGGAAAAAGACTAAACACTTCCCTTATAAAGCGATTATTAAATAAATATTTAGAGATTTCGCTTATAATTGCAGAGTCGGTCACAATAGTATTATTACTACAGGGGTAAATCATTACACGATATCAAACTACAAATACACTTATCCTTGTTTTGAAAATGGTGGATGAATGACCTAATGTTATTCGCCTGTATTTATCTGTGAAAAGCTGATTTCTCTTGAGGCAGGCAGAAACAGATAGGGACAGCCTCAAAGCCGAGAAGGAATAAGATGGGAGGTGTGAATGGGAAATCAAAAGATTCCCTTCCTTTGCAAGCTAGTATTACAGTGTCAATTGCGGACAATGAGCCCTTCAGTTTTGGCGCGAAAATATTCGTGACAAGTGATGCCACTTGCTTGTCACGCAACATTCATAGTCGCACGGTCTCTCTACAAAAGCAAGGATTACTCTACTCAGAAGACTTACACTGCGATTATAGAAATTTTGATGGGGGGTTTCTTGTCTGAGTGTTCTTATCTGCTGGTAGGACTTCGTCTCCCTCGCTCGTTCATACCGAAAAACGTAAGATATTGCCACAGAACCACTAGTTGAAGACGAAAAAAAACTAACACGTTAACTTTTCTTTCTCTATTTTATTTCAGGAAATAAACCTGTTCGTGAAACCCGTGGGTAATACTATGCCACACTTTCTGACCGAGCTTTTGGCTGCCAACTAAAAAATAAATGCTTCTCTAAGTCTCTATTCAGTAAATCTTTTACATCATAAATCAAATGTCATCTTAGAGACGTCACTGTCATTTCTCAAAAAGGTACGCATATTTTTCGAAATTCTCCTCTTTCGCCAGTTTTATTTTTGGTAGAAAATTGATATAACAAAATATTGTTTGTCAGTCTGGCGGTAAAAAGGAAAATACCGTTTTGAGAACAGCAGAACTCTTTTCTTTTCCAAGAGAGAAAACGGGGCAAGCGCGAGGTGAACGCGTGGGGCGAGGAACACCACTATGTCGTGGTCCCCGCGCATGTCTCGCGTTTCCCTACGCTCGCCCAAGAAACGTGAAAAAATGACAACTGTCGCCTGTAGGCTAGTGGTAACTCCACTGTAGTGATAAAAAGCGTTCAGCTGGATTTTACTTTGTTTGGCATAACAAGGGCCCTCTAGCTCCAAGGATATAATCATTCAATTTATAGGATAAAGAATAATCTTTGAGTTGAGACAGTAAAGAATGCTATTGAGAAACTATTACCAATATCTATATGATGTTCCCTACACTGTGAAGGAGAACGATTTTCTGCAATTCATATAGCTGATAAACTAAGTTGAACTATAAAGCATTTCAAGCCTTTTTGGCTTTTAACTCTGCCGTATTCTGAGTAAAGGTCCATGTACTCATCAAAAGGTTATAAGGTATTCAGGGTAACACTGATTATCAAAGAAAACAACAAAGATGCTGGGGCTTGATTGGTTATTTACCACAGAATCGTAAAGAATTTCAGGTTTTGATGGGTTTTTTGGTGGAGGCACAATCATTGAAGAATTTCCAACACAATACTGCCCAACGAGAACCTTAGCAAGGTACATGTGGCGCCCTCCAAAACCACCACCCCCAGCGTATCGAACAGAGTAGTAAGCGTCTCTGGCGAAATAAACACCACGTCCATAGAGCGTGCCTGAAAAAAATGCTCAGTTTAGAGAAAAGATATCAACAAAATCATAATACATTCAGTGAAGTTATTTGTTATGAAAGAGGCAATTGTATTCTTCTTCTATTAATACAGCTTTTATTACCATTTTCTGGTTCAAAAGAGCGATTCGGCCAGAGCTCGTGCAACGTCTGAGTAACTAGGTAGCAAAGGTGGACAAATATATGAATAGAATAGTGGCCAAAACACAATTAGCTTAGCCAAAAATACGCTTTCACTGGTTAGGAACAATCGCTGGAAAATATTTCTTTACTGCTCCTTTTTCCCACACGAAGCTTTCGAAAGCTATGATCCTAGCAGTATGTGGAAAGTGTGCCACATATTATCCACTTGAATACCCTGCTCATCATAGAGTCTGTAGCTCAATGGTAGAGCGTTGACTTACCATGAGCCCCACAGAAGCTCCTGTTGAATCCTTGTGTGTTGATATGGTTGACGTTTTTGGCATTTGTTCCATGAAACAGCTGTCTTTCACTATTTCCTCCAGTATCTTTATCCATTTTCTGTTTTCTTACCATGTAGGACTGATACAAATGAGGATTCTGTACGCGTTCAATCTTCTGAATATTTAAGGCACCGGCTGTGGCTTTAAACTTACGTACGACATCTTGATACTCAGGGGAGCCTGGGAGCAGTTGTACTTTATGTACAGTAGAGTCATGCCCGGGCATTGGTGTCCAGTGCTTTGGCAGAGCAATTCCTACAGAAAGGACCAAAAGATTAGAATGTTGAAATGAAAACCCATTGACTGAGGTTAAATTTCAACATCCAAGAACATATTTGAGGTAAGACACATACAAGATTAACAAGAAAGCTCTGGATGGCCCATTTTTGGACAGCTTTTCTGAATATCTCCTTCCTGTATTAAATGTTTATTACCTTAAACGTCCTCTGGGACATGAAATAGCTCTCAGTCCTTTCTTAAAGCTTATCGAAACATCCTCTTCAAAAGAAATGCATAGCAACTAACCTTCATCAGCACCCTTCACCTTTCTTGTCAGTGTTATTTGTTCACCAGATGTTTGTCCACGTCCAGAGTTTCTCTTCAAGTCGATAACAAACTTGTCTCTTCGTAGAGAAACTTGCACTGTTGGCTCGTCTTTGCTGTAGGCCAACTCAATCTTGGCATTTGTTTTCGGAGCGAACGCCATTTGTATGCCTTGTATTTCATAGCTCCACTCTACGTTCTTTGAAACCAACTTCGCTTGTTCTTCCTCCTGCTTCTTCGTCCTCTCGCTGATCTCTTTCCGGATCTCCCCGACCATTCCAGAAACTTCGGTTGGTCCACCACGAACGACAATGCGATCAACGTCATCCTCAATTTCAAGTTTGACGTCACGGTCTTCAGCCTTTTTTCTCAGGATATCTTTCTGCTTATCGGAAAGCTGACTGACGATTTCATTTTCGACTTTTTCCGTTGTACAAGCGTCAGAGAAACCTTTCTTCAAGGATTCCACGGCTTTTCCCACGCTCACCTTGTCTTTGCCGATCACAGATATTCTTACAGAATGTTCATCACTTTGGCCTGGTGCCTGCCTACGTCCGCGTCTTCGGGTTTGCCTGGCTACTGCATCCTCTGAGTCACTGTCTTCTTTAATACCTTGCACCAGTTGTTTCTTCTGCTCTTGTAGAAACTCCTGCATCATAGAGGCCTGGAACACGACCACTCTTACTTTTTGAATATTTTTACGGCGGGCACGGAATGCATTTAGTGCTTTGAACGTCAGTTGGGCTGAGTCCGCTCCGTTCAAGCCGTATCCTTCTGTGCCAACACACGGAATTGAGATTGTTTGAAGATTATTGGCATCCGCAACGCGAAGACCCTCCTCCAAACATTGCTGGAGATGGTGCTTATCTGAGGAGCCTGGAATTATGTGAATAATATGAGGCACTCGTAAATCACCTCCGCTGGTCATTTTCGCTGTTCCAGGACGCTGCTTTCCCAATTTGTTGCATTCTTGTTGCACAAGTCGACCACTCCGTCTTGCTATGGCTTTGCTTAGGTCTCCGGCATTATTCATGTTCATGTCCGTGCTGTTGATATTCATGATAGCGTCAGTGCTGTTCTCTTGCGTCAAATCACCATTTATCACCTCGATACTGAACGGGCTAGTTAAGGTTATGCGCTGAGCCACACCTACTTGTGGAGAAAACGAATGCCTCTGATGTTCTTGCTGAAATGTCCCCACTGTTTTCTTCCGTCCAAAGAAGGAACGTATTCCTTTAGTTAAAGTCGTGATGGCAGGGAGGCTAGTTTGCTTGGGCTGTAGTTTGTCCATCTCTTGTTTGAAGGCGGTAGTTAATGCTTGATCTTGGTTAAACACGACAAATCGGATGTCCCGTAAATTAGAACCAGGGTTGGTTTTGCAGAAATTGACTGTTTCATCCAACATGATTCTCGAGGCTGCATCGCGTGGGAAGCGCAGGTTTCCAGTCCCAATGACAGGAAATGCAATGGAGTTCGCTCCAAGCGTTTGGCCTCTTTTCAGACACTTTTGAACGATGGCCCTTAGCGTCTACAAAAGATGAAATAGAAGTTGTTGAAAATCTTTTCGTTCCTATGTGATCTCAATAGCAATTCTCCACACTGTCTTCTGTACATTTCTTTTGAGTTTGGCACTTAAAATTTGGCGTTAAGTCATGCAATATCCCCTTATTGGTATATTTTCCTTCTTCCCGTCGCCTTTCCGGTTGATAATGGATTGATAATGGGAGGAGAAAAAAAAACTGACTAGTCACTCCTTAAAGAGTGACCTTAAAAAGGTTAAAAAACTGACTCCCGTTCAAGCTATTTTTAGTTTTCTTGGAATTTGTTTTCCGGGGATCAAAGTTATCTGAAACTTGAATTTTGTTAACATTTTCAGAGGATATTGAGAGGGCGCCATGCAGGATGTTCACACCAGAGAACATCAGGATCAGGATCAGGATCAGGATCAGGATCGAGGATGTTTGAATTATAACTTCACGGAAATTACCTTTAGCCCTAATTAATTCTTTCTTGGTAGTGAAAATTTCACATCTCATTTTGTTTTTTTCTAGGAAGATCTTTGCTCTCACTAACTCTACAAAATTTCTGATTAAGACTGTCGAATGATACCAGAAACTGAAAGTTACTTTATGCAATAACTGTGTCGTTACATATACGATTGATCATTCCCGAAGAGAATGGTCCTGTTACGAAAGAACAACGAACCGACGCTATTTATTCTATTCCTTGCAATGACTGTGATAACGAGTATCGGACAGACCAAACGTCAGTTTGGTACACGTTTGAAAGAGCATCAAAAAGCGGTTTTCTTTTATAAAAAAGAAAATTTAGCTTTATCGGAGCACACATGCCTAACCAACCCTACAATTCAGTGGAATAAGTCTAAAATTATCATTACTAGTCGGTGTTACCACCAGCGCCTTTGTTTGGAAGCCTGGCATATTAACTCCGTCCACGCTCCTCTAAATCGTGATGATGGCGGCCTACTTCCTGACGCCCATTTACACCTCGTTAGAAAAAAGGCAGCTAATTGGTGAGCGTATAAAGAGACCTCTGGTTGCAGCATTTAGATCACCCCTGATGAAGGCATTAGACAGGAATGTCGAAATATTGGGTCTATGAATTGTAACTTCTCGGTTACATTCATTATATCTTTAAACCAGAGTAGCATCAAACCATGTCTGACATGACGGAATGTTTCACGATAACCTACATCGGAAATAACATCAAATCGAGCCTGAACAGTCTTCAGTTGCTGTATGCTACAAGAGAATGGATAGGATTCGCCAGTCGGGCATCCGACATCGTTTAGGCTTTAATCAAATCTAAACAATAAGTACTCTTCAATGTATTTTCATTGTTTCTTACCGGCTCCCCTTCACCGTTGTTCCACTTACAACAGTTAGCGAGAATCACGTGACTGACCGAGGAAAAACCACCTGAGACAGTGATGTCACCAACGTTGGGGATTTTGGACTTGGGGCCACCGGTGTTAATGATTGCTTTATGGCATGCTCCTAGAGAACTGACAAGTACGTCAGCCTGGAAGACACAACCAAAAAAATATTGTCAGTGCTTCATGAACTTCTTCAATATGGTTGACTGTAATCGTTATCAGACTTGGCACTCCTAATTAGAGAGGCGTTACATAATGTAACCACACTCTATGAGCAGATGAGAGCTAAGTGAAGAACTAAAATCCATATAAGAGGAATGGTAAGTTTTTGAGCTGGGTGAAGAAATAAAGAAACATTTTTTCGTCTTGTCCCATGCTCGTGGCAAGACGAAAAACATTTTTCTTTATTTCTTTACGGAGCTCAAAAACTACCATCTCTCTTGTTTCCATCTGCAAACATTACGCTATCGACATTGCTGATCCTAGCACGCGTGTTATATGAACTTCATAATGTGGCTCAGTGGTAGAGCATCGGAGCGCGGAATCCAAGGGTCTGAGGTTCGATTCCTCATGGCGACTCAGATTTTTTTTCTTTGTCACACGCTCGTGACAAGACGAAAAACATCTTCCTTTAAAATCCATATATGTGCCAACAAGATCCTCTAAGGTATTTTCGTAAAATATTCTGCTGGTGTGAAGAAATCAGTGAGTCGATCTCACCTTCTCTTCCCCTATGTTTCCAGGTTTCCACGACACTCTGTACCTTTGGGCTATTACCAGGGTAGACGAGTCAGTTCCAGTAGTGGTAGCGTGGTCATCCTCCGCATCATCTTCACCGTCGCCTGAAGTAGTAGAGGCTTCAAAAACAGATTCGACGCGCAGCTCCTCTTCCTTTCCTCCTCGAACTAAACTTTTCTGGACTTTTATGACACAGTCTTGTTGTTTTTCCACCATTTTCACCAGCTGATCTCCTTTTCCACTGTCAAAGTATTTTCGAAGGCCTGGCTGTTTCACTTCAAAGGTTTTGAACTCAGTGGAATCCATCAGAGCATCAAGCTTCTTTCCTACACGTTTCAAACCATCTCTGTTTCCAGAAATGACGAAATCATCATCGTCTTTTCCCTTTTTAATACTCACTACAAAATCTTTTAGTTGATTCTCTATGGTGCGTAGATCTTCTTGACGTAGCTCAAGAAGATACCTTCGCATAATATCAGACGTGCACACAAAACTTTCCTCCCTGATGCAATTGTTTTCAAGAAAGGTATTTAACTTCTTTATCACTTCGGTCACGTCATCACGAAACCCAGCTACGTATGTATCGTTCCAGTTGTCCCTCCGGACACGGACAGCCGTTTGGTTCATCTCGCCACACAACCTCAGCCATTCAGATGACTTCAACAAATGCTTGCTTTTCTCGTCCACTCGAACTTTCTCTTCCACCGTCAACTTGTTCACGAGCCCCGCTGCGTTGTTTGCATGCGCTGCTGATGATCCCACTATGGTGGCTTCTTTCTCAATAACGAACACTGCTTCCACGTTGTTTCTTTCCAATTCACATTTGACAGTCTGAAGCCCCTCATCTGAGTTTAAAATCTCCAGGATGCTGTCGGGTAAAGTCAGTTTCTTCTCAACCACATCTGCCATTTGTTTCTCGAACTTCATGGTTGCCTCAGTAAACTGTGGCTGGGGACCTTCGAAATATATTTCTTTACCTTCAGTATTAATCTTGATCTCCAGCTCCTTGTTCTTTTCTTGGAGTTTCTCGGCAAATTTTATCTTCTTCAGCAAAATTAGGCGCTCCTTAGGAACATTTGGAATTTTCTTCTTCAGGTAAGTTTTTCTGGTCTCCTCGCGGTATATTTCTTCCAACTTTGACTTCACCTTATTCTCGTTGCTTTTCACGTTTGTTCCTAATGAAACGATCCTAGCAATATTTGAATCAGGAATAGTCTTGATCAGCGGGGGATCAACTCCTAAGCAGGTGCGAATGCTGGGAACTTTTGCTACAACGGCTTCCCAGAAATCCTTGTTGACCTGCACATCGCACTTCGCAAACTTGCCGAGGTAAATTTGTACTTGGTCAATGCATTCAGATTGCCATGAATCACTGTCATCTTCCCCACGGTACACTATTACAGCCATTTTGCTGTTGGGTTTCCAGGTGATTTCGCTCTTTTTTCCAGACAGTGAATTGTTCAGTTGAGCTTGGAATCCTGTAGACGTGACGTATTCCATAACATCGGGATCTACAGCTATGTGCAGCTGTTGTGCTTTGGCATCAGGTTTCTGGCTCACTCGAGATTCACTGGCCGCGGTTGCAGTAGCTCCTAAGTCACCGGAATCCTCCGCTCCATCAACGTCTTCGTCTTCGTCTTCTAGAAACTCTCGGTAAGCTCTAATTGACAGCTGGGTTTGTTCAATCTCATAAGGTTTCTCTTCATGTCTGGTTAACACTCTTTCCATATCTATTGATTAAAGCAACTAGGTGTCAGGAATTTCCTTGAGGAAGTTGTTTGTCGTTTCACAACACTTCACGACACTTTAATTTGAGAGAGACGCACAGAGTAAGGACGATGGGGTTGTTGGGGCGGAGTAGATCAATCAATCAATCAATCAATTAATCAAACAATCGATCAATTCACGATCTAAATACTAATTCATCCCTCCTTAAGTCTAATGTGTAGCTCAAGTCTTAAATCGGGGCAATCAATATTTGCTACGTATGTTGGAGGATCAGATGTCGATTATTCGTGCCTGAGGGAATTACACTATACTTATATTTTAGAGATCAGTGACCTACAAACCTTTTGCATCTTGAAACACAACCACAGCTTGACTACTTTTAGGAACATGGTGAACCTTCTCCACAGGACCCCCACCATTTCGACGACTCTCAAAGTACAGTTCAAGAAAATCATGGGTAATGTCTGAAAAGCCAGTGACAAGGATGCTTTTGCAAACCGGGACTTGTTGGATGGTTTTTCCACCCCGTCCCCCACCGTGTCCCCTACCCTTTCGCTTCGGTTTTGGTTTCGGTTTTGGTTTCGGTTTTGGTGGAGGTCCTCGACCGCCTTGACCTCCACGTCCCATTTGAGGCTGAGAATTGCCTTCATCGCCAAAGTGCCGTTCCTGAGATTCATAAAGCAAATAATCTCGATTTCCTGCAGTTGGGTCCTGGCGAAAGCAACCTCCTTGTCCTCGTTGGTTTTCACGTCCTCTCTGCGACGGGAAGGCGTTTTGGTGATCAAACCACTGTCCTTGAGGGGTATAAGAGTGATCATCTCTATGCACGTGGGTGTTGTTTGGATCCTTGTAAAACCCACCTCTGGGTCCCCTTTCCGGTCCTGCTCTTGTGTTGCCTCTTTGCCTTGAGTTGTGGCCTCGACAAGCTTGGTTCCTCTCATTTTGATCCGATTTATCGCTATCACAACCATTTCTTCGCTCATCTTGTCGTTCTGCATCGCCATGTTGCCCTTGCGTTTGATTTTTTTCTCTTGGCCTACTTCTATTTTTCTTCCCTCTATTACTTTCGTGTTCAGGGCCTCCGGAAGATTTGTCCCCTGCCACCCAAGCTTGCTTAATAGGGCCGTGTGTTAGAGGATCTTCAAATTTTCCTTTAGGTTTCGTAATCAATGGCCTTCTTTCAGCTGGATTTTTAAAAACGTCCGCAGGATTCTCCGTATCTCGAAACTTTTGTAGGTTTTGACGTGCTCTTTCCATATTTCCTTTCACGTCATCTTGACGGAGAACTGTCGTGATAAGAACTAGTGGCAAACAACTGAATACCTCTTGCAGTTGTTTTGATTTTTGTTCAAATTCTCCTGGGTCTTCTTCGTCCTTCTTCAGCCCTTCTTGCTCGTTCTTGTCGACAACAGATGAAAAATCCAACTCCTTGTCAACATTCTTCTCAACTGTTTCACGAACTCCGTCATCCCCTTTGTCAACAAAGTCACTGACATTAAAAGAACCAAGATCTTCATTTCCTTCTTCTCCTTGTTGTTGTTGTTCTTCTTTTTCTTCTTTTTCCTCTTCCTCTTTTTTTTCTTCTTTCTCTTCTTCTTTCTCCTCTTCTATTTCTTCTTCTTTTTCCTCGTCTTTCTCTTCTTTTTCTTCTTCTCCTTCTTTTTCTTCTTCTCCTTCTTTTTCTTCTTCTCCTTCTTTTTCTTCATCCCCTTTGTCAACAAAGTCACCACGATCTTTATTTCCTTCTTCTCCTCGTTGTTGTTGTTGTTGTTGTTGTTGTTGTTTTTCTTCTTCTTCTTTTTCCTCTTCTTCTTCTCCTGTTTTCTCTTCTTGTTTCTCCTCTTTTATTTTTTTCTCTTCTTTTTCCTCTTCTGTTTCCTCGTCCTTTCTTTCTTCCTCTTCTTCTTCTTCTTTTTTTTCTTCTTTTTTTTCTTCTTCTACATCGTTGCCGTCTGTGAATGAAAAAGTGAGGGACTAGTCAGTATTTATCAATGGTGGCCTTGAGATACATGTTATACCTCTCAAAGTCAACTAACAAAAAAAAGGAAATACAGCCAATTACAAGCGCCCCAAAAGTCAGTGAAGGTGTTAATACAGGATTGCTTACTTTGATCTGTATTATTTTAATAGTTTGGAGAAGAAAATCGAAACGTCTAAATACGTTGGATCACCTAAAATAAGGCATCTTAATTCTTCACGTACTAGTTAAGCATACAACAATTCTAATCAATGAAAAGTTAGTTTCACATAATTTGAAGGTAAATTCACCGCGTAAAACTGAGAGGATGAAACTGAGCTGGCGTGGACTTTCATCCCCGATAACTCACGAACAGATCATAGACATAGAATAGAGAAATTCCTGCTAAATCTCGAAATTCAGTTGAAAGGTACGTACCTTTGATTTCATCAGCCATGGTGACTAAGGCTTTTCCATTCTTCAGCATCTGTACGTCCTTAACCTCTTCCTTACCACTCTTTGCCTTGATAAAGTTCACCAGTCCTTCCCGTGAGGTTTTTTCACCCAGCCCTTGAATGAATATTTTATTTCTTTCAAATTGAGACTGATCAGCAGGTTCCTCTTCTGCCACACTGGGCATGCTCTGTGTTCGTCTTATCCCAGTTTGACCAGCATCTCTGTTACCAAGTCGGTTTTGTGGCCTACCGCGGTCTCCCTGTCTGCTTTTGTTGGTTTCACCTTGTCTGAACTTCCCTGCATCCGAATTATCGAAAGAACTGGGGTTTTATTGCTGACAAGCTCCTTCAAGGATGTTGGATGCACCTGATTTTCATGAGAACCTCCTCCTCTTCCATTTTGTTGGTTCGGTTGTATTTGCATTAACTGAGAGTCATCTTTAGCATCTGAAAATTGATTGCTCCCCTGAAAATCTCCCGGAATTTGATGTTTCTCTTGAAAATTTCCACCCCGTCCCCCACCGTGTCCCCTACCCTTTCGCTTCGGTTTTGGTTTCGGTTTTGGTGGAGGTCCTCGATCGCCTTGACCTCCACGTCCCATTTGAGGCTGAGAATTGCCTTCATCGCCAAAGTGCCATTCTTGAGATCCATAAAGCGAATAATCTCGATTTCCTGCAGTTGGGTCCTGGCGAAAGCAACCTCTTTGTCCTCGTTGGTTTTCACGTCCTCTCTGCGACGGAAAGGCGTTTTGATGATCAAACCACTGTCCTTGAGGGGTATAAAAGTGATCATCTCTATGCACTTGGGTGTTTTTTGGATCCTGGTAAAACCCACCTCTGGGTCCCCTTTCCTGTCCTGCTCTTGTGTTGCCTCTTTGCCTTGAGTTGTGGCCTCGACAAGCTCGGTTCCTCTCATTTTGATCCGATTTATCGCTATCACAACCATTTCTTCGCTCATCTTGTCGTTCTGCATCGCCATGTTGCCCTTGCGTTTGATTTTTTTCTCTTGGCCTACTTCTATTTTTCTTCCCTCTATTACTTTCGTGTTCAGGGCCTCTGTAAGATTTGTCCCCTGCCACCCAAGCTTGCTTAATAGGGCCGTGAGTTAGAGGATCTTCAAATTTTCTTTTAGGTTTCGTAATCAATGGCCTTCCTTCAGCTGGATTTTTAAAAACGTCCGCAGGATTCTTCGTATCTTGAAACTTTTGTAGCTTTTGACGTGCTCTTTCCATATTTCCTTTCACGTCATCTTGACGGAGAACTGTATTGATAATAACTGGTTTCAAAAAAATGAATTCCTCTTTCAGTTGTTCTGATTTTCGTTCAAATTCTCCTGGGTCTTCTTCGTCCTTCTCCAGCCCTTCTTGCTCGTTCTTGTCGACAGCAGATGAAAAACCCAACTCCTTCTCAACATTCTTCTCAACTGTTTCACGAACTCCGTCATCCCCTTTGTCAACAAAGTCACCGACATTAAAAGAACCAAGATCTTCATTTCCTTCTCCTTGTTGTTGTTGTTCTTCTTTTTCTTCTTTTTCCTCTTCCTCTTTTTCTTCTTCTTTCTCTTCTTCTTTCTCCTCTTCTATTTCTTGTTCTTTTTCCTCGTCTTTTTCTTTTTTTCTTCTTCTTTTCTTTTTCTTCTTCTTCTTTTTTTTCTTCTTCTTCATCTTCGCTGTCTGTGAATGATAAAGTGAGGGACCAGTCAGTATTTACCAATGGTGGCCTACATACATGTTATAATGTTATACCTCTCAAAGTCAACTAACAAAAAAAAAAAAAAAAGAAATACAACTAATTTACAAGCGCCCCAAAATCAGTGAAGGTGATAATACAGGATTCTCTTCCCTCCTCTTTCCCCAAAAATCAGTTAAGTTGATAATTTACGATTTTCTTCCCTCCTCCTTCCCCCCACCCCCACTGAAAATTTCTCCTTACCACCCTGCGTTTCAAACGGCCCTGTGGCTTTTTCCGCCATTACCGTACACGATCTCGCTACAGTGAGGGTCGCCCACTGACTTTCTATGGGAATGCCTCTTCGAACTTACAATACAACGTTTCATTACACTGAAAAATTCAACGTAACAATCTAAACGTTAGGGAGACGAATGGATGTTATGAGGAGCAAAACCAACGATTCGAGTGGGGTTAGATAAATTATGCCGGTGTAATTTGGGGCATGATACTATAGTTAGAGCATCGAACATAATGCCAGCATAATGTCTAAACTTATGAAAAAATCCCTTGATTTTACAGTTCAACAAGAGGTAAATTCTTTAGCCTGAGTAAAGTCAAAAGTGATCCCACTTTCCTGTTTGAACTTTAGGAATTCGAATGTTCTGATCTGAACTAAACCTTTTACTGTCAGAAAGTTTTACTTGTTAGTGATAAGAATGGTGGGCTAATTTATTATTAGTAATTTATCACGAATTACTGAATTGAGCGTAATGGAAACAAGTAAGCTTAATGCCATGGTGTTTTCAAGGATGACGCTCAAAAGTGCAATGCTCAAATGTGTGAGTATTATTTATCTGACCCTTGATTGAAATAGAGAGCACAACCACTCGTGAGCATTTCATTCCGAGATCAAGAGACTGAAGACATCTTGATATGCCTGAATAAAGGAAACAGCATCTCCATGCGTCTACTTCATTTTTGAGTTATTTAAAAGAAAAAAACTAGACCCCGTGAGCAGGGTAACTGGGATACCTGGATGGTACTGGATCCTTGGGATCAAGTATAGTGATACCACAGGTGTCGGACTAGTATATTGAAATAGTAAGCTTAAGTCTGGCCAAGGGCATACACCTATTTCAAAAAAGGTTGTCATCAGGCGATAGGTGAAAGGTCATTCCAAGACGGAAAGGAATCATGGGTATGCAACTCAGTAAATAGTTCTTGCTGAGTGTTCTACATTTGTTTTTTTAACTGAATGAAAGTTTTTCTGTAAAGTATTCTTTTAAAAACAGAGCTAATAAAATATGAACCTTCCCTAATCTTATTTTGAAAAGCTGTGATCTTATGATCTAAATCATTTTGAACTGAGTTTCTACGGGCTTCCTTATTAGCTTGGACTTGGAATATAATCTTATCTTTGCCTGCAGGATCCACTATTCTATACCATCCTGCTCTGCCAGAAAAAAGGTTTTCTATTTCTTCAGTATTCAATGAGATATACCATTCTGCTCTTTTTTGATTTTGTGCAGAATTGAGCGAGTAAAAGCATTCTGCTCTCTTTTGTTTTTGTGCTGTATCCAGTGATTTATACCAAATTGCTCTGCTAGACATTACCTTTTGTCCTCTAGCATTTGACAAATTAGTTGAACAACATATAAATTTAATACAATATTCTACATCTTAACTATGAAATTGTTTTTTAACAATATCCACTAATGACTGAATAAGAAAATCTGTCATTCATTTTTTCAAATATATCAAGTGTGCCATTAGGAATGAACCTTATAATATAGTACTTAAAACTTTTTCATTTTGTTTTTATATTATTGTGCTTCGCGTCGTGGTTTCCTACGCTTATCTCGTGTTCTCCCAACATCCTGCGTGTTTACATCAGGCTATGTAAACACAGAAACCATTTTACATTTCTTCAATATTTTTGGTTATAGCTATTCGCCAACACACACAATCGACCAGAAAATACCCGTGAGTGAGTTAATTTGACAATTTGGTCATTTTCCACGTAAGAACTCTTTCCTTTTGTTAAAATGTAGACATCACTTACAATGTTTCAATTAATCCACCCACGCCAACTGAAACAACTCTTGTATGCATAATATGCTTATGACATATTTAACGAGCCTTTTTTTATTGAAAGCACACGGTTCATTTAATGGAATTATTTTTTTCCCGCCTATTTTACATTTTCCATTGCGGAAAATAATTTTTTTCTGCTTCTAGCTGATTAAAGCAAGCTCAGACAGAAAAATTTTTTTCCTGATGTTGATATCGATTTGTTTGTGTAACAGACTGTCTAGAAATGCTGAATTGATAGTGGGTGAAAATAATTACACTCGTGTTATGACTTCCGGTTTACGTCGAGCACCTAACATGGGGGATGTCCCTCCGATGAGTAAAGGAAATAAATGCTTTTCGGTTTGTGATTTATCAATCAGTAACTTTGAGGACTCTATCATCTCAAGAGACGTAATTCCTTGATTGTGAAGTTTTTAGATACTCTGTTTCTTTAGAGTTTGCTTGCATCAGAAATTTACAAGTGCAAACAATTGCCTCCGGATGCTTCGACCCTTCGAGATTGCTGTGCTTAATTTTTAGCAAATTTGCCAAATCGCGCACATTGAGGCAATAAGCAACAATTGTTCTTTCACGTTATTTCTTGAACTAAAATTATCACAAGAATTCGAGAAATGTGCGAAGTCATGATCACAAGCCCTAGTGCAGTGGTGCGTAAATACAACTTCTACGATATGCGAGCTAAAAATGTCTAGATCGGTCGCTTTAACGCAAGATTACGTTCTAAATCCATTTATAAGAAATCTTATGGTAAAATTTCCGCACATTCCCATCCTATTGTAAAACAAATCTGTTTTTCCAAGGCAATGTATTGTTTTTGCATTGTTTTCTCTCTCCAAGAACTGAATGCATAATGTAGTATGGGGCTGTGCGGAAATTTTACCAATCTTATACCTAAAAGAAGAGGTACAAAATCTACTGTCAAACAATCACGAGTGCAAACGCTCGTATAAGTACACAAGAATATTATCGGTTTGTTTTGAATTTACATTCATTGCAAATTGCAATGAAGCATCCTTACCGTAATATGAGTCTTCGTCAAATTGCAAACAATTGCCTCCGGATGCTTCGACCCTTCGAGATTGCTGTGCTTAATTTTTAGCAAATTTGTCAAATCACGCACATTGAGGCAATAAGCAACAATTGTTCTTTCACGTTATTTCTTGAACTAAAATTATCACAAGAATTCGATAAATGTGCGAAGTCATGATCACAAGCGCTAGTGCAGTGGTGCGTTAATACAACTTCTACGATATGCGAGCTAAAAATGTCTCGATCGGTCGCTTTAACGCAAGATTACGTTCTAAATCCATTTATAAGAAATCTTATACCTAAAAGAAGAGGTACAAAATCTACTGTCAAACAATCACAAGTGCAAACGCTGGTATAAGTACACAAGAATATTATCGGTTTGTTTTGAATTTACATTCATTGCAAATTGCAATGAAGCATCCTTACCGTAATATGAGTCTTCGTCAGCCATTGTTGATGAGGCACGAGCTTGAAACTTGACCTTGATGACTTGAGGAATTGGCAAATGCTGAAATAGAAAAAAGAGAGATCTTTGTAGCTGCTTACTCAAAGACTACAATGCAAATGAAAACGGTAGAAACAGTATAATGCAGTTTCAATCGCAAATATCTTAAGTTTGCCATGAATCACAGAAGGCAGCTTCATCTCTAAAGCTGTTGAAGATTTTGTCTTTTAATCAAGTAGTTAACACTAGCAGTCGTACATCACTTTTGAGGGCTTTTGAGGAGAATTAATTCCTTGCATTTTCTAGGACAAAGCCAGAAAATTGTTCAGCTCGCGAGAACTTGTGTTGATAAATCCCTGAAAATTGTGAGAAAGTATTACAACATGATGATTCACGAGGAATCCGGAAAACTCACCGTCAATCTTTACAGTTTTCAAGCAAGGATTCCTCTTCCTTTCCCGACAGAAACGCTGTTATAAAATTACTCATTTGTATGCATTGCACTTCACATTTGCATGAAACCGTGCTTCCGGCTTTCTTAGGAACCGTGAGGGGATAAAGAGGCTTGGAAGCAAGCCAAATTAAGACTTTCCTTTCCGGGTGTTTCGTGTGAATCCAATTACTTTCAGCAATGCTTTTTTTTAAGACACAGAGACTGACAAAACAGCACAATCAAAGTTCTCTTAAATTGATGGATCGATGGAATATTTCGGACACATCCCGGAACTCGAAAGATGATTGGCACAGATTTGCTGTGTTCTGTGACGTCATTTCGCCTTTATTGCGAAGCATTGGTTTCCAGTTTTTCAGGAGCGCTGTTGCTAGGCTACAAGCATTAACAGAAGTATAGAGATAGGATTGGTAACCAGTCAAAGAAGAAGAAAAAAGTTCTGATAACCGTGTGGAAATAGATATCGATAGAAAGTACAAAGCATCTAGATGGTAAAAACAAATAAGCCTGTAGTTTGCAAAATTCCAAAATTCTTAGTATCCTACAAAGAAAATAAGGTGCTTTGAACTGAAATTTTTCATGGACAGATAATATTCCTATGGCCACCCAGTGATTTTTCTGAAGGGTTTTTAATGACTTACCGAGCGATTTGACGCCCTAGTCGGCTCTACTAACTTTGAATATTTCGTTCATACTTTGCCAAATTTTTCTTACTATCTCTGTCACGCCACTGTGTTCACACTAGACAAGAATGACACCTGCACACGTGATCAACAACTTAACGTCAATAAATTTGGCGAATCACTTGAGATTGATGAGCTGTGTTTCAGAGAGCTTAACGACATCTTTTTGTTCGATCTTTTGAATTGTGAAGGTGTCCGCGAGACCTTTACGAATTCTCTCTTTTAACAGCGATCTTTGTGGGGCCACCAAGCTATATTTTTATTTTGTCCTCATTTGCGGATCTGGCCCGAAATCATGTGTCACACGGGGCTTCTTTGCGGGTGACTCTTTACGCCGCTTCTCTATGGACCTGACTTGTGGCAATCGATAGTTGTGTGTGAACTGCACAACCCCTTTTGTCAATGTGGATAGCATTGTTTTCTTGAACATTTTGCGGCTTGGCAAGCGACATGCTTTGGGTGTTTGGATGATCGTCCTGAGAAAAGATCATCTGAAAGTCAAACAAATACTACATAAAGTCGAGTACGCCTGGAATCTAACGAAATACACAGAGTCGAGGCTCACCAAAAAGCTGTCGTGTGAGATAGTTTTTTAATACGAGTGCGGCCTTTTTAATTTAACTGTAGTTCTTGCTAAGTCTTGTCACACAGACCTTCTTCGCAGCCGCTCTTTTGAGAGATTTCTGAAATGATGAAAAATGGTGAAAAACCAAGAGAGGAATATTCTATTGTCGTTTACTCTGCACGTAAGATTCCAAATGTAACTTTTAAACATTTTTAACTTAAAACAAGTTATTGACATTTTAGCAAAGCTTATTCTGTGAAGCTTTCGATAATAACTGATTCAACTTAAATCAAGCCTCCCAAAGTGTATATTCTCTGTAAAACTCGCTCACTTAGAGATAAAATATTATTTCTGTGATTGTAATGAAAGAAACATGTGACGACCGTCACGCAAAGCCTGTGGAAAAGTGATGCGTGACTGGCTCTCCTAACAAACTTTCCTTCATATACGATCAGATAGCCTTGTAAAGAGAGCAAATGACAACGCAATGATCAGATAGGTTGCTGCACTACAATAAATCAGCGAGCAAAGGCAGAGTATATACTTAAATATAAAATATCAGCGCTAGTGCTGATAGCAAGATTTAGCAGCCGTGCTGGTGAAGTAAAGAAGTCAAAGGTCAAAATCTGTCTCATAATCATATCTAAAAAAAATATTACCCCTCATAGTTCGCCATCGGTCTCAGGTCAGCAGAAAATTTTTTGGCGAAGGTTTATGAATACCTCGAGAAGTCTGACTGTGTAATAACCATCGCCCTTGCGGTGGCCTGAAAAACCATACGGCAACTGCGATGACAAAAGATTTACTTTGTTACACGTGCTTTAACTCGGGTGAGCTTGCTGAAAAGCTGGGACGGTACAAAATGTGGAGAAAAAAACTAAAAAGTCCCCTTGCAAAGCAATTATCATATAGATATCTAGATATTTTGGTTTATAATTGCATAATCGGTCACAGTAGTATTATAACTACAGAGGTGAATCATTACACGATATCACACTACGTATACAAATACACTTAAATTTGTTTTGAAAATGGTGGATGAATGACCTTATGTTATTCGCCTGTATTTACCTGTGAAAAGCTGATTTCTTTTGAGGTTGGCAGAAACAGATAGGGACCGCTATAAAGCCGATAAGGAGTAAGTTTGGAATCAAAAGATTCCCTTCCTTTGCAAGCTGGTATTACAAAGTGTCAACCATTCAGTTTTGGCGCGAAAATATTCGTGACAAGTGGTGCCGCTTGCTTATCACGCAATATTTACAGTCGCACGCTCTCTCTTAAAGAACAAGGGTTACTCTGCTCGAAAGACTTAAACTGCAGTTAAAGAAATTTGAATAGGAGGTCCTCGACTGAGTGTTCTTATCTGCTGGTAGGACTTTCGCTAATCGCGGAAAAACTTAAGATATTGCCTCAGAGCCACTAGTTGAAGACGAAAAAAAACCAACAAGTTCATTTTTCCTTCTCTATTTTATTTCAGTAAATAAACCTGTTCGTGAAACCTAAACGTAGGTAATACTACACCACAATTCTGACCAAGCTTTTGGCTGCCAACTAAATAATAAATGCTTCTCTAGTATAGGTTTCTTTCCAGTGAATCTTTTACTCCATAAATCAAAACTCATCATAGCGACTTCACTGTCATTTCTCAAAAAGCGAAAAGGTACGCATGTTTTTCGAAATTTACTACTTTTGGAAGTTTTATTTTGGGTAGAAAATTGATGCAACAAAATATTGTTTGTTAATCTGGCGGTAAAAAAGAAAATACCGTTATGAAAACTTAACTGGAGAACAGTAGAACTCTTTCTAGTGAATTTCCAGTGAATCTTTCCAGTGAATCTTTTACACCATAAATCAACTGTAATCATAGCGACTTCACTGTCATTTTTCATCAAGCGCAGCAAAAAGGTACGCATGTTTTTCGAAGTTCTCTACTTTCGCCAGTTTTCTTGGGTAGAAAATTGACGCAAAAAAATATATTATTTGTCAATCTGGCGATAAAAAAGAAAATACCGTTATAAAAACTTAACTGTAGAACAGCAGAACTCTTTGCTTTTCCAAGCGGGAAAACGGGACAACGATTCAATTTATAGGATGAAGAATAAGCCTTTAATTAGGACAGCAAAGAATGCTATCGAGAAACTATTACCAACATTTATATGATGTTCCCTACTGCGAAGGATAACGATTTTCTGCAATTTATATACTATTAGCTGATAAGCTAAGTTAAACTATAAAGCATTTCAAGCCTTTTTGGCCTTTGACTCTGTTGTTTTCTGAGTAAAGGTCCATGTGGTCTTCAAAAGGTTATAAGGTATTCAGTGTAACACTGATTATCAAAGAAAACAACAAATTTGCTGGGGCTTGATTGGTCATCTACCACAGAATCGTAAAGAATTTCAGGTTTCGATGGATTTTTCGGTGGAGGCACAACCATTGAAGAATCTCCAACACAATACTGCCCCACGAGGACCTTGGCAAGGTACATGTGGCGACTTCCATAACTACCATCCCCAGCGAATCCAACAGAGTATTGAGCGTCTCTAGCAAAATAAACACCGCGTCCATAGACCGTGCCTGAAAAAAAAGAATGCTTAATTAAGAGAAAAAGTACCAACAAATCATACATTCGGTGAAGTTGATTGTTATGAAAGAGGCAATTGGATTCTCCTCATATTATTACAGCTTTTATTACCATATTTGGTTCCAAATAGTTATTCGGCCAGAGCTCGTGCAACGTCTGAGTGACTTGGTAGGACAGGCAGACAAATAAATGAAAATAATTGTGGCCAAAACATCATTAGTTTAGCCAAAAAAATGCTTTAACCCTTTAAACCCTAAGAGGGACTAGCATCTAATTTCTCCCTGCAATAACAATCTTAAATCGCACATTAAGGTCATGAGAATAAAGGAAATGGTCACCAAAGAAGGAACCTTTTGATTAGCGAACAAATTCTCTGTTTCAGCACCCTAGGAAATGTTTAAAGAACAGTATGAAGAATATGCATACTGATGCTAGGGTGTAAAGGGTTAACTACTTAGGACCAATCGCTCGAAAATACTGCTTTAATGCTCCTTTTTCTCACGCGAAGCTTTCGAAAGTAATGATCCTAGCAGTATGTGGAAGGCGTGCTACATATTAGCAACTTGAATACCCTGCTCATCAAAGCGTCTGTAGCTCAATGGTAGAGCGTTGGAACGAGGAAATCCGAAGGCCTGAGGATCGATTTCTCATAAGCAGACGAAATTTTTCCTTAATCCCACCCCCGTGACGAGATGATAAAACGTTTCCTTGCGTTTCAATGACTTACCATTAGCCCCACAGAGGCTCCTGTTGAATCCTTGTGTGTTGATGTGGTTGATATTTTTAGCATCCGTCCCATGAAACAGCTCTCTTTCATAATTTCCTCCAATATCTTTATCCATTTTCTGTTTTCTTACCATGTAAGACTGATAGAGATGAGGATTCTGTATGCGTTCAATCTTCTGAACTTTTAACGTACCGGCTGTAGCTTGAAACTTACCTACGACATCTTGATACTCAGAGGAGCCGGGGTGCAATTTTACTTTATGTACAGTAGAGTCATGCCCGGGCATTGGTGCCCAGTGCTTTGGTAGAGGAATTCCTACAGAAAGGACCAAAAGATTAGAATGTTGAAGTGAAAACCCATCTACCGAGATCAAATTTCAACATCCAAGTATATTTTTCAAGCAAGACACAAACAAGATCAACAAGGAAGCTCATGAGAGACATTATAGGGTAGCTTTTCTGAATATCCCCAATCTGTACAACATGTTTATAACCTTAAAAGTCCCCTGGGACATGAAATATCTCTTAGTCCTTTCTTACGGACTTAAGCTTATAGAAACATCTTCATCAAAAGAGATGCATAGCAACTAACCTTCATCAGCACCCTTCACCTTTCTTGTCAATGATATTTGTTCACCAGACGTTTGTCCACGTCCAGAGTTTCCCTTCAAGTCGATGACGAACTTTTCTGCGCGTAGAGAAACTTGCACTGTGTGCTCATCTCTGCTGTGGGCCAACTCAATCTTGGCATTTGCTTTCGGAGCAAACTCTATTTTTATGCCCTGTATTTCATAGCTCCACTCTACGTTCTTTGAAAGCAACTTCGCTTGTTCTTCCTCCTGTTTCTTCTTCATCCTCTCGTTGATCTCTTTCCAGATCTCCCCGACTATTCCAGCCACTTCGGTTGGTCCACCACAAACGACAATGCGATCCGCGTCACCCTCAATTTCAAGTTTGACGTCACAGTCTTTAGCCTTTTTTCTCAGGATATCCTTCTGCTTATCGGAAAGCTGACTGACGACGTCACATTCGACTTCTTTTATTGTACAAGCGTCAGAGAAACCTTTCTTCAAGGATTCCACGGCTTTTCCCACGCCCACCTTGTCTTTGCCAATCACAGAAATTCTTACAGAATATTCATCACTTTGGCCTAGTGCCTGCCTATGTCCGCGTCTTCTGGTTTGCCTAGCCGCTGCATTCTCTGAGTCACTGTCTTCTTCAATATCTTGCACTGGTTGTTTCTGCTCTTGTAGAAACTCCTGCATCATAGAGGCCTGGAACACAACTACTCTTACTTTTTGAATATTTTTACAGCGGGCGCTGAATGCGTTTAGTGCTTTGAACGTCAGTTGGGCTGAGTCCGCTCCGGTTAAGCCGTATCCTCCTGTGCCAACACACGGAATTGAGATCGCTTGAAAGTTATTGCCATCCGCCACACGAAGACCCTCCTCCAAACATTGCTGGAGATGTTGCTTATCTGAGGAGCCTGGAATGATGTGAATAATATGAGGTACTTGTAAATTACCTCCGCTGGTCATTATCGCTGTTCCAGGAGGCTGCTTTCCCAATTTGTTGCATTCTTGTTGCACAAGTGGACCACTCTGTCTTGCTATGGCTTTGCTTAGGTCTCCGGCGTTATTCATGTTCATGTCCGTGCTCAGAATATTCACGATAGCATCAGTACTGTTCTCTTGGGTCAAATCACCATTTACCACCTCAACTGTCAAATGTGAGTTGCCAATTTGCTTGGGTTGCAGTTTTTCCATCTCTTGTTTGAAGGCGGCAGTTAATGATTGATCTTTGTTAAACACAACAAATCGGATGTCCCGTAAATTAGAATCAGGGTTGGCTCGGCAGAAATTGACTGTTTCTTCCAACATGATTCTCGACGCTGTATCACGTGGGAATTGTAGTTTTCCAGTTCCAATGACAGGAAATGCAATGGAGTTGGCTCCAAGCGTTTCACCTGTTTGCAGACACTTTTGAACGATGGCCCTTAGCGTCTACAACAGATTAAATAGAAGTTGTTGAATGTTGGTGGCACGGACAATTTGGTGGCAAGAGGGGACCTGGTAAATTCCCTTATTCCTATGTGATCTCAATAAAAATTCTCCACACTGTGTTCCGTACATTTCTTATGAACTTGGCAGTCAAAATTTGGCCTTAAGTCATGCAATATCCCCTCGTTGATATTTTTTTACCTCTGTCCGTCACCATTCTGGTTGATGATGAACTGATAATGGGAAGAGAAAAAACTGACTGGCCACTCCTTAAAGTAAAAAGATTAAAAAACTGAATCCCCTTCAAGCTATTTTTAGTCTTCCTGGAATCTGTTTTCCGGGGATCAAAGTTACCTAAACCTTGAACTTTATTAACATTTTTCAGAGGATAATGAGAGGGCCCCAGGTAGGATGTTTACACAAATAGCATTTTCTTTTGGGATCAGGATCAAAAATGTTTGGATAACAACCTCACAGAAAGTAGTTTAGTAGTGAAATTTCACATCTCAATTTGTTTTTTTTTTCTAGCAAGATCTTTGCTCTTACCAATTCTACAAAATTTCTAAAAAGGAGTTTCATATGATATTAGAAGTTGCAAGTTACATTATGCAATAATCCTGCCGTTAAATATTCGATTGATCATTCTCGAAGAATTCGGAGAGGAGTGAGGTAAACTACATCGGAAATATTTAAAATCGAGCCTGAGTAGTCTCCAGTTGCTTTAACCTACAAGAGAATGATAAGCTTCGCCATATGGGCATCCAACATCGTTTAGCAAAATCTTACAGCAAATATAAACAATGATTACTCTTCGATGTATTTAAGAGAGGTCCTTACCGGCTCCCCTCCACCGTTGTTCCACTTACAACATTGAGTGTGAATCACATGACTGACTGAGGAAAAACCGCCTGAGACAGTGATGTCACCAACGTTGGGGGTTGCGGCCTGAGGACCACCGGCATCAATGATTGCTTGATCGCATGCTCCTAGAGAACTGACAAGTACGTCAGCCTGAAATACACAACCAAAAAATGTTGATGATTTATTAATGGTGGACTGTTGTCGTTATCAGACGTGGCACTCTCAATAAGAGAGACGTTGAATAATGTAACCACAGTCTAAGAGCAGACGAGAGCTAAGTGAAGAACTAAAATCGATTCATATACCAACATGATCCTCAAAGGTATTTCCGTGAGATATTCTCCATGTGTATAGAAATCAGTGTCAATCCTACCTTCTCTGCCCCTATGTCTCCAGGTTTCCAGGACACTCTGTGCCTTTGAGCTATTACCAGGGTAGACGAGTCAGTTTCACTGATAGTAGGGTGGTCATCCTCAGCATCATCGTCGCTGTCGCCTGAAGAGGTAGAAGCGTCGGATACGGTTTCGAGGCGCAACTCCTCGTCTCTTCCTCCTCGACCTAAATTTTTCTTGACTTCTATGGCACAATCTTGATCTTTTCCCACCGATTTTACAAGCTGGTCTCCTTTTCCACTGTCAAAATATTTTCGAAGGCCTGGCTGTTTCGCTTCAAAGGTTTTCAACTCAATAGAATCTATCAGAGCGTCGAGCTTCTCTCCCACACGATTCAAACCCTCTATGTTTCCAGAAATAATAAAATCATCATCGTCTTTTCCCCTTTTAATACTCACTACAAAATCTTTTAGTTGATTTTCTATGGTGCGAAGATCTTCTTGACGTAGCTCAAGAAGATACCTTCGCATAAAATCAGACGTGCACAAAAAACGTTCTTCCCTAATGCAATTGTTTTCAAGAAAGGTTTTTAACTTCTTTATCACTTCGGTCACTTCATCGCGAAACCCAACTACGTACACATCATTCCAGTTGTTCCTACGGACACGGGCAGTCGTTTTGTTCATCTCGTGACAAAACTTCAGCCATTTAGATGACTTCAAAAAATGCTTGCTTTTCTCGTCCACTTCAATTTTCTCTTCTACCGTCAACTTGTTCACGAGCCTCGCCGCGTTGTCTGCATGCGCCGCTGAGGACCCCACTATGGTAGCGTCTTTCTCAACAACGAACACTGCTTCCACGTTGTTTCTTTCCAACTCACATTTCACAGTCTGTAGCCCTTCATCTGAGACGAAAATCTCCAGAATGTTGCCGGATAAAGTCAGTTTCTTCTCAACCATATTAGCCATTTGTTGATAGAACTTCGTGGTTGCTTCAGTAAACTGCGGCTGGGGACCTTCGAAATATATTTCTTCACCTTCAGTATCAAACTTGATCTTCAAATCTTTGTTCTCTTCTTGGAGTTTCTCGGCAAATTTTATCTTCTGCAGCAAAATTAAGCGCTCCTCGGGAACATCTGAAATTTTCTTCTGAAAGCAAGCTTTTCGGGTCTCCTTAGGCCTCTGGCTCACTCGAGATTCACTGACCCCGGTTGCAGTAGCTCCTATGTCACCGGAATCCTCGGCTCCATCAACGTCATCGTCTTCTAGAAACTCTCGGTAAGCTTTAATTGACAGCTGGGTTTTGTCAAACTTATGAGGTTTCTTTTCATGTCTGGTTAACACCCTTTCCATATCTGTTGATTGAAGCAACTAAGTGTCAAGAATTTCCTTGAGGAAGTTGTTTGTCGTTTCACAACACTTCATGACACTTTAACTTGAGAGAGACGCACAGACTTAGAACGATGGGGTTATTGGGGCAGAGAAGGTCACACAATCAATCAAGCAATCAAACAAACAATCGATCATCGATCAATCAAACAAATGAACAACCAATCCATTAATCAATCAATTACTAATTTGTCAATGTACAGCTCAAATCAGGGCAACAATATTTACTACACATGTATGAGGATCAGATGACGATTACTCGTGCCTGAAGGAATTACTTATATCTTAGAGATCAATGAGTTACAGACCTTTGGCGTCTTGAAACACAACCACAGCTCGACCACTTTTAGGAACATAGTCAACCTTCTCCACAGGACCCCCACCGTTTCGAGGACTCTCAAAGTACAGTTCAATAAAATCATGCGTAATGTCTGAAAAGCCTGTGACAAGGATGCTTTTGCAAAGCGGGACTTGTTGAATGGAAACCTTTGCATCATCTAGACCTCTCTCCTCGCATTTAGTCTTTATTTCTGTGAAATCTAAAGAAAACAGATTACATTCTCAATAAATGTTTCTCTTATGTGATCTCCACTTTTGGAGTCTACCTGAGAGGAACAACACTCATTTAAATACATGTACAATTCCCAAATAAATTGATTACTTTGATCTGGATGATTTTGTTAGTTAGGAGAAGAAACTCAAAATGTCTTTAAATGGTGGGACACCTAAAATAAGGCATCTTAATTCTTCAGGCACTAGTTAAGCATAAAACAGTTTTAATTAATGAAAAGCTAATTTCATATAATTTGAAGTAAGTTCATTGCTTAAAACTGAGAGGATGAAACTGAGCCGGCGTGAGCTTTCATCTCCGATAACTCGCGAACGGATCAACGAAGTACGATAAAGAAATTCCTGCTAACTCTCCAAATTCAATTGAAAGGTACGTACCTTTGATTTTCTCAGCCATGGTGACCAAGGCTTTTCCATTCTTCAGCATCTGTACGTCCTTCACCTCTTTTCCGCCACTTCTTGCCTCGATAAAGTTCACCAGTCCGTCCGGGAAAGTTTTCTCACTCAGCCCTCGAATGAGTATTTTATTTCTTTCAAATTGAGACTGATCAGCAGGCCCCTCTTCCACCACACTGGACATGCGCTGTGCTGATGTTGTAAGGAGGAAAACCAACGATTTAAGTAGGGTTAGTTAAATTATTCCAGTGTAATTTTGGGCATGATGCCACAGTTACGGAGCATCAAACATAGTGCCGGTATAGCGAATAAAACTTATTCAAAAATCTCTTGATGCTACAGTTCGACAAGAGATAAATTCTTTAGCTTGAGTTAAGTCAACAATGATCCTGCTTTTTTTGTTTGAACTTTAGGAATTTGATCCAGAGATAAGTTTTGATCTAAACTAAACCTTTTACTCTCAGCAAGCTTTACCTTTCGGTGATAGGATTGGAGAAGGAGATTGAGGGGCTCGTAAAACCTAAGCTATTATTATGAATTATCGTTTGTAATGATGACGCTCAAAAGTATACTGCTCAAATTTTTTAGTATAATTTATTTGACCCTTGATTTAAGTAAAGAGCACAACCACTCGAGGGCATTTCATTCCGAGATCAAGAGATTGAAGATATCTTGATATGCCTGAATAGAGAAGACGGCAACTCCAAGCGTCTACTTCGTATTATATTTAGGGAGCTTTTTTGTAATGCATACGGTGCATTTGATATTATTTTTTCTTGATTATTTTACATTTTTCTGTCGAAGGAAAATGACTTTTTCTGCTGATTAAAGCAAGCTCGGACAGCAATATTTATTTCATGGTGAAAATGCCGAAGTGATAGTGGGTGAAAATAATTACAGGATAATAATTATAGGACTTCCGGTTTAAGTCGAGCAAATAACATGGGGAATGTCCCTCCGATGAGCAAAGGAAAAAAATGTTTTTCGACGCAGACCCAAAGGATAATGATTTATCAACCAGTAACTTTGAGGATTCTCTCATCTTGAGAAACGTAATTCCTTAATTGTGAAGTTTTTCGATGCCCTGTTTCCCTAAAGTGTGCTTGCATCAGGAATTTACTGGTACAAACAATTGCTTCCACATGCTTCGGTCCTTCGAGATTGTTGTGCTTAATATTTAGCAAATTTCTCAAATCATACACATTGAGGCAACGAGCAACAATTGCACCTTTCACGTCGTTTCTTGAACTAAAATTATCATAAAACTTCGAAAAATTTGCGGACATGAACTCAAGCCCCAGTGCAGTGTTGCTCAAATACAATCTCTATAATATGCGAGCTAAATATGTCTCGATCGGTCGCTTTGACGCAAGATTCTACTAGATTACTCTAAATCCATTTATCAGTAATCTTATACCTAAAACAAGAGGTACAAAATTTTCTGTACACAAAAATATTATCGGTTTGGTTTCGATTTGCATTCATTGTAAATTGCAATGAAGGATCCTTACGGTAATGTAAGTCTTCGTCAGCCATTATTGGTGCGAGCTTGAAACTTGTCCTTGATGACTTGTAGAATTAGCGAATGCTGAAATAGAATGAAATGATCTTTGTAACTGCTTACTCAAAGACTACAGTGCAAATGAAAACGGAAGAAATTAAGAGTATGTCGCAATTTCAATCGCAAATATTTTAAGTTTGCTATGAATCACAGAAGGCAGCTTCATCTCTAAAGCTGTAGAAGATTTATCTTTTTATCAAGTAGTTAACAATAGCAGTTGTATATCACTTTTGAGGCGCTTAGGGAGAATTATTTGCTCGGATTTTCTAGTACAAAGCCAGACATTGTTCCGCTCGCGAGGACTTGTGTTACCTGATACATCCCTGAAAATTCTGAGAAATTATCGATGCGTTCGATCACGGATTACACCAGGATAATGCACAAGGAATCCAGAAAACTCACCGTCAATCTTCACCGTGTTTCAAGCAAGGATTCCTCTTCCTTTCCCGACAGAAACGCTGTCATAAAATAACTCGTTCGAATGCACTGCACTTTTACTTTGTATGAAACCGTACTTCCGATTCGGCTTTCTTGAGAAGACCGTGAGGGGAAAAGGAGGCTGGGAGCAAGCACAGTCGCACAGTCTCTGTACAAAAACAAGGGTTACACTACTCGGAAGACTTATTCGACCGACTGTTCTTATCTGCTGGTAGGGCTTCCTCTCCCTCACTCGTTCATCGCGAAAAACTTAAGATATTGCCACAGAGCCACAAGTTGAAGACGGAAAAAAACCAACATGTTAATTTTTGTTCCTCTATTTTATTTCAGTAAATAAATCTGTCCGTGAAACCCGAACGCAGGTAATACTATGCCACAATTCTTCCAAGCTATTGGCTGCCAACTAAATAATAAATGCTTCTCTAAGTTTCTTTCCGGTGAATCTTTTACACCAAAAATCAAATGTCATCGTAGCCACTTCACTATCAATTCTCATTAAGCACAGCAAAAAGGTACACATGTTTTTCGAAATTCTCTACTTTCGCCAGTTTCTTGGGTAGAAAATTGATGCAAAAAAATATTATCTGTCAATCTGGCGATAAAAAAGAAAATATCCTTGTAAAAACTTAACTTGAGAACAACAGAACTCTTTGCTTTTCCAAGCGAGAAAACGGGACAAGCGCGAGGTGGACGCGTGGAGCGAGGAACGCGACTATGTCGTGGTCACCGCGCACGCCTCGCGTTTCCCTACGCTGTAGGCTAGTGGTAACTCCACTGTAGTGATAAAACGCGTTCAGCTAGATTTTACTTTGTTTTTACTTTTACTTTAATCATTCAATTTATAAGATGAAGAATAAGCTTTGAGTTAAGACAGTTAAGAATTCTATCGAGAAACTATTACCAACATTTATATGATGTTCCCTTGTCTGTGGAGGATAACTAATCTCTGCAATTTATATAACTGATAAACTAAGTTAAACTATGAAGCTTGTCAAGCTTTTTTGGCTTTTAACTCTGCCATGTTCTGAGTAAAAGGTCCATGTGGTCATGAAAAGGTTATAAGGTATTCAGGGTAACACTGATTATCAAAGAAAACAACAAAGATGCTGGGGCTTGATCGGTTATTAACTACAGAATCGTAAAGAATTTCAGGTTTTGATGGATCTTTTGGTGGAGGCACAACCATTGAACGATTTCCAACACAATACTGCCCAACGAGGACCTTGGCAAGGTACATGTGGCGACTTCCATAACCAACACCCCCAGCGTAATTAACAGAGTATTGAGCGTCTCTGGCGAAATAAACACCACGTCCATAAGCCGTGCCTGAAAAAAAAAGATAAATTTAGAGAAAAAAATCATGATACATTCAGTGAAGTTATTTGTTATAAAAGAGGCAATTGTATTTTTCTTCTATTATTACAGCTTTTATTACCAATTTTTGGCTCCAAAGAGTGATTCGGCTAGAGTTCATGCAACGTCTAGGTGACTTGGTAGAACATGTAGATGCCATAACTGGTCAAGATTAATTGCTCGAAAGTATTGCTTCAATGCTCCTTTTTCTCACACGAAGCTATCGAAATTAATTATCCTTGAAGTATGTGGAAGGCGTACCACATATTAACCACGTGAAAAGCCTGTTAATCATAGAGTCTGTAGCTCAATGGTAGAGCATTGAAACGAGGAAATCTGAAGGTTTGAAGTTCGATTCCTCTTAAGTACTGGAAAGTTTTTCTTTAATCCCACCCCCGTAACGAGACGATAAAAATTTTCCTCCATTTAAAATTTAACTGACTTACCATGAGCCCCGCAGAAGCTTCTGTTGAATCCTTGTGTGTTGATATGGTTGATGTTTTTAGCATCAGTTCCATGAAACAGCTGTCTTTCACTATTTTCTCCCGTATCTTTATCCATTTTCTGTTTTCGTACCAGGTAAGACTGATACAGATGAGGATTCTGTATGCGTTCAATCTTCTGAATATTTGACGCACCGGCTGTGGCTTGAAACTTACGTACGACATCTTGATACTCAGGGGAGCCTGGGAGCAGTTGTACTTTATGTGCAGTAGAGTCATGACCGGGCATTGGTGCCCAGTGCTTTGGTAAAGCAATTCCTACAAAAAGGACCGAAAGGTTAGAATGTTGAAGTGAAAACCCAACGACTGATGTTAAAATTTCAAGATCCAAGTATATTTTTCAGGTAAGACACGTACAAGATCAACGAGAAATCTTATGAGGGACATTTTTGGACGGCTTTTCTGAATATTCCCTGCGTTTATTACATGTTTATTACCTTAAACGTCCTCTAGGAAATGAAATAGCTTATCGAAATAGCTTATCGAAACATTCTCGTCAAAAGAGATGTATAGCAACTAACCTTCAGCAGCACCCTTCACCTTTCTTATCAGTGTTATTTGTTCACCAGACCTTTGTCCAAGTCCAGAGTTTCTCTTCAAGTCGATGACAAACTTGTCTCCGCGTAAAGAAACTTGCACTGTGTGATCGTCTTTGCTGTGGGCCAGCTCAATCTTGACATTTTCTTTCGAAGCAAATACCACTTTTGTGCCCCGTATTTCATAGCTCCACTCTACGTTCTTTGAAACCAACTTCGCTTGCTCTTCCTCCTGCTTCTTCTTCGTCCTCTCGTTGATCTCTTTCCAGATCTCCCCGACCATTCCAGATACTTCCGTTGGTCCACCACGAACGACAATGCGATCCACGTCATCCTCAATTTCAAGTTTGACGTCACGGTCTTTAGCTTTTTCCTCAGGATATCCTTCTGCTTATCAGAAAGCTGACTGACGATTTCACTTTCGACTTTTTCCATTGTACAAGCGTCAGAAAAAACTTTCTTCAAGGATTCCACGGCTTTTCCCACGCTCACCTTGTCTTTGCCGATCACAGAAATTCTTACAGAATGCTCGTCACTTTGGCCTAGTTCCTGCCTACGTCCGCGACTTCTGGTTTCTCTGGCTGCTGCATTCTCTGAGTCACTATCTCCTTCGTTACCTTGTACTGGTTGTTTCTTCTGCTCTTGTAGAAACTCCTGCATCATAGAGGCCTGGAACACAACCGCTCTTACTTTCTTAATATTTTTACATAAGGTACTGAATGCGTTTAGTGCTTTGAACGTCAGCTGGGCTGAATCCGCTCCATTCAAGCCGTATCCTCCTGTGCCAATGCACGGAATTGAGATTGCTTGAAGATTATTGGCATCCGCAACGCGAAGACCCTCCTCCAAACATTGCTGGAGATGGTGCTTATCTGAGGAGCCTGGAATTATGTGAATAATATGAGGCACTCGTAAATTACCTCCGCTGGTCATTTTCGCTGTTCCAGGAGGCTGCTTTCCCAATTGGTTGCATTCTTGTTGCACTAGTGGACCACTCTGTCTTGCTATGGCTTTGCTTAGGTCTCCGGCGTTATCCATCTTCATGTCCGTGCTAATGATATTCATAATAGCGTCAGTGCTGTTCTCCCGAGTCAAATCACCATTAACCACCTCAACATTAAGAGGGCTAGTGAAGGTAAAAGTCGTGATGGCAGAGTGACCAATGTGCTTGGGTTGCAGTTTGTTCATCTCTTGTTTGAAGGCAGCAGTTAATGCTTGATCTTGGTTAAACACGACAAATCGGATGTCCCGTAAATTTGAGCCAGGGTTGGCTCGGCAGAAATCGACTGTTTCCCCCAACATGATTCTTGAGGCTGCATCACGTGGGAATTGAAGGTTTCCAGTCCCAATGACAGGAAATGCAATGGAGTTCGCTCCAAGCGTCTCGCCTGTTTGCAGACACTTTTTAACGATGGCCCTTAGCGTCTATAAAAGATGAAATAGAAGTCGTTGAATGTGGTGGTAAGAGGGGATCTAAAGAATCCTTCCACTCCAACGTGATCTCAATAGCAATTCTCCACACTGTCTTCTGATCATTTCTTATGAATTTGGCAGTCAAAACTTGGCGTTAAGTCATGCAATATCCCCTTATTGATATATTTTCCTTTTCCCCGTCATCTTTCTAGTTGATAATGCAGTGATAATGGAAGGAGAAAAAAAAACTGACTGGTCACTCCTTAAAGTAAAAAGGTTAAAAAAATGAATCCCTGTGAGTGAATCTGATCCTTAAATTTTACTAACATTTTCTAGAGGATAATAAGAAGGCGCCATGTAGGATGTTCATACAAGTAGCATTTCCTTTTGGGATCAAGATCGAGGATGTTCGGATTATGGCCTCATGAAATTACCTTTGGGATTGGGTCTAATTAATTTTTTCTTAGTGGTGAAAATTTCACATCTCAATCTGTTTTTTCCAGTAAGATCTCCGCTCTCGCTAATTCTACAAAATTTCTGATTAAGATTTTCGAATGATATTAGATGTTGAAAGTTACTGTACGCAATAATCCTGTCGTTATATATTCGATTGATCATTCTCGAAGAATTCGGTGAGGAGTGAGGCTTTCCGCCTTAAATTTTCATTCGGCCTGATAAACATGACGGAATGTTTGAAGATTATATACAGCGGAAATAACATCAACTCGAGCCTGAACAGTCTTCAGTTGCTTTATGTTACAACAAAATGCATGGGATTCGCCAGTTGGGCATCCGATATCGCGTAGGCTTTCATCAAATCTAAACAATAAATACTCTTCGAGAGGTCCTTTCCTTAAAAGTGAACTAATACTTAATTATGTACGTACAATTCACTGTTTCTTACCGGCTCTCCTCCACCGTTGTTCCATGTACAACAGTTAGAGTGAATCACGTGGCTAACCAAGGAAAAACCACGTGAGACAGTGATGTCACCAACGTTGGGGGTTACGGCCTGAGGACCACCAACATTAATGATTGCTTGATCGCATGCTCCGTGAGAACTGACAAGTACGTCAGCCTAAAATACACAGTCAAAAACATAATGTTAACGATTCATTAACTTCTTCAATATGGTATACTGTTGTCATTATCAGACTTGGCATTCTCAGTAAGAGAGACGTTAAATCATGTAACCACACTCTACCAGCACATGAGAGCTAAGTGAAAAACTAAAATCTATAAATTTGCCAACAAGATCCTCTAAGGTATTTTCATGAGATGTTCTCCTGGTGTGAAGAAATCAATGACAATCCTACCTTCTCTGCCTCTATCTTTCCAGGTTTCCACGACACTCTGTGCCTTTGGGCTATTACCAGGGTAGATGGGTCAGTTCCAGCAGTGGTAGCGTGTTCATCCTCAACATCACCGTCCCTGTCGCCTGAAGAAGTAGAGTCGTTAGATACGCCTTCGAGGTGCAACTCCTCGTCCTGTCCTCCTCGACCGAAACTTTTCTGGACTTTTATGGCACAATCTTGTTCTTTTTCCACCGATTTTACCAGCCGATCTCCTTTTCCACCGTCAAAAAATTTTCGAAGGCCTGGCTGTTTCACTTCAAAGGTTTTGAAATCAGTGGAATTCATCAGAGCGTCGATCTTCTTTCCTACACGTTTCAAGCCCTCTGTGTTTCCAGAAATGATGAAATCATCGTCGTCTTTTCCCTTTTTAAAACCCACTACAAAATCTTTTAGTTGATTTTCTATGGTGCGTAGATCTTCTTGACGTAGCTCAAGAAGATACCTTCGCATGATATCAGACCCGCACACAAAACGTTCCTCCTCTATGCGATTGTTTTTAAGAAAGGTATTTAACTTCTTTATCACTTCGGTCACGTCATCACGAAACCCAGCTACATATGTATCGTTCCAGTTGTCCCTCCGCACACGGACAGCCGTTTGGTGCATCTCGTCACACAACTTCAGCCATTCAGATGACTTCAACAAATGCTTGCTTTTCTCGTCCACTTGAACTTTCTCTTCCACCATTAACTTGTTCACGACCTTCGCCGCGTTGTCTGCATGCGCTGCTGAGGATCCCACTATGGTGGCGTCTTTCTCAATAACCAACGCTGCTTCCACGTTGTTTCTTTCCAACTCACATTTGACAGTCTGAAGCCCTTTATCTGACTTTAAAATCTCCAGGATGCTGACGGATAAAGTTACTTTCTTCTCAACCATGTTTTTCATTAGTTTCTCGAACTTCATGGTTGCTTCAGTAAATTGTGGCTGGGGACCTTCGAAATATATTTCTTCACCTTCAGTATTAATCTTGATCTCCAACTCCTTGTTCTTTTCTTGGAGTGTCTCGGTAAATTTTATCTTCTTCAGTAAAATTAAGCGCTCCTCGGGAACATCTGCAATTTTCTTCGTCAAATAAGTTTTTCTGGTCTCCTCGCGGTAGATTTCTTCCAACTTTGACCTCACCTTTTCCTCGTTACTTTTCACATCTGCTTTTAATGAAATGATCCTAGCAACATTTGATTCAGGAATAGTCTTGACCAGCGGGGGATCAACTCCCAAGCAGGTGCGAATGCTGGGAACTTTGGCTACAACGGCTTCCCAGAAATCCTTGTTGACCTGCACATCGCACTTCGCAAACTTGCTGAGGTAATTTTGTACTTGGTCAATGCATTCAGATTGCCATGAATCACTGTCATCTTCCCCACGGTACACTATTAGAGCAATTTTGTCGTTGGGTTCCCAGGTGATTTCGCTTTTCTCTCCAGTCAGCGAATTGTTTAGTTCAGCTTGGAATCCTGTGAATGTAACGTATTCCATAACATCGGGATCTACAGGCATGTGCAGCCGTTGTGCTTTAGCATCAGGTTTCTGGCTCACTCGAGATTCACTGGCCGCGGTTGCAGTAGCTCCTAAGTCACCGGAATCCTCTGCTCCATCAACCTCTTCGTCTTCTAAAAACTCTCGGTAAACTCTAATTGACAGCTGGGTTTGTTCAAACTCATGAGGTTTTTCTTCACGTCTGGTTAACACCCTTTCCATATCTATTGATTAAAGCAACGAAGTGTCAGGACTTTCCCTGAAGAAGTTATTTGTCGTTTCACAACACTTCATGACACTTTAATTTGAGAGAGATGCACAGATTAAGGACGATGGGGTGGTTGGGGTAGAGTAGGTCAATAAATCAATCAATCAATCAATCAAGCAATCAATCGATCAATCAACGATGACCAATTTGTCCTTCTCTAAGTCTAATGTACTGCTCAAGTCTTAAACCGTCAGAACCAATATTTGCTACATATGTTTGAGGATTAGATGTCGATTATTCGTGCCTGAAGGAATTACACTGTACATACATTTTAAAGATCAATGAGTTACAAACCTATTGCGTTTTGAAACACAACCACAGCTCGACCACTTTTAGGAACATAGTCAACCTTATCCACAGGACCCCCTCCGTTTCGACGACTCTCAAAGTACAGTTCAATAAAATCATGGGTAACGTCTGAAAAGCCAGTGACAAGGATGCTTTTGCAAACCGGGACTTGTTCGATGGAAACCTTTGCATCATCCAGACCTCTCTCCTCGCATTTGGTCTTTATTTTCGTGAAATCTAAAGAAAACAGATCACATTCTCAACAAATGTTTGTCTTGTGTGATCTCCACTTTTGGAGTCTTCCTGAAAGGAACAACACTCTTTAAATTACATGTACAGTTCCCAAATAAAATGATTACTTTGATCTGGGTTGTTTTGATAGTCTGAGGAAGAAAATCGAAAGGTCTAAAATAAGATACCTTGATTCTTCAGGTACTTCTAAAGCATACAACAATTTTAATCAATGAAAAGTTAGTTTCATATAATGTAAGGGTAAGTTTATTGCTTGAAGCTGAGAGGATGAAATTGAGGCGGCGCTAGCTTTCATCCCTGATAATTCACTAACAGATCAAAGAAGTACGATAGAGAAACTCCTGCTTACTCTCCAAATTCAATTGAAAGGTACCTACCTCTGATTTCATCCGCCATAATGACTAAGGCTTTTCCATTCTTCAGCATCTGTACGTCGTTAACCTCTTGCCCAGCACTCTTTGCCGCGATAAAGTTACTTAGTCCGTCCCGGGAAGTTTTTCCACTCAGCCCTCGAATGAGTATTTTATTTGTTTCAAATTGAGACTGATCAGCAACCTTCCCTGCATCCGAATCATCGACAGAACAAGGGGATGAGGTTATTTTGCTGACAGGCTTCCTTGAGGATACTGTGTGCTTCTGCTTTTCATGAAAATTTCTTCCTCTTTCACTTGGTTGGTTCGGTTGTCTTGGCATGATTTGAGAGGAATCTTTAGGATCTGGAAACTGATCGCTCTCCTGAAAGTTTCCTGGAATTTGATGTTGCTCCTGGAAATTGCCACCTCGTCCGTAACCCTTTGGCTTCGATTTTGGATTTGGTTGACGCCCTCGACCGCTTTGACCTCCACGTTCCATTTTAGGCTGAAAATTGCCTCCATCACCGAAGCGCCATTCCTGAGATCCATAAGGCGAATTATCTCGATATCCTGCAATTTGGTCCTGAAGAAAGCCACCTCCTCGTTGTCCTCGTTGGTTTCCACGTCCTCTCTGCGGCGGAAAGGCGTTTTGATGACCGAACCACCGTCCTTGAGGGGGATGAAATTGATCATGCCTATACACTTGGGTGTTGCTTGGACCCGTCCCCGGGCTCTTCTTCTGGGTTCCACCTCTGGGAAAGGTGTTTTGTCCTCTGGACCCGCCTCTGGGTCGTGCCTCTGGGTCCCCCCTCTGCAGAAAGGCGTTTTGGTGACCAAACCACTGTCCTTGAGGGGGGTGAAATTGATCATAGCTGTACACTTGGGTGTTGTTTGAACCCGCCCTCGGGTCCCGCCTCTGGGTCCCGCCTCTGTGAGAGGTGTTTTGGCCTCTGGACCCGCCCCTGAGTCCTGCCTCTGGGTCCCGCCTCTGCCAGGCGTTTCGGTGACCAAACCACTGTCCTTGAGAGGGATCAAATTGATCATCGCAATACACTTGGGCGTTGTTTGGACCCACCCCTGGGTTTCGCCTTTGGGTTCCGCCTCTGGTAAAGGCGTTTTGGCCTCTGGACCCTCCTCTGGGTCCCGCCACTGGGTCCCGCCTCTGCGGAGAGGCGTTTTGGTGACCAAACCACTGTCCTTGATCATCGCTATACACTTGGGTGTTTTTTGGACGTGCCCCCGAGTCCCGTTTCTGGGTCCTGCCTCTTGGTCCCCTTTGCGGTCCTCCTCTTGCCTCGCCTCTTTGCCTCGAGTTGTGGCCTCGACAAGTTTGGTTCCCCTCATTTTGATCCGATTCAACGCTATCACCAATATTTCTCCTCTCATCTTGTCGTTCTGCATCACCATGTTGCACTTGCGTTTGATTTTGTTTTCTGGGCTTTCTTTCAAATTTTCCTTCTGGTTTCGTAGTCAATGGTCTTCCTTCAGTTGGATTTTTAAAAATGGCCGCAGGATTCTTCATATCTTGAAACTCCTGTAGCCTCGTACTGGCTTTTTCGATATTTCCTTTCACGTCATCTCGACGGAGAATTCTCTTGATAAGAACTGATGGCAAAGAACTGAATGCCTCTAGCAGTTGTTTTGATTTTCGTTCAAATTCCTCTGGGTCCTCTTCTTCCTCTTCCTGCTTTTCTTTCTCGTTCTTGTTGACAGCAGATGAAAAACCCAACTCCCTGTCAATATTCTCCACAACTGTTTCACGAACTCCGTCGTCTTCTTTGTCAACAAAGTCACTGACGTTTAAAAAACCAAGATCTTTATTTCCTTCCTCTTCTTCTTCTTCTTCTTCTCCTTCTTCTTCGTAATGGTCGTCGTCTGTGAATGGAAAAGTGAGGGACCAATTAGTATTTATCAATGGCCTTGAGATGTATGTTATACCTCTCAAAGTCAACTAGCAAAAAAAAAGGAAATACAGCTAATTTAGAAGCGCCCCAAAAGTCAGTGAAAGTGATATACAGGATTCTCTTCCCTCATTATTCCCCCTCCCCCCCCCCACTGGAAATTTGCGTTTCAAATGTCCCCAAGGATTTTTCCCCGATAACCGTACACGATCTCCCTACAGTGAAGCTCGCGCACTGACTTTCCATCGGAATGCCTCCTCGAACATACAATAAAATGTTTCATTGCACTACAAAACTTAGCGTAACAGTATTGAAGTTAAAGAGATAAAAAGATGTTGTGAAGAGGAAAACCAACGATTTAAGTAGGGTCAGATAAATGATGCCGGTGTAATTTGGGGCATAATGCTACAGTTAGAGCATCAAACATAATGCGTGTATAATGACTAAAATGTATCGAAAAATCCCTTGATGTTATTGTTCAACGAGAGATGAATTCTGTCGCCTTAGCAGAGTCAACAGTGATCCTGAATTTCTTATATTTCTTATTTGAACTTTAGGAATTCGATCCAGAAAAATGATGTAATCTGAACTAAGCCTTTTACTCTCAGCAAGTTTTACCTGTTGGTGATAGCAATGGAGGCGAAGTTGAGGGGCTCTTAAAAGCTAACTACGATAACGAATTATTGAATTAAGCATAATGATAACAATTTAGCTTAATGCCATGTAGCTCTCAAGGATGACGCTCAAAAGCATAATGCTCAATTGTTTTTACTATTATTTATCTGACCCTAGATGAAAGTAGAGCACACCCACTCGTGGGCATTTCATTCCGTGATGAATAGATTGAAGGTATCTTGATATACCGGAATGAAAAAAACAGCAACCAAGCGTCTACTTCATTTTATATTTAGCAAGACGTTGTTGTAAATCATACGGTGCATTTGATGGTATCATTTTTTCCCGATTATTTTACATTTTTCTGTCGCAGGCAAGAATTTTTGCTACTTCCAGCTGATTAAAGCAAGCTCAGTCAGAAATATTTTATTTCCTGGTGTTGATATCGATTTGTTTGTGTTCCATACTATCTGAAAATGCTGAATTGATGGTGGGTGAAAATAATTACACTCGTGTTATAGGACCTCCGGTTTAAGTCGAGCAAATAACATGGGGGATGTCCCTCCGATGAGCAAAGGAAATAATTTTTTTTCGACGCAGACCCAAAGGATTAGGATTTATCAACCAGTAACTTTGATGAGTCTATCATCTCAAGAAACGTAATTCCTTGACTTTGAAGTTTTTCGATGCCCTGTTTCCTTAAAGTGTGTGCTTGCATCAGAAATTTATTAGTGCAAATATGGGCGGCCGTCACCACCAAAAATACAAGAATGTACAATAGATCAGCAAATACAAAGCTGGTCTAAGGATCAGCTGCAGGATAACATAGCTAATAAAGGAATGGCATGGTCAAGTTATAGACGGTTTTGTTTTCCTTCATGAAACAGAACACCCTAAACATGAACAGTTTGGCCAAATGATAAACGGTCTAGTTACCTATGTCGAATTGGAACATGAAATTGTGATATGGAATAGCTCAATTGTGAATAGATTAGCACTCACTTGCAACACAGTACACAAACGGTGTAGCGTTGCATCAAATAGCTCAGCGTAATGTCGAATAGTGCAGAGTACACACACATGGTGTGGCGTTGCGTGAAAAGGCTTAGCGCAATGTCGAATAGCATAGCGCACATACAAACGGTGTAGCGTTGCGTGAAATGGCTCAGGGTAATGTCGAATAGCACAGCGTTCGCACAAACGGTGTAGCGTTGCGTGAAATGGCTCAGCGTAATGTAGAACGGTACAGCGTACATACAAACAGTGTAGCGTTGCGTGAAATGGCTGAGCGTAATGTCGAGTGGTACAGCGTACAAACAAATGGTGTAGCGTTACGTAGAATAGCTTTCCAGAACATCAGAAGCTCTAGCTGAACATTAAATTGCTTAACATTACATGAAATATTTCGATGTTGTGGCGAATCGTCGAGCTTCCTTGTGGCGTGATGTGAAGGCCGAAACCACCAAAATACAAACCGCAAATGGAACAGCGATCTGCTGGGGGACATAACGTCATCGAATGTAAAGATTGGCGCGAAACCATTACATGTGTAGTCGCTGTGTTGAAGAGTCTTCACTTTGCCTTGCCTCAAAGCAGAACCAATTCGTAACTTTTCGGTGAATTTTTTCCTCTATTTTTTCCCTACCGGTATTGCATTTATTCGTTGTCGTTCCTGAAAGCGTCAATTGAAATAGCAACGTGACTGAATTCTGCCGGGGTTTGCCGGCCTCCCGGTTTACCACAGTTTGCAAGCGTCGGTTAGCCTGAATGTTGATAGTATTAAGTAGTATTATGACGTGCATCAAATGTAGATTGTCGAGCTCTCTTTTCTCTTCTAACCCGCGCTAACATTTCAATAAGAGTTTAAATTCAACAGCTCTTTGAACATTGCTGGAGTACGTGAGAAGTTGGATTTTGTGTGCCTTTGTGTGCAGCGTTGGACGCCATGGTAAAAAAAACTGATATCCTTGATCTGTTGAAACTTCGAAGAACAAACAAACAAATATCATTCGCAATGGCCGCCAACGTAATAGACAACAAGAAATTAATGATACCGACCAGCGTGGCTTAGTTATCCTGCCCTGTGCCAAAGGATTTTCCGAGAGAGTCACAAAAGTTCTTCGAAGTTTCAACATCAAGGTCGCTCATGAGCCTATCCGCTCCACCTTAAGCGTATACCAAAAAAGACAAGATCGAGCCAGAGGCTTCCAGGGGAATCGTGTACAAGATTGTGATTGTGTTTTCGTTTGTCAGGCCTCGCGCGCACTAAAAACACGCGTGAAAGAACACACAAGAGCCATAGCAACATTGGATGAAAACTCTTTGTTGGCCAAACACCACATGCTTCACAGTTACCAAATAGATTTGGAGAGTGTTGAAATTGTTGACAGGTCATCGGCGTGGCAACAAAGACTAATTCTTGAAGCTGGGGATTCCATGCGAGATAGAAACGCTATAAACGAACGTATAACGCTACCAAACATATACAATAACATTAAGAATTTTTAGAGCCCTTAAAAATACTCTAGAGACTATTGTTACACTTAAAAAAAAAATTCCTTCGAGATTTAGTTTTATCACACATCTTGGACATATATCAAGCAGGACGCCGTTAGACATTTGTAGCCGAAAATGTTCAAGACAATACATTTTTTAGTCAATGTCTATTTTTTTTTTTATTCTTTTTACCAAAATTTTTAATATACCCGGTTAAACACCGAATATTTTTAAGGGAAGACTGCTTATATTTATTATTTTAAAGAGGTTTACATTATTAAATAAATTAAGCCAATTAACAAAATAGTCAAGAATCTTGCTCCACGTTATTTAGCTGAATTATTGCCCAAACTATCGAGTGAACGTACGCATTTTCGTCTCAGATCAAGAGATAACTTCACTCAACTTCGTTGTGGAACTTCTACGTTTTAAAAGTCTTTTTTTCCATCAGCAATCACTGACTGGCTGGAATTCTCTGGACCTAGATGTCCGAAACTCTGTATCTCTTCCCACTTTAAAAGCAAAACTCGGTCGATTCTCTTTCCGCATACCTACAATAGGTTATGTGATGGTTCTTTGTCAAGGCGTGCATCTGTTGATCACACCCCCCTTAGACTTGAGTTTTCTTGTGTAAGAGAATATCTCTTCAAAATTAATAGTTGTGTGTCGCCTATTTGCGAGTGCAGTTTTGACTCTGAATCTGTGAAATACTTTTTCTTGTACTGCCCAAGTATGCCGCTCAACGTGATGTTCTTCTTACCTCTCCGGCTAATATTCTAGGTAAAACATGGTCATCGTGTAGCGATGCCAGGAAACTAAATTTTTATTGTATGGTGTTGAGTCTGTAAATTACGACGTCAACTGTACCTTTTTTCGCGAAGTACAAAGTTTTATAATTAACACTGATCGCTTCTCTGAGGCCATTGTTTGAATGTTTAAATGTATTCCAAGCTTAGTAAGTTTAATTCGTTGTTATTGCAACTTGCGTGTGTTTGTTATGCCTGAATAAATTGATTTTATATTTGTAAAATTGTAATTCCCCTCGTAAAACCTAAGTACTTTTGGGAAAAACAATGATAACTATGTTTAAATAAAAAATAAAAAATAAAACTTTTTACATTATATTACTTTGTTTATTGCGATGTCCGCACTAGCCTTCTTAAAAAGTGATGACTAAGGAATGGAAAAGAGCAGAGGGGAGATTTTTATGTATGCGCGCTAAACCAGCTCGGAAAAATGTTGCTTAGGCAAACGCTATTTTTGCAACGCGGGAAAAAACCTTGAAGTGTTTCCGGTCCACACTTGTAATTGACGTTTGAACGAGAAAATAAAATAAAAATATAATTTACCTTTACTATCACTGCAGCCAGGAAAAATAAATTCAAGATTTTCGTGCTCAATTTTTATTTAATGTCTCAAATCACACACATTGAGGCACAAAGCAACACTTGCACCTTTCACGCTATTTCTTGAACTAAAATTATAATTAAAAATTCTAGGAATTTGTGAAGTCAGAAACACAAGCCCTAGCCGTGAGTGCAGTGGTGCGTAAATACCATTTCTACGATATGCGAGCTAAAAGTGTCTCGATCGGTCGCTTTAACGCAAGATTCTACCAGATTAAGTTCTAAATCCATTTATCAGTAATCTTTACCCAAAAAAAGAGGTACAAAATCGACTGTCGAACAATCACGAGTACAAACGCTCGTTTAAGTGCACAAGAATATTATGGATCTGGTTTCGATTTCCATTCAATGCAAATTGCAATGAAGCATCCTTACCGTAATATGAATATTCGTCATCCATTGTTGATGAGGCGCGAGCTTGAAACTTGTCCTTGATAACTTGTATAATTGGCGAATGCTGAGATGGAAAGAAAAAGATCTTTGTCACTGCTTACTCAAAGATTACAGTGAAAATGAAAACAATATAAAGTAAGAGTATATTGTAGTATCAAACGAAAATATCTTAAGTTTGCTATGAATTACAGAAGGCAGCTTCATATCTAAAGTTGTAGAAGATTTCGCCTTTATTAAGTAGTTAAATTATCAGTCGTACATCCCTTTTGAGGGGACTTAAGGAGGATTATTTGCTTGTATTTTCTATTACAAAGCCAGAAAATTGTTCCGCTCGCGAGAACTCGTGTTACTTGATACACCCTTAAAATTCTGAGAAATTATTACATCAGGATAATTCATAAGGAATCCAGAAAACTCACCGTCAATCTTTACAGTTTTTCAAGCGAGGATTCCTCTTCTTTTCCCTACAGAAACACTGTCATAAAATAACTCATTCGTATGCACTGTACTTTTACTTTTAATAAAACCGTAGTTCCGGTTTTTCTGGGAAACCGTGAGGGAAAAAAGAGGCTGGGAACTGGGAGAAAGCCAAATTGTGACTTTCCTTTCCGTGTGTTATCTGTGAATCCAGTTGTTTTCAGCCATGTTTTTTAAGACACGGAGAATGACAAAACAGCATAATTAAATTTTACTTCTCTAATAAACAGAAAATTAAATGAATGTGAGCGGAATGGGTAACCTCATCACGAGAAGAAAACTGGCATTGTAGCAGCTAAAACTGCGTGCGTGATCTGAAATGTTTCGCTGGTCAAACCAAGATTGTTACTTAGCGTAATTGTAAGTTGACGTGGTCATTTTCTCCTACGATTTAAAAAAAAACCTTTGGATAATTCGTTCATACTTCGCCAAATTTTGCTGGCTATCTCTGTCACGCCACTGTGTTCACCCTGGACAAGAATGACACCTGCAAACGTGATCAACAACTTCGCGTCAGTGAACTTGGCGAATCTCCTAATTTTGATGAGCTGTGTTTTAAAGAGCTTAACAACACCTTTGCGCTCGATCTTTTGGAATGTGAAGGCGTTTGCGAGACCTTTTCGAAGTCTCTCTTTTAACAGCGATCTTTGTGGGGCCAGCGAGTTACATTTTTATTTCGTCCTTATTTGCGGATCTGGCCCAAAATCATGTGGCAAACGAGGCTTCTTTGCGGGTGACTCTTCAGTTTGCACAGGAGGAGGAGTTGGAACCAATCTTTTCGCCGCTTCTTTATGGACATGACTTGCAGCAATCGATACTTGTGTGTGAACTGCATAACCCCCTTGGAGCAGTAAATTTTGTCAATGTGGATTGCATTGTCTTCTTGAACGTTTTGCGGCTTGGCAAGCGACTTGCTTTTGGTGTTTGGATGACCGTTCTGAGAAAAGATCATCGGAAAGTCAAAAACAATAGTCAAGAACACTGTACAAAAGGGATCAAGAAGCACATAGAATTTAACACCACATAAAGTCGAGTGTGCCTGGAAGCTAACGAAGTACACAGAGTCGAGGCTCGAACTTTGCGTGTGAAATACTTTGCAAAAAACGAATGTGATCTTTTTAACTTTAGTTCTTGCAACTTCTCGTCATAAAAGCCTTCTTCGCAGCCGCTCTTTTGAGACATTTCTAAAATAATGAAAAACGATGAAAAACTAGGAGAGGAATATTCTATTGCCGTTTACTCCGCGCGCAAGATTTCAAATGTAACTTTTACACAGTCTTGGGTTTGACCGTGTATGAACCATGAGGAATATTCTATTGTCGTTTACTATGTGGTTAAGATTTCAAATGTAACTTTGTAAACAGTCTTTACTTTAACTGTGTAATAACCATCGCCCTCGCGATGGCCAGAAAAACCATACGGCAAATGACACAAGATTTACTTTGTTACACGTGCTCTTGCTCGGGTTGGCTTGCTGACAAGCTGGGAGGGTATCAAAAGTTGGAAAAAGACTAAACAGTCCCCTTATAAAGCGATTATTAAATAAATATTTAGAGATTTCGCTTATAATTGCAGAGTCGGTCACAATAGTATTATTACTACAGAGGTAAATCATTACACGATATCAAACTACAAATACACTTATCTTTGTTTTGAAAATGGTGGATGAATGACCTTATGTTATTCGCCTGTATGTATCTGTGAAAACCTGATTTCTCTTGAAGCTGGCAGAAACAGATAGGGACAGCCTCAAAGCCGAGAAGGAATGAGATAGGAGGTGTGAATCGGAAATCAAAAGATTCCCTGCCTTTGCAAGCTAGTATTACAAAGTGTCAATTGCGGACAATGAGCCTTTCAGTTTTGGCGCGAAAATATTCGTGACAAGTGATGCCGCTTGCTTGTCACGCAACATTCATAGTCGCACGGTCTCTCTACAAAAGCAAGGATTATTCTACTCAGAAGACTTACACTGCGATTATAGAAATTTTGATAGGAAGTTTCTTGTCTGAGTGTTCTTATCTGCTGGTAGGACTTCCTCTCCCTCACTCGTTCATACCGAAAAACGTAAGATATTGCCACAGAGCCACTAGTTGAAGACGAAAAAAAAAAACACGTTAATTTTTCTTTCTCTATTTTATTTCAGGAAATAAACCTGTTCGTGAAACCCGTGGGTAATACTATGCCACACTTCTGACCGAGCTTTTGGCTGCCAACTAAAAAATAAATGCTTCTCTAAGTCTCTTTTCAGTAAATCTTTTACATCATAAATCAAATGTCATCTTAGAGACGTCACTGTCATTTCTCAAAAAGGTACGCATATTTTTCGAAATTCTCTTCTTTCGCCAGTTTTATTTTTGGTAGAAAATTGATGTAACAAAATATTGTTTGTCAGTCTGGCGATAAAAAGGAAAATACCGTTTTGAGAACAGCAGAACTCTTTTCTTTTCCAAGAGAGAAAACGGGGCAAGCGCGAGGTGAACGCGTGGGGCGAGGAACACGACTACGTCGTGGTCCCCGCGCATGTCTCGCGTTTCCCTACGCTCGCCCGAGAAACGTGAAAAAATGACAACTGTAGCCTGTAGGCTAGTGGTAACTCCACTGTAGTGATAAAAAGCGTTCACCTGGATTTTACTTTGTTTGGCATAACAAGGACCCTCTAGCTCCAAGGATATAATCATTCAATTTATAGGATAAAGAATAATCTTTGAGTTGAGACAGTAAAGAATGCTATTGAGAAACTATAACCAATATCTATATGATGTTCCCAACACTGTGAAGGAGAACGATTTTCTGCAATTCATATAGCTGATAAACTAAGTTGAACTATAAAGCATTTCAAGCCTTTTTGGCTTTTAACTCTGCTGTTTTCTAAGTAAAAGGTCCATGTGGTCTTCAAAAGGTTATAAGGTATTCAGGGTAACACTGATTATCAAAGAAAACAACAAAGATGCTGGGGCTTGATTGGTTATTTACCACAGAATCGTAAAGAATTTCAGGTTTTGATGGGTTTTTTGGTGGAGGCACAATCATTGAAGAATTTCCAACACAATACCGCCCAACGAGAACCTTAGCAAGGTACATGTGGCGCCCTCCAAAACCACCACCCCCAGCGTATCGAACAGAGTAGTGAGCGTCTCTGGCGAAATAAACACCACGTCCATAAGCCGTGCCTGAAAAAAAATAGAATGTTCAATTTAGAGAAAAATATCAACAAAACCATACATTCGGTGAAGTTATTTCTTATAAAAGAGGCAATTGTATTCTTCTTCTATTATTACAGCTTTTATTACCAATTTTTGGCTCCAAAGAGTGATTTTGCCTGAGCTCATTCAACGTCTCAGTGACTTGTTAGGACAGGTAGACAAATATATTAATAGAATTGTGGCCAAAGCACCATTAGTCTCACCAAAAAATTGCTTTAACTTGTTAAGAGCAATCGCTCTAAAATGTTGCTTCAATGGAAATACGTTAAAATAAAATTTTTAGAGGTCTCAAAAGTCAAAGCTGCTAAAGGCCCTTTTTTGACCTCTTGCGACATCGAAAATTTCAAAAGTTGAATAACCTGGTCCACGTATCACACCGCATGCAGCAAAAAATCTTTTGTATTTTTAAACTGTGTGATATGTTAGGTGAACAAAAAGTATTTCAATTTTGATATTTGTTTATTTAGGGGTTCGTCATAATTTATTTAAAAACACTCGTTAGACAGCTTTCTGAAATTGGTTAAAAGTACTCTTTCCTTCCTGGTTGATATTGCTCAAGTCCAGACCAGACCATTCAAAACTCCGCTTGATTTCTTCTAATATGATGTTTGGCTGCAGAAAAATATAAAAACATCTTGCACTTATTAATTTTGTTCGCCGCGGTGACTTCAAACTTTCAGCGATTTTGCTAGCGTGACAGCCGATTATGCAAATTAGTTCATTGAACAAACTCCGACCGTTTTATATAGGTAGCTCAATAAATCTTAGATTTTAACCGTTTTAAGTTGAGAAGATAGTAGGACAGAGCTTTTAGACTACACCGATTGATACTCTTAACATTTCAAAAGGCCAGAATTTGACAGATTTTACCCTCTCATGACGCAAGACGTCAACAACAATGCATCGAATATCATAATTTGATTAGCGCTCGTCTAACATTTTAATGGCAAACTATTTTTTAAAAAGTTTGGCTTCTGCTATTTCATGCATATTTGAGTTCTGACAGGTTATGCTATTCAAATCTGTATGAACATTTCAGAGCCAAACTACAGGATTCTATCTAGTGTAACCGGCGATACCAGCACATACTAAAATACACCGTGAACCGTGACTGTCACGTAATTCAATTGTGTAATTATCCTGACTTGCTTCTCCTTTCCAAATAAAGCAGCGATAACATCATTTTTTGGATCAGAATTCTAGTCGGCAGGAATAAGAGAAAGTTTGTCTGCACACCTGTCTTGAAGACAGTTCTATTCAGAACTTTAGCATTGATCCAATTCAAGTCTTATGTGCATATATTGATAGTCTCGCCGATGTGGCACAAAAGCCCAGGATTACACATTTGGAATCCCAAGTAGATTGTTGGGAAAAATGCTCCTTTCCCAAAAAATCTGAGTTTGTTCAAAAAGCTGGGGAAGTGTGTCAGGTGGTGTGCGATGTCATTGCTCTAAGAGATGGAAAAGCGTTATTCCAAGCGGTCTTAGAGCATGAAGAGAAGTGCAAGACAGCTATTGATGTTGGCCTTCAAACCCTCACGGTCGCCTATCAGAATGCTCCCACAAAATCACTTAGGACTCAAATACTGAGTATTTATGCCGATAGATTTTCAGCCAACGAGCTTAAACGCATGCATCAGCCATTTGAAAACCTCTCCGATAGACAAATAAAGAAGGCAAGAGCACAGGCGAAGAGTGAGGTGCCTGTTGAAAAAAATCCTGCGTCACAGAATCCGACCTTGAGCTCCATATGAACTTGGTATTTCATCATGTAAGTTCTGTGTCTGCGAGCATGACTGAAAGTCTTTATGGCAAAGTGAAGAGGGAGTGGGTTCATCACTTTCAGTCATTGTCATTAGAGGGTTCGACTGAACTGGTTGCAGTGGCCACAGAACCCTTGACAAGTGCTTCACAGCTTCCCATGGGATGAGCTCTTCATACGAGAGGTGCAAGTGTACGGCTTTCGCAAACCGTCAGGCAGTACTCGTGTTTGAGAGAGGCCAGGAACACAGTAATGGATGAGATAGGACTGAAATATCCAATCATATTTGATGTCTATGATGTGTGCTCGTTGGCAAGAGGGTGAAGGTTGCCCAGCCTCAAAGTCAAGGTACTAAGAGACATGTGCAAACATTTTGAGCTCGCATTCAAAATGCGAGATACAAAGACAACACTTCTAGCAAAAATGGAGGAAATGATTTCGGAGTGGAGTTGTAATGAAGTCTAATTATGACGTTTACCCGTTAAGCGAATGCGATATCCTTTTTCACAAGAACTCTCCAAAGTTGTGAACAGCGACTGCTATGCAGACAGGTGTGACGACCAAATATCATTTGTTCCTGTCAGCTAGAAATTCGAGCAATCGCTGCTTTACTTAGACTTGAGAGGTATTCAGGACAATTATACTATGGAATTACGTGACAGAGTCACTGGTCAAGGTGTATTTCAGTGTGTGCTGTTATCGCCGGTTACGCTAAATAGAATCCTGTTGTCAGGACTTTGGAACTTTGGTTCTAAAATGTTCGTACAGGTTTGAATAGCGTAAGCTGTCAGAACTCAAATATGCATGAAACAGCAGAAGCCAAATTTTTAAAAAAGAGTTTGCCATTAAAATGTTAGACGAGCGCTAATCAAATTATGATATTCGATGCATTGTTGTTGACGTCTTGCGTCACGAGAGGGTACAATTTGTCAAATTCTGGCCTTTTGAAATGTTTAGAGTATCAATCGGTGTAGTCTAAAAGCTCTTTCATACTATCTTTTCAACTTAAAACGGTTAAAATCTAAGATTTATTGAGCTACCTATATAAAACGGTCGGAGTTTGTTCAATGAACTAATTTGCATAATCGGCTGTCACGCTAGCAAAATCGCTGAAAGTTTGAAGTCACCGCGGCGAACAAAATTAATAAGTGCAAGATGTTTTTATATTTTTCTGCAGCCAAACATCATATTAGAAGAAATCAAGCGGAGTTTTGAATGGTCTGGTCTGGACTTGAGCAATATCAACCAAGAAGGAAAGAGTACTTTTAACCAATTTCAGAAAGCTGTCGAACGAGTGTTTTTAAATAAATTATGACGAACCCCTAAATAAACAAATATCAAAATTGAAATATTTTTTATTCACCTAACATATTACACAGTTTAAAAATACAAAAGATTTTTTGCTGCATGTGGTGTGATACGAGGACCAGGTTATTCAACTTTTGAAATTTTCGATGTCGCAATAGGTCAAAAAAGGGCCTTTAGCAGCTTTGACTTTTGAGACCTCTAAAAATTTTATTTTAACGTATTTCCAGAAACTAATGTGGTTTTATTTACTTGCTACCAAAGATAGTTTATTAGGCAAAGTTTGAGGGAAAACTTTTTTCAGATGCGAAATACCCTGGACCGCTCTTACAGAGATCGCCTCATAGAGTCTGTAGCTCAATAGTAGAGCGTTGAACAAGGAAATCTGAAGATCTGAGGTTCGATTCCTCTCAAGTACTTGAAATTTTTCCTTAATCCCACCCCGTAGCTAGACGAGAAAACTTCTCCTCTATTTAAAATTTAACTGACTTACCATGAGCCCCACAGAAGCTCCTGTTGAATCCTTGTGTGTTGATATGGTTGATATTTTTAGCATCAGTCCCATGAAACAGCTGTCTTTCACTATTTCCTCCAGAATCTTTATATATTTTCTGCTTTCGTACCATGTAAGACTGATACAGATGAGGATTCTGTACGCGTTCAATCTTCTGAATATTTAAGGCACCGGCTGTAGCTTGAAACTTACGTACCACATCTTGATACTCAGGGGAGCTTGGGTGCAGTGGTACTTTATGTACAGTGGAGTCATGGCTGGGCATTGGTGTCCAGTGCTTTGGCAGAGCAATTCCTACAGAAAGGACCAAAAGATTAGAATGTTGAAATGAAAACCCATCAACTGAAGTTAAATTTCAACATCCAAGAACATATTCAAGGTAAGACACATTCAAGATTATCAAGAAAGCTCACTGGGGACATTTAAGGACAGCTTTTCTGAATATCCCCTTCCTGTATTACATGTTTATTACCTTAAACGTCCTCTGGGACATGAAATAGCTCTTCGTCCTTTCTTAAAGCTTATCGAAACATCCTCTTCAAAAGAAATGCATAGCAACTAACCTTCATCAGCACCCTTCACCTTTCTTGTCAGTGTTATTTGTTCACCAGACATTTGTCCACGTCCAGAGTTTTTGTTCAAGTCGATGACAAACTTGTCTCCTCGTAGAGAAACTTGCACTGTGTGCTCGTCTTTGCTATGGGCCAACTCAATCTTGGCATTTGCTTTCGGAGCGAACGCCATTTGTATGCCTTGTATTTCATAGCTCCACTCTATGTTCTTTGAAACCAACTTCGCTTGTTCTTCCTCCTGCTTCCTCTTCGTCCTCTCCTTGATCTCTTTCCAGATCTCCCCGACTATTCCAGGAACTTCGGTTGGTCCACCACGAACGACAATGCGATCAACGTCATCTTCAATTTCAAGTTTGACGTCACGGTCTTTAGCCTTTTTTCTCAGGATATCTTTCTGCTTATCGGAAAGCTCACTGACGATTTCATCTTCGACTTCTTCCGTTGTACAGGCGTCAGAGAAACCTTTCTTCAAGGACTCCACGGCTTTTCCCACGCTCACCTTGTCTTTGCCGATCACAGAAATTTTTACAGAATGTTCATTACTTTGGCGTCTTCGGGTTTGCCTGGCTACTGCATCCTCTGAGTCACTGTCTTCTTCAATACCTCGCACCAGTTGTTTCTTCTGCTCTAGAAACTCCTGCATCATAGAGGCCTGGAACACGACCACTCTTACTTTTTCAACATTTTTACAGCGGGCAATGAATGCGCTTAGTGCTTTGAACGTCAGTTGGGCTGAGTCCGCTGCGGTCAAGCCGTATCTTCCTGTGCCAACACACGGAATTGAGATCGCTTGAAAGTTATTGGCGTCCGCAACGCAAAGACCCTCCTCCAAACATTGCTGGAGATGTTGCTTATCTGAGGAGCCTGGTATTATGTGAATAATATGAGGCACTCGTAAATTACCTCCGCTGGTCATTTTCGCTGTTCCAGGAGGCTGCTTTCCCAATTTGTTGCATTCTAGTTGCACAAGTGGACCACTCTGTCTTGCTATGGCTTTGCTTAGGTCTCCGGCATTATTCATGTTCATGTCCGTGCTGTTGATATTCATGATAGCGTCAGTGCTGTTCTCTTGCGTCAAATCAACATTTATCACCTCGATACTGAACGGGCTAGTTAAGGTTATGCGCTGAGCCACACCTACTTGTGGAGAAAACGAGTGCCTCTGATGTTCTTGCTGAAATGCCGACAGCATTGGAGACTCGAAGATTACGATTCTGACCTTGCGGACACTACGGAAACTTCCACTAAAGTTTGTCAGGGCCTTAAATATCAGGCTGGCCGAGTCCACTGCAGAAACATGGAATGCACCAGTACCAACTGCGGGAATCGAAATGGATCCAAGACTATGCGCCTCTGCCAGTCGAAGACATCTTTCAACACACCGCTGGAGGTGGTCTTTATTATTGGTGTCTGGAATTAAGTGAATAATTTTCTGCGTAGGGAGATTTCCACTGCTGGTGATCAATGCGGCTCCACCTGATTGCTGTCCAAACTGCTTCAACTCAGTCTCAACCTGTGGCCCGGCTAGCTGTTTCACTGTCTGGCTCAACCTTCCAGCACTGTCCATATTCAAGTCCTTACTTGTTATATTCACTATGGCATCCGTAGTTTCCTGGCACAAGTCGCCCTGCAAGACTTCAATGCTTACACCCGATGTCTCCACCGTTTGCTTCCTTTTAAAGAGTGTTCTGCTCATAAAATTTTTGAAGACAGAGGGGCTACTTTGCTTGGGTTGCAGTTTTTCCATCTCTTGTTTGAAGGCAGCAGTTAATGCTTGATCTTGGTTAAACACGACAAATCGGATGTCCCGTAAATTAGAACCAGGGTTGGTTTTGCAGAAATTGACTGTTTCATCCAACATGATTCTCGAGGCTGCATCGCGTGGGAAGCGCAGGTTTCCAGTCCCAATGACAGGAAATGAAATGGAGTTGGCTCCAAGCGTTTCGCCTATTTGCAGACACTTTTGAACGATGGCCCTTAGCGTCTACAAAAGATGAAATAGAAGTTGTTGAAAATCTTTTCGTTCCTATGTGATCTCAATAGCAATTCTCCACACTGTCTTCTGTACATTTCTTTTGAGTTTGGTACTTAAAATTTGGCGTTAAGTCATGCAATATCCCCTTATTGGTATATTTTACTTCTTCCCGTCACCTTTCCGGTTGATAATGGATTGATAATAGGAGGAGAAAAAAAAATGACTGGTCACTCCTTAAAGAGTGACCTTAAAAAGGTAAAAAAACACTGACTCCCCTTCAAGCTATTTTTAGTTTTCTTGGAATTTGTTTTCCGGGGATCAAAGTTATCTGAAACTTAAATTTTGTTAACATTTTTCAGAGGATATTGAGAGGGCGCCATGCAGGATGTTCACACCAGAGAACATCAGGATCAGGATCGAGGATGTTTGAATTATAACTTCACTGAAATTACCTTTAGCCCTAATTAATTCTTTCTTGGTAGTGAAAATTTCACGTCTCATTTTGTTTTTTTTTCTAGGAAGATCTTTGCTTTCACTAACTCTACAAAATTTCTGATTAAGATTTTCGAATGATACCAGAAACTGAAAGTTACTTTATGCAATAATTGTGTCGTTACATATACGATTGATCATTCCCGAAGAGAATGGTCCTGTTACGAAAGAACAACGAACCGACGCTATTTATTCTATTCCTTGCAATGACTGTGATAACGAGTATCGAACAGACCAAACGTCAGTTTGGTACACGTTTGAAAGAGCATCAAAAAGCGGTTTTCTTTTATAAAAAAGAAAATTTAGCTTTATCGGAGCACACATGCCTAACCAACCCTACAATTCAGTGGGATGTCTAAAATTATCATTACTAATCGGCGTTACCACCAGCGCCTTTGTTTGGAAGCCTGGCATATTAACTCCGTCCACGCTCCTCTAAATCGTGATGATGGCGGCTTATTTCCTGACGCCCGTTTACACCTCGTTAGAAAAAAGGCAGCTAATTGGTGAGCGTATAAAGGGACCTCTGGTTGCAGCGTTTAGATCACCCCTGATGAAGGCATTAGACAGGAATGTCGCAATATTGGGTCTATGAATTGTAACCTCTCGGTTACATTCATTAAATCTTTAAACCAGAGTAGCATCAAACCATGTCTGACATGACGGAATGTTTGACGATAACCTACATCGGAAATAACATCAAATCGAGCCTGAACAGTCTTCAGTTGCTGTATGCTACAAGAGAATGGATAGGATTCGCCAGTCTGGCATCCGATATCGTTTAGGCTTGAATCAAATCTAAACAATAAGTACTCTTCAATGTATTTTCATTGTTTCTTACCGGCTCCCCTCCACCGTTGTACCACTTACAACAGTTAGCGAGAATCACTTGACTGACCGAGGAAAAACCACCTGAGACAGTGATGTCACCAACGTTGGGGATTTTGGACTTGGGGCCACCGGTGTTAATGATTGCTTTATGGCATGCTCCTAGAGAACTGACAAGTACGTCAGCCTGGAAGACACAAACAAAAAAATATTGTCAGTGCTTCATGAACCTCTTCAATATGGTTGACTGTAATCGTTATCAGACTTGGTACTCCTTATTAGAGAGGCGTTACATAATGTAACCACACTCTATGAACAGAAGAAAGCTAAGTGAAAAAATAAAATCCATATAAGAGGAATGGTAAGTTTTTGAGCTCGGTGAAGAAATAAAGAAACATTTTTTTCGTCTTGTCCCATGCTCGTGGCAGGACGAAAAACATCTTTCTTTATTTCTTTACGGAGCTCAAAAACTACCATCTCTCTTTTTTCCATCTGCAAACAATACGCTATCGACATTGCTGATCCTAGCAGTATGCAGGACGCGTGTTATATGAACTTCGTAATAGACCTCTCTCACCGTGAAATCTCTGTGGCTCAGTGGCAGAGCATCGGAGCGCGGAATCCAAAGGTCTGAGGTTCGATTCCTCATGGGGACTCAGATTTTTTTTCTTTGTCATACGCTCGTGACAAGACGAAAAACATCTTCCTTTAAAATCCATATATGTGCCAACAAGATCCTCTAAGGTATAAAATATTCTGCTGGTGTGAAGAAATCAGTGAGTCCATCTTACCTTCTCTTCTCCTATGTTTCCAGGTTTCCACGACACTCTGTACCTTTGGGCTATTACCAGGGTAGACGAGTCAGTTCCAGTAGTGGTAGCGTGGTCATCCTCCGCATCATCTTCACCGTCGCCTGAAGTAGTAGAGGCTTCAAAAACAGATTCGACGCGCAGCTCCTCTTCCTTTCCTCCTCGACCTAAACTTCTCTGGACTTTTATGGCACAGTCTTGTTGTTTTTCCACCATTTTCACCAGCTGATCTCCTTTTCCACTGTCAAAGTATTTTCGAAGGCCTGGCTGTTTCACTTCAAAGGTTTTCAACTCAGTGGAATCCATCAGAGCATTGAGCTTCTTTCCTACACGTTTCAAACCCTCTCTGTTTCCAGAAATGACAAAATCATCATTGTTTTTTCCCTTTTTAATACTCACTACAAAATCTTTTAGTTGATTCTCTATGGTGCGTAGATCTTCTTGACGTAGCTCAAGAAGATACCTTCGCATAATATCAGACGTGCACACAAAACATTCCTCCCTGATGCAATTGGTTTCAAGAAAGGTATTTAACTTCTTTATCACTTCGGTGACGTCATCACGAAACCCAGCTACGTATGTATCGTTCCAGTTGTCCCTCCGGACACGGACAGCCGTTTGGTTCATCTCGCCACACAACCTCAGCCATTCAGATGACTTCAACAAATGTTTGCTTTTCTCGTCCACTTGAACTTTCTCTTCCACCGTCAACTTGTTCACGAGCCCCGCCGCGTTGTTTGCATGCGCTGCTGATGATCCCACTATGGTGGCGTCTTTCTCAATAACGAACACTGCTTCCACGTTGTTTCTTTCCAACTCGCATTTGACAGTCTGAAGCCCCTCATCTGAGTTTAAAATCTCCAGGATGCTGACGGATAAAGTTGGTTTCTTCTCAACCATGTCAGCCATTTGTTTGTAGAACTTCATGGTTGCCTCAGTGAATTGTGGCTGGGGACCTTCAAAATATATTTCTTCACCTTCAGTATTAATCTTGATCTCCAGCTCCTTGTTCTTTTCTTGGAGTTTCTCGGCAAATTTTATCTTCTTCAGCAAAATTAGGCGCTCCTTAGGAACATTTGGAATTTTCTTCTTCAGGTAAGTTTTTCTGGTCTCCTCGCGGTATATTTCTTCCAACTTTGACTTCACCTTATCCTCGTTACTTTTCACGTTTGTTCCTAATGAAACGATCCTAACAATATTTGAATCAGGAATAGTCTTGATCAGCGGGGGATCAACTCCTAAGCAGGTGCGAATGCTGGGAACTTTTGCTATAACGGCTTCCCAGAAATCCTTGTTGACCTGCACATCGCACTTCTCAAACTTGCCGAGATAATTTTGTACTTGGTCAATGCATTCAGATTGCCATGAATCACTGTCATCTTCCCCACGGTACACTATTACAGCCATTTTGCTGTTGGGTTTCAAGGTGATTTCGCTCTTTTTTCCAGACAGTGAATTGTTCAGTTCAGCTTGGAATCCTGTAGACGTGACGTATTCCATAACATCGGGATCTACAGCTATGTGCAGCTGTTGTGCTTTGGCATCAGGTTTCTGGCTCACTCGAGATTCACTGGCCGCGGTTGCAGTAGCTCCTAAGTCACCGGAATCCTCCGCTCCATCAACGTCTTCGTCTTCTAGAAACTCTCGGTAAGCTCTAATTGACAGCTGGGTTTGTTCAATCTCATAAGGTTTCTCTTCATGTCTGGATAACACTCTTTCCATATCTATTGATTAAAGCAACTAGGTGTCAGGAATTTCCTTGAGGAAGTTGTTTGTCGTTTCACAACACTTCACGACACTTTAATTTGAGAGAGAGACGCACAGAGTAAGGACGATGGGGTTGTTGGGGCGGAGTAGATCAATCAATCAATCAATCAGTCAGTCAAACAATCGATCAATTCACGATCTAAATACTAATTCATCCCTCCTTAAGTCTAATGTGTAACTCAAGTCTTAAATCGGGGCAATCAATATTTGCTACGTATGTTCGAGGATCAGATGTCGATTATTCGTGCCTGAGGGAATTACACTATACTTATCTTTTAGAGATCAGTGACCTACAAACCTTTTGCATCTTGAAACACAACCACAGCTTGACTACTTTTAGGAACATGGTGAACCTTCTCCACAGGACCCCCACCATTTCGACGACTCTCAAAGTGCAGTTCAATAAAATCATGGGTAACGTCTGAAAAGCCGGTGACAAGGATGCTTTTGCAAACCGGGACTTGTTGAATGGAAATCTTTGCATCATCCAGACGATTCTCCTCGCATTTGGTCTTTATTTTCGTAAAATCTAAAGAAAACAGGTCATATTCTCATCAAATGTTTGTCTCCACTTTTGGAGTTTTCCTGAAAGGAACAAAACTCATTGAATTACATGTACTGTTCCCAAATAAATTGAGTACATTGATCTGCATTATTTGTATAGTTTAGAGAAGAAAATCGAAATGTCTTTAAATGGTGGGACACCTAAAATAAAGCATCTTAATTCTTCAGCTACTAATTAAGCATACAACAAGTTTAATCGATGAAAAGTTAATTTCATAGAATTTGAAGATAAGTTCACTGCTTGAAACTGAGAGGATGAAACTGAGCCGGCGTGAGCTTTCATCCCTGATAACTCGCAAACAGATCAAAGAAGTACGATAAAGAAATTCCTGCTTACTCTCCAAGTTTAATTGAAAGGTACGTACCTTTGATTTCATCAGCCATGGTGACCAAGGCTTTTCCATTCTTCAGAATCTGTACGTCCTTAACTTCTTCCCCGCCACTCTTTACCTCGATAAAGTTCACCAGTCCGTCCCGAGAGGTTTTTTCACTCAGCCCTTGAATGAGTATTTTATTTCTTTCAAATTGAGACTGATCAGCAAGCCCCTCTTCTGCGATACTGGAAATGCTCTGTGCTCGTCTAATCCCAGTTTGACCAACATCTCTGTTACCACGTCGGTTTCGTGCCCTACCGCAGTCTCCCTGTCTGTTTTTGCTGGGTTTACTTTGTCTGAACTTCCCTGCATCCGAATCATCGAAAGAACTGGGGGTTTTACTGCTGAAAAGCTCCTTTAAGTATATTGGATACTCCTGATTTTCATGAGAATCTCCTCCTCTTCCATTTTGTTCGCTCGGTTGTATTTGCATAAATTGAGAGTCATCTTTAGCATCTGAAAACTGATTGCTCTCCTGAAAATCTCCCGGAATTTCATGTTGCTCTTGGAAATTTCCACCGTGTCCCCTACCCTTTTGCTTCGGTTTTGGTTTTGGTTTTAATTTTGGTTTTGGTTTTAGTTTTGGTTTTGGTTTTAGTTTTGGTTTTGGTTTTAATTTTGGTTTTGATGGAGGTCCTCGACCGCCTTGACCTCCACGTCCCATTCCTTTAGGTTTTGTAATCAATGGCCTTCTTTCAGCTGGACTTTTAATAACGTCCGCAGGATTCTCCATATCTTGAAACTCTTGTAGGTTTTGACGTGCTTTTACCAGATTTCCTTTCACGTCATCTCGACGGAGAACTATCTTGATAAGAACTGGTGGCAAACAACTGAATACCTCTTCCAGTTGTTTTGATTTTCGTTCAAATTCTCCTGGGTCTTCCTCTTCCTTCTCCAGCCTTTCTTGCTCGTTCTTGTCGACATCAGATGAAAAACCCAATTCCTTATCAACATTCTTCTCAACTGTTTCACGAACTCCATCATCCTCTTTGTCAGCAAAGTCACTAACATTAAAAGAACCAAGATCTTCATTTCCTTCTTCTCCTTGTTGTTGTTTTTGTTCTTTTTCTTCTTTTTCCTCCTCCTCTTTTTCTTCTTCTTTCTCTACTTCTTTCTCCTCTTCTATTTCTTCCTCTTTTTCCTCGTCTTTCTCTTCTTCTTCTTCTTCTCCTTCTCCTTCTTTTTCTTCCTCTTTCTCTCCTTCTTCTTCTTTTTTTTCTTCTTCTTCATCTTCGCTGTCTGTGAATGATAAAGTGAGGGACCATTCAGTATTTATCAATGGTGGCCCTGAGATACATGTTATACCTCTCAAATTCAACTAACAAAAAAAAGAAATACACCTAATTTAGAAGCGCCCCAAAAATCATTGAAGGTGATAATACAGGATTCTCTTCCCTTCTCTTTCCCCAAAAATCAGTTAAGTTGATAATTTACGATTTTCTCCCCTCCTCCTTCCCCCCACCCCGACTGGAAATTTCTCCTTACCACCCTGCGTTTCAAATGGTCCTGTGGCTTTTTCCGCCATTACCGTACACGATCTCGCTACAGTGAGGGTCGCCCACTGACTTTCTATGGGAATGCCTCTTCGAACTTACAATACAACGTTTCATTACACTGCAAAATTCAACGTAACAATCTTAACGTTAGAGAGACGAATAGATGTTATGAAGAGAAAAACCAACGATTCGAATGGGGTTAGATAAATTATGCCGGTGTAATTTGGGGCATGATACTATAGTTAGAGCATCGAACATAATGCCAGCATAATGTCTAAACTTATGAAAAAATTCCTTGATTTTACAGTCCAAAAAGAGATAAATTCTTTAGCCTGAGTAAAATCAAAAGTGATCCCGCTTTTCCTGTTTGAACTTTAGGAATTCGAATGTTCTGATCTGAACTAAGCTTTTTACTCTCAACAAGTTTTACCTGTTAGTGATAGGAATGGTGGGCGGGGTTGAGGAGCTCTTAAAAGCTAAGCTGTTATTACGAATTACTGAACTGAGCGTAATGGAAACAAGTAAGCTTTAATGCCATGGTGTTTTCAAGGGTGACGCTCAAAAGTTTAATGCTCAAATATTTTTAGTATAATTTATCCGACCCTTGATTAAAATAGAGAGCACAACAACTCGTGGACATTTCATTCCGAGATCAAGAGATTGAAGATATCTTGATATGCCTGAATAAAGAAAACAGCATCTCCATGTGTTTACTTCATTTTTGAGTTATTAAAAAAAAAAAACTAGACCCTGTGAGCAGGGTAACTGGGATACATGGATGGTACTAGATCCTTGGGGTCAAGTGTAGTGATACTACGGGTGTCGGACTAGTATACTGAAATAGTGAGCTCAAGTCTGGCCAAGGGCATACACCTATTTCAGAAAAGGTTGTCATCAGGCGATAGGTGATAGGTCATTCCAATACGGAAAGGAATCATGGGTATACAACTCAGTAAACAGTTCTTGCTGAGTGTTCTACATTTGTTTTTTTAACTCGATAAAAGTTTTTCTATATAGTATTCTGTTACAAACAGAGCACATAAAATATGAACCTTCCCTAATCTTACTTTGAAAAGCTGTGATCTTATGATCTCAATCATGTTGAACTGAGTTTCTGCGGGCTTCCTTCAGGATCCAGGGTTCTATATCATTCTGCTCTGCCTGAAAAATGTTTTTCTTTTTCTTCAGGATTCAATGAATTATACTATTCTGCTGTTTTTTGTTTTTATGCAAAATTGAGCGAGTTAAACCATTCTGCTCTCTTTTGTTTTTGCGCAGTATCCAGTGATTTATACCAAATTGCTCCGTTAGACAAAAGATTTTGTTTTTCTGCATAGCCTGTGATTTATATCAATCTGCTTATTTGAACAAAAGCTCTTGCTTTTCTTTAGGATCCAGGGATTTATGCCCTTCAGCTCTGCGAGATAAAAGCTTTTCTTGTTCTGCAGGATCCAGTGACTTGTATCATATTGCTTTATTAGATAAAACTTGTTTTTTCATGGCAGGTTCCATTTGTGCATAGCTTTCTTTTTTTCCTTTTCGCATGTAGTTCTTTCTGACTATGAGACTTACTTTTTGCCATTACCTTCTGTCCTCCAGCATTTGACAATTTGGTTGAACAACATATAAATTTAATACAACATTCTACATCTTAACTCTGGAGTTGTTTTTTAACAATATCCACTAATGACTGAATAAGAAAAACTGTCATTCAATTTTTTCAAATATATCAAGTGTGCCATTAGGACTGAATCTTATAAATAGTACTTAAATTTTTTTTCATTTTGTTTTCATATTATTATGCTGAAAAATACAGCTGAAGCAATAATTTGAAATCCACATTCAAAATCCAGTATTATCTTTAGTATTATCTGTGATTAACTTCTGAAGCAATAATTTGCTACCAGGAGATGTACAGCATAGTATTCCTTGTTTCTCCAAATTAAAGGCAATATTAATATCTGCATCATATATTTGAAGTGTCTTTGGGAAATTGTTGATAGTCAGTCGATGGTTATCGCCATAGAGTTTTTCTCTGTAAAGCTTGTTTGCATGGTCAGTGATTCTATCTAAAGTCTGTGAATTCACAATATTTGATGATGGAAAAACAAATGCTACAAAAAGATGTGGCACAACAGCATAACAAGGGAATATGAATTGTTCTAATTTCAGCATCTGCATGATTTGCTTCAAGGGGACAGCTGACAACTGTTGATCAGAAATATCTGTCATATCACATTGTTTTTCATTAATAGGTACACCTTTGAGTTCAAATAAAACATTTGGATTTTGATAAAGACCTTGAAAATAGTTTATCAGCTCATTTAAGGTGTTAACTTCTAACAGTACACAAGTTCCTTGAGTATGGGGCATACCATAAATCTCTACCTTCAGAATCAATATCTTAAACTTACCTTCACTACAGTAAAAACCTACCCTAGTACTAGGGATTGTTAAAAGAAAGGACTTATAATTTTGTCCTGGTAAAGCCTGCATAGCATTAGCAAATGACATACAATAATTGAAATCTTGTACTTCACAAGTACAATGTATAGTACCAGTATAGCTTGGATTACATTGAAACTGATAATTAATATTAAACGCTATTATCATTTCAGATACTTCTGCTGAGAGTAAATAGGATTGCCTGGATAGACCAGAATACAATTCATTACCAATGTTCATGATAATATATAACCAAGTCCATTGAGGATACGATACCATTCCTCTTGTTATTGCGTTCGACGTTAGGAGAACGCTTCGTAATCTTTGGGGATCCTGTGGTCGATGGGATACCTGTGCATGCCAGGCGTGAAGATTCGAGATTTTTGGTTACTTGGACGGGCGATGTTCAAAATCTGCGCCATTTTGAATAATTATTAAGCGCACGCACGAATTTTAAGCCCAATAGCCGGCCAAAGAAATTGCGGGCTCACCTGGTCATAATTAATTTCCTTTATTATGATAACTATTTCTAAATAGAAAAACACATTTTATCATCCCCGTACAACACAGAAAATGTGGTGTTAGATCTATAAATGCATGTTGTGAAAGCTTTACAGTTTCTCTTTCATTTTATACTAAATTTTAGAAGTAGTTCACATTTTCAAAATTGTTTAATAACATAGATTTAAATAAAATTAATGCTTACATTTAAGCACGTTTTCATCTATTCTCTTACTACTTACTAACACTTAACTACCACACCAACTACAGTAAAACTTGTATATGTACACGCCCGATGGACTGCGACGACTGCCTCTTCAAAAACCATACGATATAACTAGCCTTTAAAACCTTTTCGTACACAGAGTAAATACAGGTTTCACAATACGCCATAACCCTTTATTTGACAACATACCATAGGCATATTCATCTATCCTAATAACCAAAAAACAATATTTCCCCTTTGAAATGCCGAACGCACTTCCCTAATCTCCGATTACTACTAGTATATGAGGGAAGCAAGTAACATGGCTACACAATGTGTACTAGCATTTAACCCAAACATTGCCACATTGTCTTGATTGTAAAGAGCTTGAGTTGTTTTAGGGAATTAATAACAGGACCAGGGTTTGTTTCTTTATCCCCAGACAGATTGGAATTAAAATGATATACCCTCTAATTCAGATTTTTATAAACATTTGGTACTGAATTAGACCTCCATGCATTCGACTGCTTTAACTTTGGACTTTTTATTACAAGCGTATATTGGTTTAGCGTTTTCCGTATCCTGTATTTGTTAGACTTTCGATGTTTTCTCCTGACTGCAGAAGAGGGATATTTCGTTGTTCCTTTATTCTCACATCTGACTCCATGTGCATATATTTTTTCACGAGCTTTATTTGTAAAAAGATGCATTCGGGAAGACTTCGGTATTCTTTTTCTGATTTAGGTTCGAAGTAAACGTCCTACTTTCTTGGATTTGTTCAAAATACGTGTAATTCTTTTCTTTGGTATTCTGCTGGGCTCACGATCACGAACACGAGTAGCATGCGTACGAGGGCGATTTAAATAAACAAATTTGTCGTATCGAGATCTACAGTTACAGACTGTATTTATTGAAAATACTTCATCGTTGCTATTATTAAGCTTATTATCATATACAATAACAGATGACTGAGCAGCTCTCTCAAATACGTTACATTCATCGAAGCTATTCACGACAGCTTTTGCTGAAGACATCAACAACTTTACGAAGAAATTAGCCCACAAGACAGTTGCGTAAACAATAGAT